TACCTTTACATTTGGTAACATACTAGTTATGCGCGGAACTACCATACAATTAACTTCCATCGAAAACTTACTGTTTATCGAACTCATTACGAATTTACAACTGTCCATAATACATAACTGTATATTTCCAATACCCGATATTGTCATAGGCCGCTCGTTCTTTACACTACATAATCCCAACTTAACGCGTAGACTATCGGTCATCATAGTAATTTGACTCCCGCTGTCTAATAATGCGCGTACTACAAATACTTCATTACTACAATTGTTAATTACGCGAACGAGCGCCGTAGACAAAAGAATGTGTTGACTCGCTACCTGTGCGGACGCTGATAAGGACACCGGTTCTAATGCCGATGTGTCACCGCTATCGCCGGCGCATCGCGATTCCTGCGTTGATACAAATGATTGCAATCCGTTTACTGGATTATGCACCTTTGTCCTATGCAATAAGGTGTTATGTTTAAATTTACATATCTTACATAGCTTATACTTACAATTATTTGCAAAATGCCCATTACTTAAACAGTTAATACATAATTTATGTTTCGATACTAACTTATGACGATCATCTAAATTCATAGAAATAAAACTAGGACATTCGTATAAGCGATGTGATTGTTGACATAATATACAATTTTTATTACTATTAATCAGCGGTGTATGAGAAGATGTTACAAAATTAGAAATCTTTTCATTTTTTGAGTTCCTTGTGATTTTTACAGTTTCTAAAAAGTCTGCTCGGTTTCGTAAAAATGTCATAAATTCCTTTAATGTAGGTATTTCGCCCAGTGTACATTTATGTTCTTCCCAAAGTCTACTAGTTGAATAATCAAGTTTCATAGTAATCAAATGTATAATTAATGTATCCCAATAGTCAACAGGTTGATCTAAATTTCTTAATGCTTGTAAATTTTTTGAAACCTGGTCTTTAATAAAACGTAACGAAATATCAGACTCCTTATTAATAATTTCAATGCTAAACAAAGCCCTAACGTGATTAGTAATTAGCAGCCTTTTATTATTGTATCTGTCACATAATAGGTTCCACGCTGCATTATAGTTATCTGCACAAAATTCTATTGATTTAATAACCGAAGCAGCGCCGCCTTCCAAAGAAGACCTCAAATAATGAAACTTATTTATAGCACTTAAACCTTCATTATTGTGAATCAATGAAGTAAATGTATCCCTATACTCCAACCATTTATTGTAACATCCCTCAAAAGTCGGTAACTTAATTGTAGGTAAAGAAATACTATTACTAGATGTACAATTATCAATACTCGACAAATTACCGACAATTGTGTTGGAAAAACTTTGTCTCTTACCACTTAAATTATTCGCTGTATCTATAATAGATTGTATCTTAGACATTAATGAATAAAAATTATTTTCTATAACTTCTCTTTCTGCAAATTGTTCACTACAATCTTCGAAGGACATTTCAATGTCAGTCTGCAAACTATCAAATAAAGCGAGATTTTTATCTAATTTACTTAACCTTATTTTTAACTCTGAAATCTGTCGATTAGTTAATTTTGACACACTTATCTGCCCTATAGTATCCAAATAATTTTTACACACGGTTAATTGTCCTTTCATACTACTACGTTTTTTAATTAATTTTTCTAAGTTCTCGTTAGTGTCAGTCATTTTGTGGGAATTAAGAATTATATACTAACCAAGAATATACCTACCTAATTGAAGATTTTCTACACAATAAATACCTCAAATAATGCAGTTCAGTTCTCCAGAGCTACTTCTGGAATTACAATTTAATCTCCACGCAATACACACCACAAGTCGGTAGCAGTAGAAAGGCCTTAGCGATTTACTTATATTTCGTTTATCCTGGTCACGGCACCAATTTCCTTGTTTGGGCAACAAGGAAAACTTCAAGTATCTTCCAACAAATCAGTTTATTACGTTTACAATTATAGTATATAAGATAACGTGCGCGTGCGCCGGCTCGTATCGTCTCGTAAAGAAGTGTAAAAGTAATGACGGCTGCCGGGGTCCACCCTGCCCCCCGCGGATCGATCTATCGCCCCACCTGAGCGTTAGACGCGTGAACACGTATATCTGTGGGTCTTAGACTTACTCAAATAAAAAAAAACTCCTCTCGTTAGTTCTGAAATTGTCACTTGGAAAAAAAATTTACTTTAGTTTTATAACTGTAAAGTACGTGCATGATAACACTTACAGGCAAGTTTGACCTATTATGGTTCTGAGCTAAAAATAAAATATTTGAATCAAAGCCAAATGTGTGGGAGTTGATTTTTGTTTTTCTAGACTTTTATATAAGCAAATGCCCAATTCTATTTAGTGACACCCCGTTTCGCTCGGGTACGTCCGTCCCTGTCTTACATTTATTGCTCTTTTCCCGACTTAAACTTACTATGATTTCTAACAGTACCTAAGTGTTAAAAAAAACGTGTGTAATACAAAACACTTGTGACACACCCTCGCTCCACTTGGGTTCGTCTGCAATTAAAATATATTTTTTTGGAAAATCTTATTGGAATAGTTCATTATTATCGATACAGAGGCCGAATGCATAGTTTTTAGAATTTTTGTCTGTCTGTCTGTGTCACACATCACGAGAAACCACTGGACAGAATTTTATGAAATTTGGTATGATGATAGCTGGTTATTGGAGTCAACATATAGAATATTTTTACTGCGGGAAAATATCTCATCTTTGAGAAATCTTTACTAAACGTAAAATAAATAAATATATAAAATAAATAAAATATTTATATTATGTGTAAGTTGTATTTAATAAACGTTAAATATTGAACAGTTTGTACATAACAATATTTGATGAGAATACTTTATTGTTCCATACTTTTTAAATAAAACTATCTTTTCGGATTATTTCGCGGATTTATTTTGATTTTTGGTTCCCGACGTTTCGAATGCTTTACAGCAATCAATTTAATACGTGATGTCTAAGTAATCGGGTTATAATTTTGAAATTACTTTTTATAGTGGATGGGAAAGAAATCAAATTCATTGAAAAAAATCCCCAATTAGAGACCGGAGGGCTTCATCGCTGACGAGGAGCTTTGCGCAGCCATCTTGGCGTCGTTGTTGATCATGTTGATGTGTTGATGTTGTTGTTCCCTGCTCGGGCCATTTCTAATAGTTCCTTTACAGAACAATCTTAAAACTATAGTTAGCTCTACCCGGGACTGTATCTCGGGACTTCCGAATCTGCAGCAGAAAATGCCAGCTACTGGACCAACGAGTGTAATTTACCTTTCATTAATTAGAAAATCTGCAAATCAGATCAGCAGTTCTAGAATTTGTTTCCATTAATCAAACTCACATGTCATCCTTTTAATATTAGTGTGTGTAAATATATTTTTTATCTTTTTATAATGCAATTGTAAGCGTAAAATACGTGTTTTCTATTTCTTGCAATCTTTTCCATGACGAAAACGTTTGATTCATAATAATTGTACAATAACTTATAGATATGTTATCATTACACAGTGTAAGTGATAAGGGTTGTGTGTGCGATTTCCGCTATGATAATAATACCTATATTGCAAGTAATAATGTGCTAAAATACATACATATATGATTACTAGCATTGACCGCGTTCAGATGACCAAAACGTATATTCGTAGGTTTTACATATTAGTATACGAGTACTCTTACAATGCAGTTTTTGTATTTTTTCTCAGAAATGAGATATTTTCCCGCGGTAAAAAGTATCCTATATGTTGACCCGGATAACCAGCTATCATCATACTAAATTTCATCAAAATCTGTCCAGTGGTTTTCTCGTGATGCGGTAACAGGCAGACAGACAGACAAAAATTCTAAAAACTATAGATTCGGCATCTGTGTCGATAATAATGTCTATTTCAATAAGATTTTCCAAAAAATATTTAATGTACAGATTCGACTTAGTTACAATTTTATTATAATATAGATTTTTCGATATACATAGTTATTGTAGCAGTGGTTGCCCAGTCGCAATGCTGAATTTGGAAAACCAAGTGAAGCGGGTCTAACTCAGATCTCGCTCTGATATTTCCATGTGCGAATCATTACTCATGCGGGGATGAAAAGATGAAAACGTGAGGAAATCTGCATGTCTATAGAAACATTGAACCTAGCCAGTCTTCGAAATATTGTATTTAGCCCTTTTAACGTCTTCTTGCAGAGGGTAGGCTTTCCTTCATTATGAGGGATTCCCCTCAGGGTAGAGTCCATCACGCTAGCGAAATGCGGGTTGGCAGACTTTACATGTCATTCCAAAACTTGGTAGTCTTCTCTCAGACATGCAGGTTTCCTCACGATATTTTCCTTCACCGTAAGACAAGTGGTGATCATGTTGGAAATGATTCGCACATGAAAGTTTCAGAGGTATAAGCAGCAAGATCCGGGATTGGAACCCACTTGTTTGCCACTGTTTCCCAAGCGAGTGCATTGCTTTCAGAACTATATATGCAAATATTTTATATAGTAAGGTTAAATGTCACTTATTTACGACTAGCATTGCCCGCGGCTCCGCCCGCGTTCAGATCGCCAAAAACCAAATTCTTAGGTTTTTTACATATTAGTATACTCGTACATTGCAGTTTTTGTATTTTTTCTCAGAAATGAGATATTTTCCCGCGGTAAAAAATATCCTATATGTTGACCCGAATCTATCACCATACTAAATTTCATCAAAATCCCTCCAGTCGTTTTTCTGTGATGCGGTAACAGACAGACAGACAGACAAAAATTCTAAAAACTATAGATTCGGACTCTGTGTCGATAATAATGTCTGTTTCAATGAGATTCTCCAAAAAATATTTAATATACAGATTCGGCTAAGTCACAATTTTATTATATGTATAGATTGTCAACCAAATAAAGAAAGGGCTTAAATAATTTAATATAAAATTAAAAATGCACAAATAGACGTGAAGTTGCAGTTAATAGCTAGTGTCAAAATTTATTGTTTTAACCTCTTTTGTATATATGTATAAAAACACATGTTCCGTCGAAACTACGTCATTTGCTATCTTGAAAATAGCAGCTTTGTTTCAGGTATTGACTGATTAGTTTAGATTAGAAAGTATCTTTTCAAAATTGTTTTGCACTCATGTTATCAATACTGACTGTTGTATATAAATAAATAAAATAGATCCTAAAAAAATCCGACAAAATATTCGCGTGAATCCAAGAATTTAAATAAGAATTTAAATAAGAAGTTTAGATAAAGTTTACATTTGAGAATTTCCAACTAATATTATTTTATTTAGCAGAAGTTTTGTTTATATAGCAGCCTTCATTAGTTTTTTTGCATCTAGCAACGGTTTTCAGTACTAGCAGTCTGATCTGTATATTTGTCTAGAATACAAAATATAAATAAAAAGTGTTTTTTCGCGTTGTTCGTGTTTGTACACCAAAGTACGGCATCATGCTTTGTAATTGGAAAACAGGGCTAAGTCATAGTCTAATATTTCGGGCCATTATAATAAAAAAAATATTTCTGAACGTTTGGGAGATGTCATAGAGTTGTCAATGACATGAACTGTCAACGTCATATAAAATTAAAATTTGTGATGCGTGAAATTAATTATTTTTTGCAAAATACTGACTTATTTTAAGCAATGAGAAGAGAATTTATACTGGTTTTGTTAGGAATAATTAGCGTTTCGACATTATCTTCATTATTATCAGGTTATGTGCAAATAGAAAGTGATAAACAGCTATTAGATACCGTAGTTGGTGCAGTCGGTGCTGGCAATTTTTCTTATTGGCAATTAGGGCACACTGGCCCTTTAATGATAGAACTCACATCTTTAAAGGGTGATGCAGATCTTTACGTGTCCAATACAGTCAGGTAAATCTGAAGGTAAACTGGTTTTAAGGTACAATAAATGTTCTTATTACTAGCTTGGGGGTGTTACGTACTATGCTTATATCTACATAGAAATGTACTGATACTAAAATATTCAACTAAAACTATCCAGACCTAAATACATTAAAGAATAATAGTTCTAATCAATTGGGTTTTGCTCTCAACAATCTCAGTAATTAATATATTACAAAACAGACCAATATGTCCACCATTACCAAAAATCCTTATGTACTTATTACTTTTATATGTGAAAGAAAAATGAAAAAAAAAAGTGATTATTGGTTTGTTTTTTTTTCACATGAAAGATGACAATAGGCAGAAGCTATATCGGATTTGGGAAAACCTGCATGTTTGAGAGTACCTAGCGATTTTTAGAAAGACATTTAAAGTCTACCAAACCAGACTTGGTGAATGTGGTGAACTATGGTTAGATCACCTTTGCAATCTTCAATGCAAGGGATGCCTATGCCCAGCAGTAGGACCTTGAAAGTGCTGGATGGGATGGGGTTTCTTCTAACGAACCTTTGGGTATAGGATAAATATTAGACAAAACAAGAGATTTGAGTCTTGGGAGAAACTTGAGAGTTGCAACTATTTTATATTGTTAAATTGTAAAAATTCAATGTTCTGCTATATTCAAATTTCAAATTCAAAATATTTTATTCAGCATCAAATTATTACAATTTTTTACTTAACATCCTGAGTCTACTACCAGTTTGGAAAGAAAAAGCCTCAGACCTGAAAAATTAAACCTTTTTTCAAAATGTTTAATTGAGTGAAAATTTAGTTTGAACAATTAAAAAATTAGGTAAAAATTCCACCATGAAGACAAATAATACAGTTAGATTTCTATAATAGAGTAAATATGAATATATGTAATTGCATTTGAAGGGGCCCCGAAAATTACATTGTCTATGGACCCCCGGCATAGGTAATTCGGCCCTGATAGGAAGACAGAAATTCAATTTACATCCACATTATTTCAGGCCAAGTTACGAGATAGATAAGAACAATTTCAGCTCAGTGACATGTGGACCGGACATCGTGAACATACCCATCGAATTTCCGAGACCCATCGGTAATTGCTTTTAAAATATTTTTATATAATACTTACTGACCTCACAGATAATGTTTTTCATAAATTTCAATAAATTTTATGATGTTTTTCTAACTTTTACTGTTTTCCAGGCAATTTTTTTTTCTTAATAACCTCATTCATCTAATATTTAGATAAAAAAAAAATAGCTTAGTTCGTCCAACCATTTTCAAGTTATGAGCTTACTACATAGTGTATCTTTATATTTTTAATGGCTTCTCTAAGTACTTGAAAAACATGACAATTTAGGGCACCATATTGCATTTTCTTCGTTTAACTAATATGTTCAAATTTTATTTTACACTGCTATTTTCAAAGAAATATCAAAAAAAAGGGGAGTGGTTAATGCCAGCTTTCATTAAGAGTATGTTACTCAAAATATTTCCAATTTCCATAAATACTAATAGAAAATTTAGTCGTGAAATGAATATAAGATTGGCTTTTATATTTTTCAGGAATAGGTGTATTCGGTGACTGGTCTCATGCGGTGTCAGAGTACAGTATACAGGTGTTTCTGGACACCTCGTTGATGCTGAAGGAGGAGCAGCTGGCTTTCCAGCGGTCACATGGGGGTTCGGAGAGAGGTGGGTTAGGTTATGAAGTTTTAAGAGCTTAGATTTTTGAGTATCATCTATTTAATGTAAAGAATTTATGTTTTTAAGTAAACATCCTAACTTCTGAAACTTTACCTTATATGGTTAGATTATTTTTCAACTAAAATTTTAGACCAACTTTAAAAAAGTTGGGTTTAAAAACTCAAATGAAAAATCGGATGTGTTGTTTTGGTGCAACTTCTTTTTTAATTAAGTACCTCGACGACCAAGCTTCGCTTGGCGTTTTTGAATAAAGAATTTTTTTTTCAGTAGAGACACCTACATATATAGATAAACTTAAAAAGCGAAACCTTATCAAAATACAAAATTTGATCCAAATTGTTAGAGTCGTTTTCGAGACACACATACTAATATTTTAAAAAGGAGAGTTTGTTTGTGTGTTTGAACGCGCAAATCTCAGGAACTGCTAATCCAATTTAATTTTTTTTTACATTAGGTAGCCCATGTAAGAGCGAAATAATTAATATTTAAATAATTGAATTGTACTTTTTACTTAAAAATATTTAATACTGTTTGATTTCTATATTTTTTTAAAAGCACTTGTAATAAGTGTTATTGAATAAAGTTTATTTCATTTCATTTCAGAAGCCAACACTCCAAGAAAGGAGCGTCCTGTGCCAAAGAAGATGGATGATGACCGACCCAGATTTTTGAACGTTCTTAATGTACTGGATATGATTTTTGAAATGTTTGTCTTATAATAGTTAAAGATAAGCTAAAATATAAGGAATATCTCCATATTTAATAGTGTTTACATCGATCAAAATTGTACTAGATACACAATCAGCGACAAAAAATGTCCTCACCGAATGAGCGCTCATTTGAACAATTTTTTTTTATGATAACAACTTTAAGCATTGCATTTAAGGTTCAATTTACATTGTCGTATATTTATTTCAACTAGAACAATTACCTAAACACAATCGGTGACAGTTTTAAGAGAACTTTTGCATGGGATTGTGTATCTAGTACTTTTTTGATCGATGGATATTTATAGTTAAAATTGTGTAATGTTATACTCTTGCAATGGACGTCTACTTCTTATTGTCAGGTACCTTTTTGTCAACTTTTTTGATGTAAATAATTATATATAGCTTATCTATACAGATAAATAAAACCGAAGTGTCTGTGTGTAATGTTAAAATAACAACTTTTTATTAAATACATATGATACTTATAAGAAAAAAGAATTTTCAAATTTTTTGCCTGTCAGTTTATTCCGGCTAAATTCCGAAACGGCTGGATTGATTTTGATGGGAATTTCACTGGCAGATAGCTGATGTTGTAAGGAGTAACTTAGGCTACTTTTATTTTAGAAAAACACTTAGGGTTCCGATCAAAAATAATTAAAACTGAAGACGCACCCGAGCAAAACGAACTAAGTCACTAATCTATATAAATAAAAATGAAATGCTGTTTGTTGGTAACTACATCACTTGAACCAGCTGGACCGGTTTGGCTAATTTGTTTAATTCGAATAAGGTTTTTTAAAGTACAAAAAAAATATTAGAAAAGTTTCTTAGGAAATTGGAAAAGACAGTGTTGTTTTTTCTATATTTTTTTTGTATAAGCTCGAGGATCACAAAATTATTTATTAGAATGTGGAAACCACATCAGTCGGGTCAAATAGTTAAGTATTACAAAAAAAATTTTTTTTTTATTTTTTTTATTGTTTTTTTTTATTTTTCAAAATTCAAATCAGATGGTTTTTTCTTTATATTTTTGGTGTATTGAAAGTTGTGAATAATTTATTGGTTTTGATTGGAATAAATGTTGTTATCTAGTCAGTTTTAATTTTGTTTTATTTATCCTTTAAATATATTTTTTTTTGTAAATATTTTATATGAATAATGTATATTAGTGTCTAGAGTCCAGGCTCTAGACGTCTAGAATAGGGAATATGCGTGTTGTTTTTATTTTTTATACAATAGCTTACATCGTTATGTAAAAAAAATATCCAGCTCCAAAAAACTAAAATTTAATATGAACAAAAATCTTTAATAATATCATACTGATGCGTTCAACTGCCTCGGTGGTGTAGTGGCTAGCATGTACGGCTGCACACCCGGAGGTCCTGGGTTCGAGTCCCGGGTCGGGCTAAGTTTAGTTATTGAGTCTTTCTGTATAGTAAGTCTCAGTAACAGCCCGGAGTTGGGAAGTTGGCGGTGTTTCACCCCCGTGTCTCGGAGAGCACGTAAAGCCGTCGGTCCTGCGCCCTAACTCTCACTGGTCGTGTCGAGTGGTCGTCCCACCGGAGTATGAGAGTGACAGGAATAGAGAGTGCAGGTTGTGTCTGCGCGTACACTTGTGTACTATAATATCTCCTGCGCAGTTGGCTAGTCTCAATGAGATTGGCCGCCGTGGCCGGAATCAGTCAGGAGAACATCATTGATGCGGATACTTTAAATGCCCGTAATTTCAGGCGCACGTCACGCAAATGACGTCATAGTATGATATACACAGAGCCAGTGCTGCCAATTTAGTACTAAAAATGATGACTTTTGCTTAATAAAAAGTCGTCGTTTTGAGCGGTAAATTGGCAGCACTGGCTGTTATATCATACTTTGACGTCACATTCGGTCTGTTTTTGTTCTTAATCAAAAAGAAATTACGTTAAAAATATTAATAATGACGACACGCTTGGCTCAGTTTTTAGTGACCCTACTTGCTGTACCAGCGGTCGCGGGTTCTAGTCCCGCTGGGGGCATTCATTTGTGTGATGAGCATGAATATTCGTACTCCAGTCATGGGTGTTTATATTTATAATATGTATGTATTTAGAGTTATATATGTGTAGTGTATCAACTATCCGGTATCCATAACACAAGCCTCGTAGCTTCCCATGGAACTAGATGGTACTGTGTGTTAATGTCACATATTAAAAATTAAAAAAATAAAGGCTTAATTCAAAGGCAATAAAGGTATAAAAAATATTTTAACAGCGTTTACGTACAGCGCTGGCTTTACGCTAGGGGCACTCGGGGCTAATGCCCAGAGCGGCAAATTTTCAGGGGTGGCAAAATTCGAAGGATAAATAAAAAAAGCCTTCGCGTTATCGAATATGTTTTTATTTTACAAAAAAAACTAGTATATTTTTCGAAAAATTTTAAACCTTTACAATTTTTTTTTCATTTTTCAAAAATTAATAATTAATAAAATTAAAGTTTATCGAAACTTTATTCATTGTATGCAAAATTTCGATAATGGGGCGGCATTTCTTACATTGCTCAGGGGCTGCGCTAAGGTTGAATCTGGCATTGCACACGTATATTCTCTATTGAAAGCGTTGTTTAACATCTGTGTTCTCATCTAAATGCATTGAAATAAAGTCAAGTAAGATGCCTAACTACACTAGTGGCCCTTTGCTGGTCTCTGCGGCCCCCACTTTGAAAACCACTGGTCTAAAGATTTATACAGGGTGGAACAAATGAATGGAACATGGGAGAAAAGTACTTTAATATTGAAGTTATCAAGTTTAACTCAAAGGAAACATTTTTTTATTTAAAAACATAATAATAGCTGTATTTAATTTGAAAAAAAACTCTTATCTGAATCGTTAATCGAACCCACTAAAAATTCAGTAAAATACACTCACTATTTTATCCAACTAACCGATATATGATAAGAATAAAATTTGAAACAAACATTGTCTTACAATTAATGATAACTGTTATCTAGCAGTTCGGCTGCATATCCGGAGATCCTGAGTTCGAATCCCGGGTCGGGCCAAGTGAAAGTACTGAGTTTTTCTGTCGGCTGTCGGTCCTACGCTTTTCCTCTCACCGCGAGTGTCGAAGTACCGTCCCGCAGTCGGATGAAAATCACAACGTATACGCGTGCCTCTTCTGCATAGATAAATAAAAAAATCGGATAAGTGCAAGTCTGAGTTTCGAGAAGGTTCCGTAGAATGTAAAATAAGTTTATAACACAAAGTTTTTTGTAATGTCTGTCTGTCAATTTACTATTTTCGGATTTTTCCCTTTACTTGTGCTATAAGACATTGCTCCTTGTCAAGTTTCAAGATAATAGCTCAACGGGAAGATCACATAGGTTTTGATTGTCAAAATATGCGACATAAACGGCTTTTTCTTTTGATTGCGTTGACTTATAAGTTTGATTTTTCTCAGCTCCAAGGAATCGCAGATCTGAGTATTTGATGTTAATTTCAACTCGATACCTCCACGCATTCCCGAGTAAAAGTCTTGACAGACAGACGGACAACGAAGTAATCCTATAAGGATTCGTTTTTTCCATTTGAGATACATAACCCTAAAAAAGCCTAAAACCCAAAAATCAATTAATATACTATTTGTTTAATATTATTACGTAGATACTTAAGTGTTGCCACAGTTGATTTAGCTTGAAGAGCCACTTCACTATATTAATCATTAAAAACATTAAAGCAACTTTTTTACCCTACTGGCTTAGAATGTGTGTTATAGTCAAATTATAATTTAGTATGAAATAGATAGTCGATCGCTTGCTCTGTGAAAAAAAAACTTTCCCACGGGAACCGTAAATTTTTCCGGGATAAAAACATAGCCTTCAAAATTATGTCGATTTTTGCTGCGAGAAAGGAAGAAAAACACTAATTTCAATTTAAAAAAAAACTGTAATTTCATTATAACTATTTATTTATAAAATCTAGAATTAGTAATAAACATATAAACACAACAATTTGAACACTTTTCAAAGTAATTTATTTTGGACTTGTGTCAAATACAAAATAAACTAACAAAAAACTAAAAATATTTTTTACAAAAACAACTCATCATAGATATAATTTGCTGTGATTTTTTTTACGAATTAATAATATAATGATTTATATACAAAAACTCAAAATGCACAATTAGTATCTCAAAACTGTCCTCAAAAATAAGCGCACAATACGATATTGTGCACTTTTTTCAAATCTCTTTTGTTCATTAAAACGCACGTTGTTTCGTTTAAAAATGTACTCTATGTGGTGTGCGTAAGTTCGAATTTGTGTTTAGACAGTTAGAACTTGTGTATGATGACGACACTTTTTGAGGAGATATTTGTGTATCTATGTTTTTATATATCAATGGATATGATTAAAAAAAATTTTTTTTTAATTTAAAATATCATAAAACAGTCACAAAAATAAAACTAAAGTTACCAAAAAATCAGATCATAGTCATATTTTAAATACATATAAACATATTTATAATTTAAAAAAAAAAAACGTGTGTGTGTGTACTTATGTACGCACGTAAGAAGCTATACTTCTTTGGCGTAACAGAACAAAAATAGCTAAAGATTTCATCCCGTATGTCACAACTCTGTTTGTAAAAGGAATGCAGCTAACTTCATCATGTCGCTTTTTGGCTGTTGGTGTACGTGCGCATCGTAAAAATTTTACTCTCATAAGTTATTCGAAACGTGCCAAAAGAAGTACAACTTCAAAAAACTAAAAATATATGAAAAAATTGCATTAAAGCCAATATCCGTGCGCAGTCCCATCGATAATATTAAATTATTTACAACACTCCATACAAAAACACATAAATAGCAAAGAAACAGCTCAATCTACTCTTCCCCAAAGACGAGACGACTTCCAACAATTATTACGGCTAATATAAGAGGTACATTTGAAATAAAACAAAATTTTCGGATATTTTCGCGGATTTATTTTAATTTTTGGTTTCCGACGTTTCGAATGCTTTTGAATATCATTATCTAGATCATTATGTAGTTGATACAGACAGCTTTACTGACAATATAACTAAATCATGTCAAAAAATCAAAATAAATCCGCGAAAAATCCATCGGACTACTCTTAAATGCAACTTTGTATGAGTTTTTTACTCGATTAAACTTAAATGGCTGGCCTGATTCTGATGAAATTTATTACATAGATAGTTTATGACCTGGAGTGTGACATATGTTACTGTAAGACACCTTGGAACGTATGTATATAAGTCCATTCGCGTTAAGAAAATAGTGAGTTACAAGAGCAACTGCAGGCTAAAGGTGTATTTATAGTGGAGTAAAAATTCAATTCAAATATATTTCAAAAGATTAAGTTCAATGGATAAAATTCAACTTAATTATCTCAAATCGACAGTCATTAATAATATATTTAATCAGTATCACTAGAATCTTCATTATAAAAGAATACAAATCATTTAAATCGCACACTTTAAAGTACTTTAAAACATTGTAAATTACTTGTCTTTCTCCGCTATGAATTATCAATCCACTTTTATTCTTACGAATAGGTGATGTATTCATTTTTAAATTTTATTGCAGATAACGCACAAAGGACACAACGGATTCGTACTAAAATCTGCCTTTAACGTGTCATTGTAAACTTGACTTTATAATTTTAAGGCCGGTGGACACCGATGACTCACTATTTGTTAACGCGAATGAACTATAGTTTCATTAGAATTGAAAATACAAAATACACTTTATTTAATATATAAACTTAAATTTTCATTGTTTCATTGAAAACTTTCATCTAACCGACCAATTTGCGATTGCAACCATACAAATACAAATATTTAGTCAATACAGACATACTGGCACAAGTTGGATAAGTTGCTTGAAAGACGACTAGTCTGAGAGGGCTGGTCTACTGCGGTCTACTCGGTCTTTTTGTTAGTCTTTGCAGCCGCGAGCTTCGTTTTACACTCTTGATATATGCCATCAAGATCGAATGCTGCCTTCATATTGTCTTTGGAAAATAGGAACCTGAAATATATTTGGTGTGGTTGAAAACAAAAATCTCCTTTTCATGCAATGCAACCATAAAGTATAGAGAGTTCTAACTAAATAGATTCAGATTAAAATGTTTAAAATTAGATTAAATAGCCATATATTTTTATAATTTAATGGTCAGTATGGAGTACACTATATATTATCTATACTTATATTATAAAGAAAGATTTTTTTGTTTGTTTATACCGAATAAGCTCTGAATCTAGTGGATTAAATTAGATGAAGTTTGGTAAGAAGATAGTTTAAGATCCTGGGAAGGACATAGGATAGTTTTTATCCCGGAAATCATCCATGATCCAGGGGTGAAAATGAGGATGAAACTTTGTATGGGGAATCAATCTAGGGACAAACCCGACTGAAGCGAGGGTCAGTTGCTAGTATGATTATATACCCTATAGCCTAATGAAAAAGTATTTTTCAAATTGAATTAGTAGTTCCTGAGATTAGTGCTGCCTTAAGTTTTGCTGAAACAAACAAACTCTGCCTCTTTATAATGTTAGTATAGATTAATTATTATATACACATACTTTTGCAATTTGCCAGTAGAGTCAGGATGTGGTCTCCGCATCTTTTCTTGGCCCTCACTGAGCAGTATCACGGTAGGCAGCTGACGACTTGTAGGTCCATCTTGAATCCTGTATTTTGCTGCTGCTTCAGGATATCTATAAGTTTATAATTTAATACTTTGTTAAAACTATATTTTCAGATTTATTATGGATTTATTTTGATGTTTGTTTCCCGATGTTTTGAACACTATATAAATTTGACGCATTTGGATAAAGAATTCTAAGCCAAATATAACTTAGTTCATCTCTTTGAAAAGAAGTTAAAATAGTGGAGGCCGATTAGTGCCAGCTTATTTAATTTACATTTATTACAAACCTGCCAACATCAAGTTTGCCAAACTTCAGATTATCGAGACTATAACTAGCTGAGAGTTCAGCAAAAACTGGAGCAAAGTTGACACAAGCTGGATGCCATGCAGCATACAAGCATACCATCCAAGTAGTGTTTTTATGGTGTTTCAGCTCATCCTCTAAGACCTGAGGTCCTCGGAAATATGTTATCAATTCAGGTCCCGTGTATGTTGGTTCCGGCAGAAGAAGTGAACATAATACTAATATTGCTCCATAAGGCAGACCATATCTAGAATTAAAAGTTTTACTATTTTAGTCTTATAAACAAGAAAGCAAATTAGTAAAAGGAAAAAGTTTGTTTATTATGAAAAAAAAATACTTTTTAGAGTGGAAATAGTGGAAATGGTGCATAAAAGTGTACATTACTTAAAGTTAAATAAATATACATACAAGTTACATAATATATAAGATACTAATTTTAACAATATTTATTATATATTTGATTTGATATATATATATATACAAACAATTACTACATATACATACATATACAATTACAGTCTAACCTAATGCAACAAATAGGTACCTAGAGTCTTGAGCCGTTTTTTTAAAATACTTACCGACTTGGATTTTCTTATTTTCATTGGAAGCTCATTCCAGAGTTTCACAGTTTTAATAGTGAACGACTTAATATTATTTTTCAAGAATACTAACCTGACATCAGCATACAACCAAAGTATCAAATTGGCTATCTTCGTATAAACGAATGAGGACGATAAATAATTAACCATTGTAACACTACCCGCCTTCCTCGTCCTTAACATCACCACGATAATTAGGAAAAATAGTATTTCCGTCTCTCGACTGTCTAATTCACAATCGGAGTCAGGAAACAATAAATTACATATTAAATTAGTTCTCTTAGAAACCACATAAGAAATGCTCAGTAGAATATTGACCCAGTAATATGGTTTTAATAACTGCCGCAAATCTTTTTGAAACGCCATGTTTTTTAGTGAAAATTTTTATTTTATTTAGAAATTGTGAGTTCTCGGATGGACTGATCACCGATTTAACGAATTGTCAGTTTGACAGCTCAACAATGCTACCATATTACGAAACAAACACTTGTTTTATAATAAATGTTGGCTAAGGCCCTAGTACATTCAACCACACACATTATAAAAAGTATTCAGAAATTGAATATTGATGATAAAAGCAAACTTATATTAAAAAGTCTAGTCTATTTCCTAATTAAAAATCGACTTATGCGATTAAAATGGAACGTTTACAGATACGAAATAGAATTTTAAACTATTCTTATTGGTTTAGACAAGAAGTAATTTTACAAGCTACAATCGCTTGATATCCATAATATAGAACTATTACTATCTAACACAATGAAGTAATAGAAAACCAAAAATTGTATAAGAATAACATAGTTAAACAAATCAAATGAAATGACCAATTTGACTTACATATATTTTTTCTACGTCTTACTCTCATAGTCATTTGGCAATTGGCCTTAGGTGCTTATCAGTAGTTTAGGTGTTACTCCATATCTCTGTGTACAAAATTCCATCTCAATCCATCTGAATAATCGTGTCAGCAATCAGCATAAAGTATTGTAACTTCTACAGACTTATTCTTATTCTTTCTCATTTTTTTCATAATCTAAATCTGTTGTTTATTATACATTGAAAACTTTCTAATCTATACATGTAATAAAATTCTAACCTATTCGCATCTGTACATCAAATATTTTTTGGAAAATCTTCTTGAAATAGACATTATTATCGACTAACGATATTTATCTACCTCGGTGGTGTAGTGGCTAGCATGTAAGGCTGCACACCCGGAAGTCCTGGGTTTGAGTTCTGGGTCGGGCCAAGTTTAGTTATTGAGTCTTACTGTTTAGTAAGTCACAGTAACAGTCCGGAGGTGGGAAATTGGCGATGTTTCACCCCCGTACTTCCGAGAGCACGTAAAGCCGTCGGTCCTGCGCCTTAACTCTCCCCGGTCGTGTCTCGTGTCGTCCCACCGGAGTATGAGAGTGAGTGACAGGAATAGAGTGCACGTTGTCTGCGCGCACACGCGCTGTACTATAATATCTCCTGCGCAGTTGGCTAGTCTCAATGAGATTGGCCGCCGTGGCCGGAATCGGTCAGGAGAACATTATTATTATTGATACAGAGTCCGAATCTAGTTTTTAAGATTTTTGTCTATCTGTCTGGGAAAGCATTACGAGAAAACCACTTGACAGATTTTGTTGAAATTTGGTATGATGATAGCTGGGTATCCGGGTATATATAGGATACTTTTCACTGGTGGAAGATATCTAATCTCTAAGAAATCTAAACGTTAAAACGTAACTAGGGACGAACCCGAGCGAAGCAAGGTGGTGAGTCACTAGTATTTTAACTAAGTTAATTATTAACTAATTTAGAGGGTTATGTATGTCTAAGTTTGATATAAAAATGTTATTATTAGTATTTATTTTAATAGTGGTAGCACCATGTTAGCAGCGAATGTACATTTAAAAAAAAAAGGAAAATTGAAACAATTTTTATTTCTTTTTTAATATTGCTATTGTGTTATATCATAATAAACAACAAAGAGATTGTCTAATAGATAATCGAAAGCATATTAATCAAATGAAATACATTCATTTATAACAAATCTTATACAGAATTAAAAAAAAATCAAAACATTAATACTCTGTAACATGATAACTTATAATTACAAAATATTAATACTAAAAATAGTTTAAAATAAATTCATAAATCATAGAAGGGCACAAATAAGTACATATTCAAAAAAAAACATGAATTAAGTTGATAAAGTGAAATTAATACAATAAAATTATTTAATTATATAAATAATGTTGGTAGTGCTGAAATCGTTTTTAAACGGTTTTTTTATTCAGTGCTACGGAAAACTATCATTTAAAGTATTTTTTTAGTTTAAGGTAAAAAATACTGTTATAGCAAAATTAACAAAAGTACTAAATTAGTAGCCAAAACTCATAGCTTATGCACCAAATCATACGCAATCTCAGTTTTTTATGCTGGCAATATTGCGTTAGAGACGAATTCAATTTTAAAAACCATATAACAAATGGTAAATATCATACAGCCGTTGACATATCAAAACTTTTGTCTTTTATTTTAACCACATTATTGTCTACACCATGGATTTTATCCATATGTTTCTTCAACTCATGACTTCTTACAAAGCTTGCAAGGCACTCGGGACAGTGGAGACGAGAGCCTTTGTTGTGTCTCCGTTTAGCATGTTCTGATCTTCTGGATGAAGAGATGAACTTTTCCCCACAATCCTGACACTCATAGGGTCTTTCCCCCGTATGACGTCTTCTATGATACACCGCCGCCATTTTAGACACTAATTTGGCACCGCAGATATCACATTCAAAGTTCCTGACCCGAGTGTGAACCACAGAGTGTTCTGCTAATCGGGCTGGAGTATAGAACCTTTTCCCACACCACTGACACTGATGAGGTCTTATATCCATATGGATCCATAAAATATGATTTTTTAATTGAGGTCTGGAATGGTAAGTTTTGCCACAATAGTCGCAAGTGAAAGTTGCCGGGTCACGAATATTTGAGCGCCTGTTCCTTGGTATCGTCTTCAAATCTGGTTTAGCTTCTGGCTCGCATTTCGACCTGTGCACTCTGTAGCAGCCACGATTAGTGAATTGTGCACCACAAGCTCTGCAAGTCCTTACTGTGTGCATTTGGGTATGAACATCGTAGGATGCACTCCTTTGGAATGTCCGACCACAATCTGAGCAAGTCATAACACCCGGGCCGTGACACTTTTTGGTGTGGCGCTTCCTGTCTACGTCAGTTTTGAACAGCATTGGGCATTCTGTGCACAGGAACATTTCAGTTTTGTGTATTTTGTGAAGATGCTGCTTCATCTCTTGGCCTCTGATTAGCATGGCACCGCACAACCAACACGCCTCTTTCTGGCCACTGTTGCGTAAGTGCATGTTCAAGTAATATGGGCTTAGAAAACTTTTCCCACAATCTGTGCAAGTACAGGCTGGTCCAGTCCTAGGATGTCGCGGTTTTCTCTCAACCATCAACGACTTACGTTTTACGATGCGATTGGCGAGATGCTCAATCAAGTCTTTCGCATTGCCTTCAAAGTTATTAACTGTTTGCAAAAGCAAGTTTTCTCTAACGATGGCGTACAGGGATTTGTGTGATGTGTTCAAAGTTGGAAGTGTTTGAAGAGAATTTACACAATTGGTCCATAATTGTTGCGATTTGTTCACAAACATTCTGAATTCCGAAGCAGACACAGCCACACTTGTGCAGGATATACATAAGCCTTTCGGAAACAATTGGTCTTCTTGTACCTGCAACAAAAGAAAAAAGTTATTCAATTCAAAGATATTCAGAGATAGAGAGTGATATAGAAGTGTACACTGATGAAATATATCATACATTCATTCAATAGTACCAACCTTAAAAATGTACATGTTACTTTATATCGCTGTATTAACAAAGTGCGCTAAACGACAATGTTTTTTCAATTCTGATGGCCTAACAAACCTCGCGTCACACTCAAGACAACCGTGATCTTTACTTCTATGCTTTCTTTTAATGTGATCCAATCTTCTAGAAGCCGATAGAAATTTATCTCCACATTCCTGACATTCATATGGCTTTTCCCCAGAATGTATCCTTTGGTGCATGTGGAAACCGAGAACTGTTCTCATCTTTGCACCGCAGTAGCATTGGTATATTTTTCTTTCAGTTTTATGAATTAATTCATGGGATTGATGGTGGGTTTTTGAAGAGCTACGTTTCCCGCAAATTTGGCAGATATATGGCAATACATTTAAATGCTTTTGCACTATGTGGACTCTGAGAGACGGTTTCCTTGTATATTTACTTCCGCAATCGTGACATTCATAAACATCTTGTTTTGTAAACTTAGAACCTTTACAATTGTGTCTATGGTATAAATAGCATTTTCGGTTTTCAAAGCTACTGTTGCACGAGGAACAGTTGAATAATGTATGTGTGTACATGTGAGCGCTTAAAGATCTCTCACTTTTAAAGCCGAGTTTACATATTTTGCATTGCAAACAACTATCCCCATGTAAAATTTCTTTGTGACGATCCAAATGGTCTTTCTCATCAAAAACTTTATAGCACACGTTACAAAATTCCACAAATCGTTGATGCACCCTTTGCAAATGAACCGCTAACTTTTCTCGAGACACAATTTTGCCACATAACGTACAAGCGCGTTTCGATGAATTAATCAAATGACGATTCAAAAAATATGGCAATTCAAATTCTTTCCCACAATCTCTACACTTGAATTTACACTCAGCTACTTTCGATTTTTTCTTTTTGTATTTCGCGCGCACTTTATTTGTATTTCCGATTAAGAAATTCAATCTCTTTGTAGCGTTCGTCAAAGTATGGATGTTGTTCATGTCTTTTAGTAAGGTACCACTAGTGCTGATATAAAAGGTCTTGTCTTTTGTGGTGGGTATATCTGTTATCATCAGGACTGTGGATATCTGTGTCCAATGTCTGTGCGATTCATGGCATAAATGCCTGAACTGCCACGTAGAAATAGCGTTATCTGCGCAGACGCAGCACAACCCAGCGGGAAGGTCGGTTTCTTCCACCACCTGAAACCACGCGGACCAATCAGCCTTCATCTCTTCCTGAATTCTCTTTTATCAGCTATGAATGATTGAAGTTTGTTAAGTTAATATACTTTAAATAAAATTATAGTTCTTTTTGCATTTACAACATTAATATTAGTTTTGATGATAAAATTGGTATCATTTTTTATGATTATTGAATTAAATAATAAGAACAGCTATTTTTTTATTATAATTGAAAGAAATAATAATCTTCAATTGTAAAAAACAAACTTTATTAAATATAACAAATAATATTAGCATGCGACAGATTACGTAATTTCATTGTCTTGTTTTATTTCACTATACACCTTAAGCATTATGGATTTCTCTGGTTTTTTTAATGGAAAGTTCACATTCTGATGTTTCCGACTGTGATGCAACAGTCCTCTGCACGAACCGAACTTCTCGTGACACGTATTGCATTCAAACTTAGGTAAAGTATCTTGATCATCATTATGAATTGATTTTAGATGCTGTTTTAACCGATACGGAAGCCTAAATTTTGCTGGGCACAGGTGGCACTCTTGTTTCAAAACTATATCAGAGCTCTTATGTACTTTGCGAATATGCTCGGAGCGTCTTGATGAAGCTGAAAACGTTTCTCCACAATACTTGCAGGCGTATGGCCTTTCACCAGTATGTAGACGCAAATGTTGATTATAGCCTAATTTTGTTTTCAAAACCACCCCACAGTGTGGACATTTATAAGTCCGGTCAGATTCATGTCTTTTGACATGTTCCGACATATGCGCTGATGCCAGCAACTTCCCACAGTAAATACATGGTCGGTGAGTGTTCCTCATGTGCACTATTTGAATGTGTGCAGCAACAAATTTCTTGCCAGCAAATTTTTTCTTACAATAATCGCATATACACTCTTTATTTGCAGCTCCACGAAGCCCTACTTTGACTTTGCGATTGCTTATTTCATTTTTTACCTCTATGGTAACTTTTTTTTTGGATGTTATCATATTTTGTCTGGGGCGTTCCAAATTACAGCAAGTTTTGACATGATATATGTAGCAAGAGTGATTTCGAAAGAGTTTGTCACATCCTGGGCAATTTTTAGAAGCATGTACAGAGACATGAGCATGATATGCATTGAGCGATTGAAAGTTACGTCCACAATCAATACAGGTAGTGCAGCCATTTGAATGTGCTTTTGTTAAATGCTGCATATATTGGCTATAAGAGCAGAACAGCGCTGGACACTTTTTACAATTGTAAGGAGCTTCTTTATGTTCATTTATCATGTGATACAGTATATCATCACGAGCCATGATTTTACCACATATGTAACAGGCTCTTTTTAAATCCGGAGATTCTTTTAAATGTTGACACAATTGAAACGCATTTGTGAATTCTTTTTCACAATTTGGACACTTGTAATGGCTGTCTTCTTTGTCTACTATAGGTTTGACTAGATGAGTTGTTAGCCGTTGAGCAGCTGTTGTGATGTTGTTTGATTTTTTCATATCATTAATAACAATCATTTGTGTTGGGTCTATAATAGCAAATATTGTTTTGTTATTCATGCATTGCGTTGGGAGGTCATGTAGCAGAGTAATTGTTATATCCCACTGATGAGCTGCTTGTTGACATAAGGATCTGAATTCGGCAGCATTTATAGCAGATTTGGAACATTTTGGACACACTCCATCAGGTAAGTCCCCTTCTATCTGCACCTGCAACCACCGCTCAAGTCAAATGTCCACAATATTTGGTTTTCTTTTTACAAATGTTGTTTAAATTATGTAAATCTTGGATTACCTTTAAAATTCCCATTTTGAATTGAGGAAAAATACATGAACTCTGTTACAGCTTAAAATATTTCTTGGAGTACCATATTGTACAACAATAAAAATATATATATTTTCTTTAATTTTAAAATTCCCATTTCAATTAGTTTCAGTAGATATGACAGTAGATGTCGCTAGTAACTCGCTGCGTATTATTTATGCATTGGAGATTTACAATTTCAATAATACAATTAAATTAGAAACTTACTTCATTATATACAACATTCCATATTTATTCAATATTTATATCTAACTTACATATACATTTTTTATAAAATAATGACACCTTTTTATTATAACAAAGGTCAAACGCCGCCATTTTGGTAAAACGAAACTGCATAAGCGTTCCGTTAATCGCAGAAGTCATTAAATATAAACAAAGAAAAAATCAAACGTACCTGGATGCCGGTAATGGTTTCCAGCAATTCGGATAGTGTTATAGGTTTATCACCATCCATCATTACAGTATCATTTAAATAGACTTGTCCTTCAGAAGTATCCCCCATACATATTCGGCACTTATTTACACCATCTCCACGAACTACATGCGATACAAGAGCCTTTATGTCTACTTGCCGCGACATTTTTATATTGTATAAACAAAAAAATGCGAATTTTATTTTACTTTTAGGAGTACTTTTTATTTAATTGCACATACAGCTCCCCGATCTTCGGAAATAGCATAAAATAAAATATGTCAATGTGTCAAATACTTGTCTAGTGTCCGCTGTCATGTCAAAGACAATAATTGTTTTCTTATTTCTACAGCATACTGCATTGATGTTTGTACAATAATATCGATTCTGTGCAGAAATATATCATCATTATAAACACGGCAGAGAGAAAACAATGTTTATTATTATCCGTGGTTATAAAAAAACATTTTTTTTAATGTTTGATAATATTTTTAAATAATAAATGTATAAACATGAACTATTTTTTTTAAGAACAATAAATGTAACGTTTTGAGTAGTGAAAAAAAACCCTGAAGCAATAGTTATTTTTTTTGTCTGTTTATTTGTATATCTGTGTGCATTTTACGCAAAAAGTACTGAAACTTAAAATTAGTTCAGTCTTAATTTTGTGTAGCGATTACTTATTACTCGGGTTAACATTTAGGATACCTTTGTATGTTATGCTGGCTAAACCTTAATAGATACATCAAAGCAATGTACTAGAAAATGTTAAGAGGGCACCGAGCTTTTTATTTTAGTAGGACGACAGCTTGTATTGCTAGGATGTACGGAACGCGTGCGAATTTAGCGCCGCACTAAGGGTTTTTGCTTTAGAGATCATATTGGATTTTTTCTACCGAGGAAACTACAAGTAATCGTGTTTCTAAAGTGTACAATTTATAGAATACATCCTTAAATATCCTACATATTAATTGCATAATTATAGTTTTAATAATAACAGTATTGTTTTAAATTGTATTGTTTTGCGTTTAGGGAACGAAACTAAAATGACAGTAAAATGTGATTTTTGTAATGGACATAAAACATTAAACATCATATAAATATATCTAATATTATAAATGTGAAAGTGTGTTTGTTTGTTTGTCTTTCTATCACATCGAAACAGAATGACGGATTGACGTGGCTTTTTGTGTGGAGATAGTTGGAGAGCTTGAGAGAGACGTTATAGTACAACCCAAACATTATTTATGGTTAGAAATACTTGAAATTTAGTATTAATGCCCTTCATTACAAATAAATAAATACGTTTCTTAGAATTTTCGAAATTCATCCCATAAGGGTGTAAATAAGAAGATGAAAGTTTGTAGGAAAACTCGTTTTTTAGAGTTCTTTTTTTGTAGTTTTAGCGCGAGCAAAGCCGTGGGTTCTGCCAGTATAATATAAAATATCCTATGTTAGGATAAAAGGATAAAAAGTATCCTACGTCCTTTCCAAAGTATCTTTTTACCAAATTGCATCTAAATCAGTTCAGTAGATCCAGAGATTACCTCCTAAAACCTCACAAACTCACATACTTTACCTCTTTATAATATTAGTATAGATTAATTTATTTATAATTAATTGAAATCGATGTTAATAATTGTTACTCGATGTAGTAACCGTTTTCACCATAGACATAAGTCATTTGATTAATTCTTTCTCTGTTTAGTCTGTTCAATAATCCAATTGTTTTGGTTTAGAAATATCAAATAAAGTAAAAGATATTCAAGATGGTAAATAAATTCATTTTTTTCAAAATAATCAACTACTATTTTAGTATTAGAGTGCTATCAACTAATTATTTAAATAGTGAAAATCATATTCTAAGAAATATTTCAATATATTTGAGTGTACTTTTCGTGAAATTCTATTTTGAAAAGAGGTTAAATCTGCGACAAGATTTAGTGCTCAAAAAATAATTATTTACGTTAATAATCCTTGCATTCTAGAATCAAAAGTATCACATGTACTTATCAGTTATAAATTAATACCATTTACCCTTTTTTTTACACAATATCTAGCATATTTAAATATGATGAGTAATTCAATTTTTGATTTTCAAGTATTTCTTAATGTTTTGATAAATTAATTCACTATTTAATTAATTTTTACGTCTTAACAAAGTAATTCAGCACAAATTTTAGATAACAGTTCGCGAATATTGCGAATATTATGCTATTGAAAAGTCAGGTGTTCCTGTCAAAAAATGCCGATGACACATTGCCTCTAAAATATGTGAAATAAATATTTATTTATATAAAATGTAAATTACTCCATAATAAAATACTAAAAAGAATATTCTACAAATGAGAGTTATTAAAAAAAATACTTAAATTCTGAACATGTAACCTTACGTTTTTAGCAACCACAAATCTTAGTTCTGAAAGAAGGGACAGACCAGTCTCAGGGCAAGCCACAGTTGGTGTCAAACATTAATGCTTGCCAACTTGTTGTGGATGCTGTAAGTATCTTTGAACTTCTTCTTAATTAGCACTGTTAAATTATTTTTATTATAATTATATTTATGAGTGAAGAGAATTTGTTTAAATTGCATAAGAGTTAAAATTCCATCTCAATTAGATCTAAGATATCAAATTTAGTAATACAAGGATAAAAAGCAACTTATGTGCTATTCCAGACCATAATCTATCTCTGCCAAATTTCATCTAGATCCTTTTAGCCGTTCTGGCGTGTTTGAGCAACAAACATCCATCCATCTTCACAAACTTTCACATTTATAATAGTATGTTTAGGGATCTGCATAAAGTCTCTTTCATACTATATCTTAGATATTGCATTTTACATGTTTTATTAAAATATATATATTCTTTTGAGCATTTTGGTTTATTTTGGGTTTTAATCTACCCATGATTACACTTTGTCGTTCCAATTTCTGAATTTCTGATGAAATGGATGATGCTTTGAATTATATTTTGTTGTTTTATATAATCTATGATAGATTTGTACTACTTATTATGTATTTTATCTGTACAAAGGTCCGCACAACTCTTGGTCCACGGGGTATGGACAAGTTGATCGTTGATCACAATGGGAAAGCTGTGATTTCTAATGATGGTGCTACTATTATGAAGGTATTACTTGTTATACAATAATATTTAAATTTGTACAATAATATTTAAATATTGATGAACGATTTATATTCAGAAATATTTTATATTATTATTTTTTATTTAAGCAAAATATATTTTATTTAGATTTACATGAATATTTGATATTTTAAATAAAAATATCTTTTGATTGCAAATTATATTAATAACAGTTGACATTAAATATAATTGAATATTGACATGTTCAATTATAAAACTTATTAAAACCACAAAAAATGTTTAAAATTAGCAAATATTGTAAAGTACTTAGGTGCCATTTTTGTATTTTTGAATTCATTTTGTAATTTTGTGGGTACGCTGTCTGTAACAACTATATAATGACCTTTGAGAAGTCCAAAACCTTAGTTTTTCCCTTGACCATGTGCACTGTAAAGCATTCGAAACGTCGAGAACCAAACTCAAAGATATCTGTGAAGAAGTCTGAAAAGACACCTAGTTTTATACAAAACTAGCTGCCCCGACAGACCTCGTTCTGTCAAATTAAGTGGTCCAGTAGCAGATCCGATTAGAAAAATGATATTTTTACATTTTTCCGGGCATTTTTTTCAATTTTTCTCTTCATAAGAACCTTCCTCGGACTTTAGCAAATATTTGAATAAAAAAATAGCTGAATTAGTGCAGTGGTTCTCAAGTTTTGCATTTAGCATCATATTTAGCGATTCATTTTTATTTATATAGATATATGTTTTTCCAGTTGTTAGACATTGTTCATCCCGCTGCGAAGACATTAGTTGATATTGCAAAGTCCCAAGATGCTGAGGTTTGTAGTTGAATATTTCTATTATATTATTAAGTATGTGATGTTGTATGAATAATAGAAGCTCTTTTTTCTATCATTTATTTTTAATATAATTTAAATATATATACGGTATAAAAATATATAGGGTTCTGTGTTTTTGTGTTTGATAAAATGTACTAAAAAAGAATATTTTTTCGTTATAATTTTTTTAAATATATTTCTATGAGAGTTTATTAGAAAAAAACCGCGCAATTGAGCACCTCCTCTTTTTTGAAGTCGGTTGAAAACAATTATTAATTTTATTAAACAATGACACTAAAAAAATATTTAATTTATTATTTGCAAGTGAAGTAAAAAAAATATCACTAAAAAAACTATAAAATTAGCATAATTATTAAAAGTAGTGTTGCCCAGTTGTCGAAATTCGAGCAAAATCATTATTGTTTTGTTTTAAAGATCTAATCTATCTTATCTAATATCTACTAAGAAAAAAAAAACAACCGAATTGAGAACCTCCTCATTTTTCATGATGGTTGAAAAAAAAAGTGAAAATGTACAAAATATTTTCTGTTTAATAGTTAAATTTCATATGATTATAAACACGGATCCAATTTCCGAATGCCTTTGTTGACAAAAACCGTTATGATTAAAAAAGTTAATAAAAAAAAATTAGAATGAAAAAAAAACGCTCATAATAATTTTTATGTGCAGGTGGGGGACGGTACCACCTCAGTGGTTATTCTTGCTGGCGAGCTGTTGAAGCGTTTGAAGCCATTTGTTGAGGAAGGCAAGTATATATATATATATGTTCTAGTTCTGATTCCATCGTAGATTTTAATTGGAATTACATGATTGTTTTTTAACTTTATAACTTCCCATCAAATAAAACGCTGCCAATGATTAAATCAATGGATTGAATCCCTGAACCTAGTGATGTTCTAGATAGTAGAAATGAGGCAATATCACGTCAGACCCTGACCTCGATCTTGACCTTTGGAAGACAATGACTAACCAGGGTATATCCTCACACTCCCAGGTGTCCACCCTCGCATCATCGTCCGTGCTGTCAGAACTGCAAGTAAACTGGCGGTGGATAAAGTGCATGAGCTGGCTGTGAAGATTGAGAACAGGTCCCCGGAGGAACAGAGGTATGTATATTGTTTTTCTTGTTTTTTTTAGTGATATCTTTTTTTAACCATGGCTAGTTGTCTGATAAGGGTTGGGTTAATTTTTTAATTTTTTTTTTTATATTAGTTAACACTTTCGTAGATTTACGCGAATATTTGTCATTTTAAATAAAACTACTTTTTGGACATTTTCGCAGATTTATTTTGATTTTTGGTTCCTGACTCAATCATGACTCATCGGTCTCTCCCGTGACCATGATTGCCATAAATCAAAATAAATCCGCGAAAAAATCCGAAAAGATTGGTTTTGTTTTAAAATACAAACAAGTATTTTTTTTCGCTTATGATTAAAACAATCGGATTCAATTACTGAAATCATTGTGGAAAATCAACAGAATGAGGCGATTTGTTATCATCCAATTTCCCAATTTTACTATAAACAATATAAAAAAAAGTTTTTTCTTCTAGGGAACTCCTGACAAAATGCGCGGCGACAGCCATGTCATCTAAACTGATCCATCAACAAAAAGATCACTTCTCCAAGATGGTGGTGGATGCTGTATTGTCTTTGGATGCTCCTCTGCTGCCGTTGGATATGATCGGTATGAGCTTGTTTACAGTTTTTAGTTTTTATTATTTGTTATCTACACTTTGGTAATGGCAAGGATGTCAATTATTTTTGCACATTTTTGTATATATTTTAATGTATTTTTTTTATTAATAAATAATATATTTTTTTTTATTAATAAATAATATAGCCTATGATTTAAAACAACGGATCCAATTACCGATAATGCTATGTAGATCATGATAGTAGAAATGAGGCCAAAAAAAATGAATATTAAAAAATAAAGTTTATTTTAAATTGAAATTAATAAGTCGAATTTTCTTTTTAATTTTCAAAGGTGTCAAGAAAGTAACAGGTGGAGCCTTGGAAGACTCATTCCTGGTGTCCGGAGTGGCTTTCAAGAAGACCTTCTCGTACGCTGGCTTTGAAATGCAGCCGAAGAGCTATGTTGACTGCAAGATTGCTTTGTTAAATATCGAGTTGGAGTTGAAGGCCGAGAGAGATAATGCTGAGGTCAGCTTTTTAACTGTATATTTACTATTATAGTTAGAAATTAAACTGTTTCTTTAATCTAAAAATACGAAAGCTTAGAGCGATATCCAAAAAATTAAAATATCTAAAAAACATATTAATTGGAAAATTTGAAATAATTCATGCTAATATGAGCATATAGGTTACTTTTTATCCCGGAAAAATGGACGGTTTCCTATAGATATGGATAGATTTGTTTGTTTTGAATCCGAAGCGAAGTTAGGGTGAGTCGCTAGTAAAATATATTGTCCATTTTTTACTTGCATTCTTTAAAAGTAGTTCAATAGAGTAGGCCCTTGACCGAAGTTTGGTTAGGAAGACTCGCTTGCATTCAAAGAAATAATTTGCCTATGATTAAAAATAACGGATCCAATTACTGAATATGTTGTGTGGATCATACGTGTTATGAGGCTTTTGTTTGACTGCAATACACTGACGGTCTTCTCTTGTGTTCTTCTCATGGTCTTTTATCCTTTAACACTTACAAAATTTCTTAATATACATTTACTTCACTCGGATGCATCCCTAGTAGTCCCAGAAGTTGGGAGTCACTACTAATATCCATACTAATATTATAAATATGAAAGTGTGTTTGTTTGATTGTCCATCTTTCACGTCGAAACAAAGTGATGGATTGGCATGATTTTTGGTGTGGAGATAGTTGGAGGGCTGGAGATTGATATAGGCTATTTTTTACCACAGGGGATTGTCTCATAAATCAAATATTTAGTCTATCTATCCCATACTAACCTTCAAAACATACCTCTAGTAGTCGCTAGTAAATATTTACTTTATTTTTTGCTTTTGTGATAATCTGCAATCAGTCCCAAACTATAAGCAGATTTGTTCCCTGTCACTAACGTGACGTAGGGGATAATCTCTGGATCTACTGAACCGATTTAGATGAAATTTGGTAAGAAGATAGTTTGAGACCCTGGGAAGGACATAGGATACTTTTTATCCTGAAAATCATCCCTTAAGGAGGTGAAAATAGAGATGAAAGTTTGTATAGGGAATCAAGCCAGGGATGATGAATCCGAGTAAAGCGAGCGTGGATCGCTAGTATAATATATAATAATAATTTCAGGTCCGAGTCGACAATGTGAAGGAATATCAGAAGGTCGTGGATGCTGAATGGCAGATTTTGTACGACAAGCTGGCCATTCTACACAAGAGTGGGGCTAACGTGGTGCTCAGTAAGCTGCCCATCGGGGATGTTGCTACACAGTACTTTGCTGATCGGTGAGTGTATTTTGTATTCAGCCGTTTTTAACGTCCCTCTGCTGGGTGTGGGCCTACCTTCAATACGAGAGGGATTAGGTCATAGTCCCCCACACTGAATTGCGGGCGGACTGAGTGTCTTTCGAAAACTTTCTTGGTCCTCTCAGATACGTAGGTTTTCTCACGATGTTTTCCTTCACCGTAAGACAAGTGGTGATCATGTTAGGAATGATTCGCACATGAAAATATCAGAAGAAGACTCGGGATTAGAACCTGCTTGACTCGGTTTCCCAAGCGAGCGCGTTATCACTAGTACTGCACTTATTTATTACTATTCTATAGATTTTCTTTACATTTGTAGTATTTATATAATTCCTAGTGAAAAACTAAAACAAATCTATACCACTGGACAGATTTTGATGAAATTTGGTAAAAAGATAGTTTGAGACGCTGGGAAAAATAGTTTTTATCCCGGAAATTAACCCTTAAGGGGGTGAAAATTTGTATAAGGAAGCAACGTAGTATATTATAACATATAAGGGATTATAATATTAATGGGATTCCCGTGTTCCATGTTCCAGCGACATGTTCTGCGCGGGACGCGTGACGGAGGAGGACCTGCGGCGCACGCAGCGCGCGTGCGGCGGCGCCGTGCTCAGCTCCGTGCGCGACCTGCGCGCCGAAGCCCTGGGGCACTGCAAGGAGTTCGTGGAGCGCCAGGTGGGCGGCGACAGATATAACATATTCACCGGTGAGTGTACTGTATGTGCTTGTTATAGTTTAAACGAGCTATTTGTATACCTTAGGTACGTTTTAATTTTTTTGATCGAATTTTTTCGGTTTTTTTAAGATGTCTTAAAACCCTAGTCTCTCCCGTGATTGCTGTAGAGCATTTGGATACGTCGGGAACCAAAAATCAAAATAAATTCGCGAAAAAATCCGAAATAATAGTATTATTTAATATGTTCTCATTTTGAATACAAAAGTGTTTGTAAAAACTACATTTTGAATGAATTGAAAGTATATATTTAGATTTTCAAATTCAAAGTTTGTGAGTTTGTGACGTTGTAGGGGGTAATCTCTGGATCTACTGAACCGATTTAGATGAAATTTGGTAAAAAGGTAGTTTGAGACCCTAAGAAGGACATGAGATACTATTTATCCCGGAAATCATCCCTTAAGGGGGTCGGAATGGGGATGAAAGTTTCTTTTGGGAAGCAAGCTGAGTCATAAGTACATATAACAATATAATTTTATTTCTTCATACATATACAAGCTCAAAATCACAATCAATAATAGCGTTTTTCCATTTCACTTTTTTTCCTTACAACTTGCTAGTAAATAATTTGCGTTTTCAAACAGGTTATGAAAAAGAAAATGCTCCTTTGGGTGAGAGTTTACATGAAATTGTAACGGTAGTATAAGTTGTATTGTAACGGTACTTCCATTTACTTAAGAGTTGTGAAATTGTTTTTTTTTTTAGTAATTATTTGTGTATTGATATTGTAAATAATGTATTGTTTTAGAGTATAATATATATTATAATATTGTATGTATATAAATTTTGTTTCATGTATCTCGGAAACGGTTTCGGATTTGGATCAAATTTTGTTTTTAGATAGGTTTTGCTTTTCAAGTTTGTCTATACCATACATATGGGTGTTTTTATTGAACAAAAACGCAATTTTTTCTTTTTATTTATTTATTTATTTTATTTATTTACTTCTTTTTACACATTGTATCAATTCAATGATCACTTGTGTACGTCAATTAGAAGACTTAAACTAAAGCTACGAGGGTTCGTAACGCGCCCTGGTCTGAGAAGAACCCACAAGAAACTCAGCCAAGTAACATTTTTTTTTATTGTGATCATTGTTTCACAAACATCCTTACTTCAGTATAAAGAGCAATTCATTCCCAAGCTTTTTTATCACTTAAATAATCCTTTACATTATAATAGGATTTATTTATTAATTGTCTTTTAATGTAAATTTTAAATTTATTTATTGACAGTTTTAAAGTATCATCTGGTAGTTTATTGTAAAAGCGAATACTATTACCAATAAAGGAATTACCAATTTTATGGAGCCTAGTGGTGGGCTGGTTTTCTTAAAACGCCCAGTGAAGCTCGGTTGTCCAAGTAGTGATATAATAAACTAGCGACTCGTCTAAGTCGAGCGAACTAGCGAAAACGTATTTAGGGACGAACCTGCTCGAGTATAGATTTCTCAGAGGTGAGATATTTTCCCGCAATAGAATGTACCCTATATGTCGATCCGTATAACCAGCTATCGTCATACCAAATTTCATCAAAATCCCTCCAGTGGTTTTTCCATGATGCGGTCACAGACAGACAGACAAAAATGACAAAAACTATAGATTCGGTCTCAGTATCGATAGTACATAAAGACTATTTCAATAAGATTTTCCAAAAAAATATTTAATGTACAGATTTGACTCAAAATTTTATTATATGTATATATCAGCCCCTATTACTGTCCCACTGCTTGGACAATGGATGACTTACATTGGCTACCAATAAAACCTTCGATGGGCTTATTTTTTCTCTTTTTATGACTTCCATACGTTGATTTATGTAAATGATAATATTATATTTAGTTTTTTAATAATTTGTTTTGGAGATATTTTGCCTATGATTATAAATAACGGATCCAATTACTGAATGTACTGTGTGGATCTTACGTGTTATGAGGCTCTTTCTCCTTACATAAGTACAAATTGTGTTAGGATCAGGACTGGGATACCTGCTTAAGTTTTAAACTGGGTTCTAGTGTTTGGCCCAAAACCGAAAGGTTCTTAAACCGGTTAAAACCCAGAAAACGGTTTTTGAATGTAGTTTTTTTATGTAGTTTATTATATATGTAATTTAGAATAATGCAGATTATAAATATTACTATTTATTTGTCTAAATTAATTCAGTTTTAATAAAATTATTATATAAACCATCAAAATGTCTTCTTCAGGATGTCCGGCAGCCAAGACCTGCACCCTGATCCTTCGGGGAGGAGCTGAGCAGTTCCTGGAGGAGACGGAGAGGTCTCTCCACGATGCCATCATGATTGTCCGACGTACCATCAAGAACGATGCCGTGGTTGCTGGTTTGTTTTATTTTTGTTAGAAATCCTGATAGTAATCATGGTCTTACCATAAACCGAAACAAAATAGGTAATTAAAAAAAAACAATCTGGATACTGGCAACTGTTACATATGTATGTGATCTGGATATAGTTTAGAATTATTCTAGATGATCCCATAAGTATGTAAAAATTTAATCTAATACAGTCAAGCCGTTTAGGAGAAGAATGACAGACGCACATCACAATTTTATATGTATAGACAATGTTGGTAATATTAAATCACGGTTGCCAAACTTACAGACATTGCATGTAATATATTATAAATATTATATTATAAATGAATGGGTATGTTTTAAATTTTTTCAGCGGAACGTTTCTGTTTCTAAAATAAATTTAACCTAAGCTACTCCTTATAATATTAGCTATCTACCAGTGAAAGTCCCCTCAAAATCGATCCAGCCGTTTCAGAGATTTTGCCTGAACAAAGTATGAATCATCAAAATTGGCTCACGCGTTTGGTCTAGAACCCCACTTAGAAACAAAGAAACATACATAGACTTATAAACACATTACCCTCCTTTGCGTCGCGCAGTTGGTTAAAAAATATATAAACCAGACTTATATACTAAATGTATAAACATTCACCATCAAACTAAGTACATATAAGTAGCGAGTGTTAAATAAAAACCACATATCCCCAGGCGGTGGAGCGATAGACATGGAGGTGTCCAAGTACCTCCGGGAACACTCCAAGTCCATAGCTGGCAAGGAGCAGCTCCTCATCGCGGCGGTGGCGCGCGCCTACGAGGCCATCCCGCGGCAGCTCTGCGACAACGCAGGGTTCGACGCCACCAACCTGCTGAACAAGCTGCGCCAGAAGCATCATCAGGGTGAGTTGGGGAGAGGAATGGGTTATAGGACTGATGGGTTCCTAAGGGTGGGATCTGGATAGTTTGATATTTTATGATAATCTGCTGAGTAAGGAAGCTAGAAGCTTCATCAGGGTGAGTTGGGGAGGAATGGGTTACAGGACTCATGAGGTGATATGAGTAGATCTTGATAGCCTTAGTGTATACTCTCTTTCATGATATTTTATTATAATTGATATCATATCGATGATATTATATTATTAATTTTTGCATATTGGTTTGAGATTTGAAGCAAAGATGGGAAGGTGTAGGTAGTGTAGTGAGTAGGTGAAGAGGGTACCTGAGATAGTTGCAAACAAATTTTGCCTATGATTAAAAATAACGGATCCAATTACTGAATGTGCTGTGTGGATCATACGTGTTATGAGGTTGTGGTCAAAAAAATAAATATATAACCTATGCGTTGGACAAAATTTCATTTTTTTTTGGGTTTCAGGAGAAATCTGGTACGGTGTGGACATACAGAAGGAGGATATCGCGGATAACTTCTTGGCGTGTGTATGGGAACCTGCTGTGGTCAAGATCAATGCCATCACAGCTGCCAGTGAGGCGGCTGCACAGGTAGATAGAGTTATAGTGTAATATACCATAATTTTGTCTGATTTTAAATATTTTTTTTTATATTTTTAATGAGTTTTATAATTTAATTTATTTAAATTATAAAAAAATGTTTAAAATTAACAAGTATTGTAAGGTATTTTGGTGCCATTTTTGTATTTTTGAATTTATTTTTTTAGTTTTGTGGGTACGCTGTCTATAATTTTTTCATTGATTGTTATGAATATGCTGCCAAATAGAAGGGTTGACAAAAAGTACCAATTTTCATTGTGGACAGTCAACTGTAAGTCCAGATGTTATGGTGTACGAGATACACGAAATAAATGTATATATCTTATATACAAGAATTGCTAATTATAAGATTTCATGCTGCAGAACCCTGTCTGTGTGTGCGAGTCCAACTCTCACTTGTCTGACTTTATATAAAAATACTAACAATTTTATTATAACTTTAGACGGCTCGTTTGGCTCAGCTTGTAGTGATCCTACTTGGTGCGCCAGCGGTCGCGGGTTCGAGTCCCGCTGGGGGTATTCATTTGTGTGATGAGCACGAATGTTTGTACTCCAATCATGGGTGTTTATATTTATAATATGTATGTATATAAAGTTGTGTAGTGTATCCACTATCTGGTATCCATAACACAGGCCTCGCAGCTTACCATAGAAACAAGATGGTGCTGTGAGTTAATGTCCCAACATATTTGCTTATAATTTTCACTTCCACAGATCCTATCCATCGATGAAACCATCAAGAACGTGAAGAGTGGTGGCGGAGGAGACATGCCGATGCCTGGCCGCGGCATGGGCAGGCCGCGTATGGGATAAACGGACATACATTCTATATATATAATAATAATAATAACTATAAATAAAACACATTACACATCTTTTGCTTCGCGCTCGGTTAAATGCCTTCAAAGGTCAATAGCAGTACTGATTTTTTTTAACGACTTCACAGGATTTGTTGTGTTCAAACTTAAAGAATAAAGTAGATGGAGTGTTGAAAAGTTGGTGATAGAAGCCAAAAATGATATTATAATCAACTATGATATAATACTATACGTTTGAACAATAAAATGTAAAGCAAGATGTTGATGCAGATATTCATTTTTAAACTTATAAATAATAATATCATAAATATACAAATATAAAATTGGTAACGTGTTCGCTTGGGAAACAGAGTGAAGCAGGTTCAAATCCCGGGTCATGCACATGATCACCACTTTCCTTACGGTGAAGGAAAACATCGTGAGGGAACCTGCAGGTCTGAGAGAACTCAAAGAGTTTTCGAAAGACATGCTCAGTCACTTGGTCAGCTGGTGGACTATGGCCTGATCCCCCTCGTATTGAAGGGAGGCCCACCCCCAGCAGTGGGACGTTAAAAAGGGATTGAATACATAAACATACATACAAGAAAAATTTATTGCATTATACACTACAACTATTTTGTTTTTTAAGTTACAAATCATATTATCTTTGCTGAGAATTGTTTTTAATATAGCAACATTTGCTATTATTATTAAATTATATTTTTTAAATTTTTAACATAGGGTTGCCGTATTTAAATTGTAAGAAAAATTCCACCTCACAAGATGGACTTGGGGTGGTTTTCAGTAATTGATTTTGAATATGTCAGAACTCTATATAATGAATAAATATTTAATTTTGTACACATTCGCTAGTGATGTCGCATTTTTTTCACAATCTTTAGTCAGTAAGTTAGTTATGGAAATAAATTAAAAGTATTAACTCGTTTTTTGTTTTATTTTTTTACCACATGTTTTTATGGGAGTATTTTAGAGGTAGGTTAAGTGATATTCTATGAAATAGTACCATGGATACCATACTCCTTGCACGAAGGAAAATATATAAAAAAAGTTGAAGAAATCAAATTGTATTTGTAAAATCTCTGTTTAAATTTGAATATCTGTGAAAAAAAGATAAAAATATTCCTAAGAAATATTTTTTTTTATAAAAAGCTGTCTTGAGAGCTACCGACAGAAGTGAAAACTTAAAACTATTAACAAACTGTTGTTATTTTTGGATATTCAAATTAATTGTTTGATCTTTAAAATTAAAATTGTTTATGGTTATCTGGTTTTGACACCTATCGGCACTCTGAGTGTTAGCGTTAACACGTCACGTGACCATGTCGATGACGACTTACATGAATTTACTGCCCATACAAATAGACCTGCCTATAGAAATTTTCATTTCAAAAATGAAGTGTTAAATAAACTAAAAATAGGCACTTTGATGATAGAACAGACTTATTTTATAAACTTCTGTCCTCATACAAATTTTCATCCCCATTTTCACCCCCTTAATGGATGGTTTTCGGGGTAACAAGTATCCCATGTCCTCTCCAGGGTTTCAAACTATCTTTTTCCCAAATATCATCTAAATCGGTTCAGTAGATACAGACCCTACAACTTCACAAACTTTAACTCTTTATAATATTAGTATAGATAAATATTAATAAATATTTAAAGATTATTAATAACAATAAAAAATATAAATTTCGATTGAGAGGCTATATTTGTGGGTACATTTTTATTTTTAATTCTTTATATATAAACAATTTATGAACAAACAATTATTTATGGCGAACAATCAAAAACAAATGGAGAAAATTGAAATTCAAAAATTAGTTAAAAACAAAATATGCCAGAACGCCAGGTTTGGTGATCCGCAGAATTTAGCTGTTGTAGACTGAAACGCCACTCATATATCTATTGGACGCGTTTTGATGAACACTTTCATGCAGAGATAGCACTCCTTACTTCTATGCTCCATGATTTATTCATATAATGATTTTTTAGAAAACTGCTCGACCGATTTCGATAAAATTTAGGTATATGGGACCACCTTGGAAGTGTACCCTTCGAAACAAAAAAATTTTCCAAATCGGTTCAGGCAAAAAAAAAGGATTCCGACGAATTGACACCTCCATTTTGGAAATCGATTAATAAAAATGTAATTTAGCGAAATCGATATTCTCGTTTCAAGTAAAAAGTATCGCACCTATTTTAACTATAAATTAAGGTAACTGGCGTTTTATTGCGTGCTTTATTTATACTTTATCTGTACCCGAGCGTCGATTTCTATACATACATATAATAAAATTGTAACTAAGCCGAATCTGTACATTAAATATTTTTTGGAAAATCTTATTGGAATAAACATTATTATCGATACAGCAGAGGCTGAATCTATAGTTTTTAGAATTTTTGTCTGTCTGTGTGTGTCTGTCTGTGACCGCGTCACAGAAAAACCACTGGAGGGATTTTGATGAAATTTGGTATAATGATAGCTGGTTATCCGGGTCTACATATAGGATACTTTTTACCGCGGGAAAATATCTCATTTCCGAGAAAAATACATAAACTGCAATGTAAGAGTATACTAATATGTAAAACCTAAGAATTTGGTTTTTGGTCATCTGAACGCGGGCAGAGCCGCGGGCAATGCTAGTAAAATATAAAAACGATACCTAGCCTTTGTATTTTATCAAACTTGTAAAAGTAATGTTAAAACCTTTAAACATGCACGCATATAAAATGCAAATGATATCCTGTAAAAGACAATATGAATTTATTGGTAATGAATCTATGAATATGGGAGAAAAATTGCAAAAAAAACCATTTAAAAAAAACAACATTTTAAGAAAAAAAATCTAAATTACAAAAACGCACTCAGTTTTTAAAAATTTAATTAAAAATAATTATTTTTGTGTAGTGATAACTTATTACTCGAGTCAACATTTAGGATACCTTTTACTACAGGAAAATCTTTCATTTCCCCAACAAAAACAGATTCTCTGGTTCTATTGAGTCGTCCTTAGAAATTTATATGGCTGACACTGGCTAAAGCAGAGATACGGCAAGAGAATGTACTAGAAAATTATTTGGTCAACAGAAAAATCTGCAATAGCATAAGCAAAGGCTTCGGAGAAAGCTCCTAAGTTACACCCACAATAACTATTCATATCTATTGAAAACGCACCCGAGCGATGCGAACGTGAGTCGCTACTCGAAGGCTTAATCATAAAACAACAATGCTTCCGCCCTTTTTCCACTCAAGATGACAACTTAAGAAAACAAGTATTTAAAATAAATATAAAAAAATAAATAAATATATGTTTGAACATTAACACACAGCACCATCTAGTTCCATGGTAAGCTACGAGGCTTGTGTTATGGATACCAGATACTTGATACACTACACATATATAACTTTAAATACATACATATTATAAATATAAACAGCCATGACTGGAGTACAGACATTCGTGCTCATCACTCAATCATTTATATCAGACTGACAAGTTACAGTATCAATTCTAATGGCCAATTTCACCAACGTCAGTCGTCACCTAAGTTTAAGGGATCCCCTAAGCATGTTTAGGGGGCTGTTAGGGGACACTTTCTGTTTCACCGTCAGTTAGGGGTCATCTAAATATTAAAATGCCACCTAAATATAGTTACTAGAAATACGGGCTCTGAAGATAGTAAAACGAAATTTAATTTAGGGGCTAGTTTAGGGGACTTTTAAGCTAGGGATCCCATACGTAGGTGGTAGCTTATGGGTTGTTGGTGAAATCGGGCATAAGACCTAAATTCTTTTTTTTTTAATGTTGGGAAATGAATTTACGCAAACATACAGTTGGTTGTGAGGGGGTTGAATTAGGGATGAAAGTTTGTATGAAACCTGCCTTTTTAGAGATCTTTTTGTAGTTTTAGCGCGACAAAGCCGAAGATTTTGCTAGTAAATATGCTCATTTAAATTTTAATTTTATAAGATAACGATCTATGTCTACCAAATATTACAGTAATATTATGATAATAATAGTCTGAACTCAGATTGAATCAGCATCGAGGTGATCTTATCGGATCTCTACAATAATAACAAGTGTTTGTATGTGGTTTATATGTATTTCAATATCTATACATATAATAAAATTGTAACTAAGCCGAATCTGTACATTAAATATTTTTTTTTAAATCTTATTGAAATAGACATTATTATCGATACAGAGGCCGAATCTATAGTTTTTAGAATTTTCGTCTGTCTGTCTGTTGCCGCATCACAGAAAAACCACTGGAGGGATTTTGATGAAATTTGCTATGGTGATGGCTGGTTATCCGGGTCAACATATAGGATACTTTTTACTGCAGGAAAATGTCTCATTTCTGAAAAAAACTGCAATGTAAGAGTATACTAATATGTAAAACCTAAGAATTTGGTTTTTGGTCATCTGAACGCGGGCGGAGCCGCGGGCAATGCTAGTTTGTCTATAGTATCCAAAGCAACTTCTACGTTATCGCAGCAAAAAACGAGCTGTTTTAATTTTTATAAATAAAAAACGGCTCCTCTTAGGCCTAACCTATTTTGACGAGTATTGTATTGTGTATTGGGGCAGTCTGTATGGTTTTTAGCTATAATTGGACCCGGTAAGTGGTTCTGTAGTCAAGACACAGTTTTTTTTTAAATTTTCTAACCAAACGACATGACTACACGTTTGGCTCAGTTTGTAGTGTGTACTTACTGTGCCAGCGGACGCGGGTTCGAGTCCCGCTGGGGGCATTCATTTGTGTGATGTCCACGAATGTTTGTACTCCAGTCATGGGTGTTTATATTTATAATATGTATGTATTTAAAGTTACATAACACAGGCCTCGTAGCTTACCATGGAACTAGATGGTGCTGTGTGTTAATGTCCCAACATATTCTATATCATACACATATTATAATATTATACGAGCTCTATTTCAGGACAATGGCTGTCTAACGGCGCTAGTATTAAATGAAATTTCTTTTTCTAGTTACCTTTGTCGCTTATGGGCTATGGTATGTAGGATATATACAAACATATGAACAGCAGGACGTGAAGCAAGCAGCCTTCAACGCGGGATATTTCGTTGCTGTTTCCGATGGCGTCTTCACGCTGATTTCACTCAGTCGTTTATTGTTATTTAATTCGCACACAAGTGGGTCATTTTAATTAAAAATATAAGTAATTTCGAAACTATCCACATATAATGATATTCAGTTTGGAATTACGCATTTTGGCTTTTGATTGTAGAGTGTTCGTATTTTTCTTTTGTAAAAACAATTCAATTTGTTAATTTTGGCTATAGTTTTATTATTTTCATAGTAATTTCTACCAAAATTTAAACAAAATGTGGGTGAAGTGGACTTTAAGTATATTATTAGTATCGCGTGTGTCGTCGTGGACCGTGGATCTTGATGAGGTGGAGAAGTTGGAGAACAGCAGGGATGAGAATGTTGAAAATGATGTATACTACAATTACGCCGAAGGCTATGGATATCAAAATATTACGGTGAAAAAAGTAAGATTTCATTTCAAAATTTCACAGATTCGCTTAGATATATGACATATACATACATACACTTAAAATTACTACGTCAAACCTGCAGGTATTTCTAACTAGCGACTCACCTTCGTTTCGTTCGGGTTCACCTCTAGACAAACAAAAACAAATTATACGATGGGAACCATTTTTTGGAATAAAAAACCATGCCTTTCCACTGCAACAAGTACTGAATCTATTCAATAGTTTCCTCAAATTTTCAATATTGATTATGGCCGAATTTCGATCACTGGGCGAACATTACTCTATATATATAATAAAATTGTAACTAAGCCTAATTTGTGCATTAAATATTTTTTGGAAAATCTTATTGAAATAAACATTATCATCGATACAGAGGCCGAATCTATTAGTTTTTAGAATTTTTGTCTGTCTGTGGAAACCCATCACGAGAAAACCACTGGATAGATTTTAATGAAATTTGGTATGATGATAGCGGGTTATCCGGGTCAACATATAGGATACTTTTTACTGCAGGACAATATCTCATCTCTGACAAATCTATACTAACCTTAAAACGTAGGGACGAACCCGAGCAGACGAGTGTGAGTCGCTACTCGCTAGTAATACTACATTATCTTAATTCTTATAGGGGCTACACTATGTTATATTATACTATACTATACTATAAACACTTCTCACTTCGACTCTAACACTAACAAGGCCTTTTTTTATCGTTGGGAAATGCATTTACGCACGAGGTGTGGGACTCACCGGCAAAGCCAGTACTACCCACTAAAACCCAACAAAACCTTCCCCCGTCTTAATGGGGCGTCGCAGGATCGCTTACGCATTCAACTACGACGCCCCGACAGTAAGTCTCCCGAAGCAGACCACAACAACCATGGGGTTGCTCCACAGTCCACTCTGCTATCATAGAAGTACCAGGAGCAACCCGCATGGTACACCGCCCTCCGAAGAGGGCCGCCTCCCACCGCCCACCGAAGTGGGCCACTTCCCTGTGCGTTTCTTGGCTTCGCGCCCGGTTGGGTTCCGGGCACTACTGAGCCCCCCCACCACGACAAGGTGAACGCACGTTGGGGGGAGCACTAACAACGCCTGGCTACATCAGTTTAAGTCTATATTTTATAAATTTCCAGGTGAACAGCACGAGTATACTGAGTGACGGCAGCGCCTACCTCGAGGGTCTCAGCAGAGCGCTGATGGCGTACCGCGACACTTTGAGCAACTGCAGTCAAATGAATTTTACTGCGGTCAGTTTGATTTTATATATCTATTAGCATAGACCGCGGCTCCGCCCGCGTTCAGATGAGAAAAAACCAAATTCTTAGATTTTACATATAAGTATACTCTTACATTGCAGTTTTTGTATTTTTTCTCAGAAATGAGATATTTTCCCGCGGTAAAAAGTAGCCTATATGTTGACCCGGATAACCAGCTATCACCATACCAAATTTCATCAAAATCGTTCCAGTGGTTTTTCTATGATGTGGTAACAGACAGACAGACAAAAATTTTAAAAACTATAGAATCGGCCTCTGTATCGATAATAATGTATATTTCAATAAGATTGTCCAAAAAATATTTAATGTACAGATTCGGCTTAGTTACAATTTTATTATATGTATAGATTTAATCTCTCACTCGCTCTGTATTACTATTCTAACGTAGGATTTAAATATTGACTCGAAATAATAAAACGTAGGAATTCTATAGTCGAGTTATAATTATTGTACAGCAACATTGTAAACAAATATTGTTTTAAAAGAAATGTTGAGTTTCTCTCGGGCTTTTCTCAGCAGAACTGTCTCGAGCTGGTGGTAGATACTTCTATTCCTTACGGACTCACATATTGACATTTTATTTAAATTTCATAAATGTTAAAATTGACGATTCAAAAGAGCTTGTAAAAGTCTATTTGAATAAAGTACCTATATTTTGATTTGATTGAAATGATGAAAATTATCTTTGTCTTTTCACGCTTGGGGTCGGCACATATTTCCTTCTGCCTTCATAGGTTCTCCAGCCATCACCTTAGCACACACAGCTTCAAACTATCCACACCTTCTTCTATCAATATTGATAGTTATACCTTTGCTTATAGGACTTGTATTTCTCAAAACCAGCTTTTTGGGATGCAGTCCAAGACCCCTAAGATATAACAGGCTGTTAAAAACAATGGATAATGTGGTGAATTTATGAAATAAGAATATATAAAATAAAAAATAAAAACTAAATCATAAAAGGTTGACTTAAGAACCAAACAATAGCGTTATCTTAATTTTTTCTAAGTAGTATCTTATTCATCATCTACACTTAATATTATAAAGAGGTAGTTTGTGAGTTTGTGACGTTGTAGGGGGTAATCTCTGGATCTACTGAACCGATTTAGATAAAATTAAGACGGGGGAAGGCTTTGTTGGGTTTTAGTGGGTAGTACTGGCTTTGCCGGTGAGTCCCACACCTCGTGCGTAAATGCATTTCCCAACGTTAAAAAAAAAAAAGGGTCTCACAGATACCCCCCTAACGTGCGTTCACCTTGTCGTGGTGGGGGGGCTCAGTGGTGGGGGGGCTCAGTAGTGCCCGGCAATCCGACCGGGCGCGAAGCTAAGAAACGCACAGGGAGGTTGCCCACTTCGGTGGGCGGTGGGAGGTGGCCCTCTTCGGGGGGCGGTGTACCATGCGGGTTGCTCCTGGTACTTCTCTAATAGCAGAGTGGACTGTGGAGCAACCCCATGGTTGTGGTGGTCTGCTTCGGCAGACCTGCCGTCGGGGCGTCGTAGTTGAATGCGTAAGCGATCCTGCGACGCCCCATTAAGACGGAGGAAGGTTTTGTTGGGTTTTAGTGGGTAGTACTAGCTGTATTACGCCGGTGAGTCCCACACGTCGTGCGTAAATGCATTTCCCAACGTTAAAAAAAAAGGGTCTCACAGATAGTTTGAGAAGGACATAGGATACTTTTTATCCCGGAAATCATCCCTCAGGGGGATGAAAATGGGGATGAAAGTTTGTATTGGGAAGCAAGCTAGGGACGAACCGAGCGAAGCAAGGTTAAGTCGCTAGTACAATAATAAAAGGGACAATATGTTTTGACCGGGGTGCCTATTCAAATGTGCCCACTAGTTATAAATATAAAGACAAAATAACTATTAGATTAGGCTCCCAAGATGTGTTAGCCCCTTATATTCACGGTCTGCCCCTGCTCATAACAGCCCCATACCACGCTAACTTGTCACTCTTTAGTTTCTCCATCACCAGTGCAGTCCTATCACCACTAAAAAAGTAAAAATCTTATATTACAGACGGAGAATAAAACTCCGCACGTAGGTGAGGTTTCAGAAGATTCAAAAGCGTGTCAGACAGCTGCCAGGAACAGGGAGTACGTGCAGCGTCTGTCAGACCTGGCGCTCCTCACCACCAACAGGTTGCGAGATAAAGCTTATGATAAAAAGGAGAAGGTTAGCTTTATTTTTCTAATACTATTATAAATAAACGAATAAAATTGTACGGTGATATGGCGCTGGAATAAAAAAAATATTTGAACACAAAAGCTTATTTAATTACATACATAACTTTTATAGATAGTACAGATTTCTAGATTCAAAATAAAAAAAAGACAGATTTTTTTATATTTTTTAAGTTTGAATACAGAAAAACCTTAGTGTTAATTCATTCAAAGGCAAAAAAAAGTATAGGAGAGCGCTGTAACTTAGCTCTGTATAGCTGTCTTTGTCTGTCTCCATTATTTCTTTAAAATAATTTTATGTAAGTAAATTTAGACTCCCCATTACCTTTATTTTTCAAAAATTGTACGTTTCCAGAGGCCATAACAAATACACTAAGCCCTTGTGACATTTGATCAGACCCCTTTTTGTTATTTTCATTAACTGCAAGATGTACGCACAGGATGATCCCAAGGTTGAAAACGAGTTGCTGCTGCAGCTGGCTTGGTTCCTGGACCGCCTCGCGCTGGTGACCGGCTACGAGCCCAACCCCAAACAGTACATTCACCAAGAAACAGGTACTACGTACAAGGGAATTTCAACAAAAAGCTTACGTATTTTTACTGCATGTTTGACGTAACATATCACATAACGTATGTATATTAAATAAATATGTTGGAACATTAACACCTAGCACCATCTAGTTCCATGGTAAGCTACGAGGCTTGTGTTATGGATACCAGATAGTTGATACAGCATAAATACCCATGACTGGAGTACAACCATTCGTGCTCATCACACAAACGTATGTCCCCAGCGGGACTCGAACCCGCGACCGCTGGCACAGCAAATAGGGTCACTACAAACTGAGCCAAACGTATCGTACAGCGCTATATAACTACTTTCAGATAAAAAGTATTATAACTGCTAAATTAAATATTACAGTGTTATTATACATTTATTTCACAGAAGCTACGAAGCAACACAAAGAACAAGCACAAAACAGTAAAGCATCTCAAGAGCTATTGGAGCAAGTTGAAAATAATCGTCCGTTGATAAAACTCCCGCCAAAAAATATGACAGCTGTCAAATCTGTTCGGAAACGTTCCGTTAATAGAAATGTCAACGATTCATTGAACAAAGTGTTAACGTACTATGTGAAATATAAGGTTTGGAATGGCGCAAATTCGAATAGTTCACGAGAAAATTTAAATTTCGATACAGAAAATCATTTAAAAGCTAAATCTATTAAGAAAAGATCAGTTAAAAAGAAAATTAATGTTGTGCATAGTTTTAAAAATAAAAATGATGGCAGAAGAAGTAAAGTAACGATAACAAAAATGGCCAAAAATTTAAAATTCAAAGCCAAAGCTAAAGTGTCAAAACCATTGAAAAATGTGAAACAAACTTCTATACTGATTAATTTCTAATTATCCACATTTATATTTCAAACCCGAGCCAAAAAAGGAGTATTATAAGTTTAACGTGTGTATCTGTGGCATCGTAGAGCCGAAACGGTTGAATAGCGAGCCAAATCGAGTGTTGTTAGCTATAAATATAAAAAAACCGCTTGCATCAGCTCTTTTCTAGACGGTAAAAGAATATTATGAGCAACTTCCACAGAACTAATCCATTCGAAACTTGGTATCCCGTTCCTTCAATGATATGGTAACCTTGGCCTGATGCTGCAGCGTCACCTGGAACCTCGTGTTGGGGTTTTACTGTATGCCTAAATAACACAATAATACAAATTAAATGTAACATATCTTACGATGCTTACAATAAAATAATTTTGTACTGCAGCATAAATAAAACAAAAATCTATAATGACTCGATTTCTTGATTTTGATTGATTTTGACGACTTTTTTACAAGTTCATTATAGTATTATACTGGTCGAAATAAATATTTTTCTTAATACTTTCTTAGATTTACGCGAATATTTGACATTTTAAATAAAACTGTCTTCTAGGATTTTTTTGCGAATTTATTTTGATTTTTGGTTCCCGACGTTTCGAATGATTTACAGCATCCATGGTCGGGAACGGGAGAGACTGAGGTGTTACATGTCTGAAAAGCATTATATATATAGTTGTTACAGACAGCCTACCCACTGGGGGTGGGTGTGGGAAATATAGTTTTATTTAAAATCAGTGTTTTTGATTATAATTGTAAGATTTGACGTCCGAAGTTAGCGATTACTATTGATTACTACGTTTTGTTTGATTGTTTACTCTATATTACGAGTATGCTTTATACATTCTGACAATATTTGTATTTTATGTATTTAAACTGCCTCGGTGGTGTAGTGGCTAGCAAGTACGGCTGCACATCGTGAGGTCCTGGGATTGAGTCGCGAGTCGGGCCAAGATTAGTTATTGAATCTTTCTGTATAGTAAGCTTCAGTAACAGCCCGGAGTTGGGAAGTTGGCGGTGTTTCACCCCCGTGCCTCGGAGAGCACGTAAAGCCGTCGGTCCTGCGCCGACACTCACCGGTCGTGTCGAGTGGTCGTCCCGCCGGAGTATGAGAGTGACAGGAATAGAGAGTGCACGTTGTGTCTGCGCGTACACTTGTGCACTATAATATCTCCTGCGCAGTTGGCTAGTCTCAATGAGATTGGCCGCCGTGGCCGGAATCGGTCGGGAGGTCATAATTTGAATTTTTATCATGAGAAACTACCTTTATATTTAGTTAGTTTATAAATGTTACTTCATTTTTTTATGGGATGAACGAAAAATTAGTCCGAAATAGTGTTTATATATTAATTATGTAATATATTTAGGTTTTGTAATAAACCATGTTAATGTGTAAAGGTTTCTTTATTAAAAACATATTTAGTAATACTTAACACAAAATATTTTCAATTCAATTCAATTTTCTTATTAATGGCTTCAAAATGTGCCATTTGAGCAAAATATTTTTATGCGTTATAGAGTTTAAGGTTAGTAAAATATAATAACAAAAAACAATGAATAACCTCGATGGCAAAATACCACGATGTCTAAAAAAATTAATATTTTAATATTACATAACTAACTTTTTCTTGTAATTTTAAATGCAAATTTAAATGCAAAAAAAAAAAATATAAAAAAATATATGTAAATATTTAGTATAATTTATTGAATGTTTCTATAAACTAATATTGTATATATGTCCCTATTTAAAAAAAAATCTATAGTATTTATAGGGGTATATAAACAAAACAACATATATTATGCAAAATATATATTTAATACAATTAATTACATATAACAGTAACATAAGAATGGTTCACGCCATTTTGTATTACAATTTTAATCCTTAACTCTAGCTATACTTTGACATTGAGTCCATTTTGTTTGACAGATTCCCGCCATTTTCCAGAAATGTCCGATTTTACCTATTTATTATCTGTCCAAGTGTTTTCATTTTGAAAATGTCTAAATATTAAAATTCCAACCGATTTTGACACAGAAACAATATAACGTGAATAAACTGTGTAAAATCAACGATAATATACTGTAAAGTGGCTTTGTTGTACTCTGGCACTGAAAAACAACGTTCGGCGTCAAAATCGGAATATCTTTTTTTTTTACCAAACTATTTATCTAAAATCTCTTTTAATTATGCATTAACAGATTAAATACGCGCTTAAAATTAAATATTATTGTCATATTCCAATACTTTTCTTTATTTATGGCAGATTTTGGAATGTTTGTTTTTTCATTATTTAGTTTTTCAATTATTTCTGGAATGTTCTAAAAGTAAGTTTAGAAACATTTTCAAAATTCTTTTGATCCCAATTATTATGCCGATTTGTGACTTATTAAATGACTAAATATATAAAAACTATAATATCTAAAACTACTTCAAGACATGCTGAATAGAAGCGTGTACAGGAATAATATAAATAACATGAAAAAGAAAAAAATTATATTAAAGAAGGCACTTCCCTTAACTAGGACCAGATTTGGTCGATTATCTACACATAAAAAAGGCACGATTAGACAAGAATGCTTAATAATTTCAATACAAAACACAATTAAAAGTAAATAAGTAGAAAGAAGCTGGCAACATCGATTTCTTATGTATCAAATATGATACCGACATTCAAAAAAAATTTTTTTTACAAATGTTGCCAGTGTATAAAATTAGGTATGATTTAAAAAAAGCCGATTCGCCTTGTTTTTTGAGGTAAGCTTTTACATGTGACTCTGTGGCCTCTTCTTTCTGCTGAAAAGTCCTCCGAACACTCCCTTCTTGTCTTTCTTCTCCTTCCCGCCCACGGACAGCTCCGACTCCCCAGATGACCTAAAAAAAAGAGATTGACGTATCATCTATACTAATACTTATAATCTATACTTAATATTATAAAGAGGTAAAGTTTGTGAGTTTGTGACGTTGTAGGAGGTAATCTCTGGAACTTCTGAACCGATTTAGATGAAATTTGGTGAGAAGATAGTTTGAGACCCTGGGAAGGACATAGGATACTTTTTATCCCAGAAATCATCCCTTAAGGGGGTGAAAATGGGGATGAAAGTTTGTATTGGGAAATCAACCTAGGAACTTAGCCCGTAATTTATTTTTTACTATTGGATTAATACTAAACGCACGCAAACAAACAGATAAAAGATTAATTAAAAATATATGAATGAGTAACACTTTGGTAAAATTTACGTGACATCTGTATATATAAAAAGAAAACCGTGACTGTCTGTCTGACTGGCTGACTGATCTATCAACGCTTAGCTGAAACCGTTGAACGTATTGTGTTGAAAGGCACTGAGGTAATTTTTATGGCATAGGTATCCCCTAAGAAAAGATTTTTGAAAATTCAACCCCCAAAGGGGTTCCACATTTGTATGGATAAATCATATAAGAGAGATGTATCAATTCAAAAATTCTGCATGATTACTTCTATCAACAAATAAAAAAAAAAGTGTTTCGTAGGGTTCCAAAAACCAAAATTATAAAAGTTAAAATATAATAGAGTCGTTTTCCGATTTGTGCCACTTTAAATATGAACTGGTTAAAAAAAAAAAATTTGTTGGGACAACGACATGGGACGTTGGGAATTAAAAATTAAAATAAATCCGCGAAATAATCCGAAAAGATAGTTTTATTTAAAATGTCAAATATTCGCTAAGAAAGTATTATTTATTCATAATTTAATAATAATAATTCTACGGCTATATAATGTAATACTTTGTTTAAAAAAAATAAACTCACCTGGAAGCCGGCCTCTGATCTAATGCGGGGGATCCCCCGCTGCCGGCGACGGAGGCGGGGCGCGTGCTGCTGCCGCTGCTGCCTCCATACGCTACAAAAGTATATACACCAGTTATTTGATGAATTTATGTATGTATGAGACTGTCAGTGCAAAAAGGGCCTAACTTAAAAAAATATATGGGAAATTGGGCACATTTAAATATATGCAATCTTAATTTATTTTCTTGATTTTTATAGGTTAGGCCGTTTTGGGCTGAGTTTAAAAGATAAGAAATAACCAGAACCCATGCTTATACATGTATGTAAAAATTATGCATTATGGTATAAAAAAGCAAATTTTTAGAATTCTTAAAAAAAAATAAGGGCTAATTTTCTATAAGGGTTTTTCTTTTCGAAGAACCAACGGAATGCACAATATTTACTAAACACGGCACCAAACAATAAAAGCTTACATTTACTACATTCAAAGCTATAAAACACAACAAAAGTTGGTACTGGAAGAGAAATAAAATAAATGAAAAACAACTGATTAAAAAATCATTTGTAAGGGCAAAAATTATTAGTTTAAGACCCAACAAAAAATTTGAATAAATTTTTTTTATTTAAATAACTATTTATAATAACCAGTCGTTCTTTGTTTATATTAAAGAATATTCATTATTAAGGCCATTTTCACATGGTACTACAGAAAAAACCTAATCGAAGATAAAGCTAGTGGCCTATTGAATACTCTATTGGAGCGTAGTGTGGAAAGGGCCTTAAAGTATTTTATAGTAAGCTAAGCTTGCTTTTGTATTGGTATACAGACGCTACCAATATAAAATTTATTATTATATATTTTTTTTACAATTAATTACACAAAAATGATTGAAGAAAAACCATAAATTAGAAAAACAAAAACAATCTATCCCACAGGAATCGTACTTTTTTCCGGGATAAAAATATGAAGTGCTATTCCAGACTATAATCTATCTCTGTGCCAAATTTCATCCAGATCAGTTCAGGCGTTCTGGCGTGATTGAGTAACAAACATCCATTCAAATTTATAATATTAGTAAGATTTAAGAAATAAAAAATGATATTTTTGTGTAATTAATAAAAGATAACATAAACATATAAAGCTAATACATATGAAGTGTGTATCACACGGAAATATCCAATCATCAAACCAATTAATAATTTTGTGTCAAGTGTGATACGACTTAAACATATAAGCAAAGCTACACAAACGAAACAAGCCGCAACATCACAATATTACCCAAAAGCTAAATATATTATAATATAATTCTAAATATAAGCTGAAAAAAAAATATAATAGCCTAAAAAAAATAAACAACCTTGTTTCTTTTTTTTTAAATACCATTTTTTTCCACAGACAAAAAAGAAGATTCGTCAAAATCACAGATAAAGCCAAAATTTATTACAATTAAAAGGCAATGTTTGTTTATTTTTATTTATATATATTTATTAGTAATGTACCTAAATAGCAAAAACAAATCGAAAACAAACTAAAATTATTTAAAAATAAAACGAGATAGTATACATTGCACTTTATGCAGTACATAGAGCAGGTGACTCGTTCCTTCGCAGCGTTAAAACACAGATAAAATATTATCTCACTTAAATTAAAAAAATAATATTAAAAATAAACATGAAAATAGAAATAAGAAAGATAAAGAAGGAGTGATGTGAAACAATAATTTTACTTTTAACTGTCCGACTTCAAATAAGGTGGAAGAAATCAATTTTGGTTAATTGTAAACTGTTTATTTTTTTTAACTGTAATGGTTTTTTTTAATGTATATATTATGTCTAAAAAGGTCCCTTTTATTTTTAAATTTTAAAAGTAATAGTTCCACCTTATTGGTTTTCGCCGTTTTCATTAATAGATGGAATGAATTTTTAGAAGAAATGAGAAAATAATATACTGTGATCTAGATACATGATAAATTACATTTTTTTCATACAATTTTTTTGTTGTATAATCTGTGCTGTCAGATAATATTAAGTTTAAAAGTATTTTAAATTTATTTTTACGGATTTCTTCGCGTTTTAATTTGATGTTTTATTCCCGACTTCTCAGCAATCCACGGGAGTGGAAAGTCTTGGATGTCTCAAAAGTTCGTAAAAAAAAATATATGTATAAACGAAAAAACGCAAAAAAAACTGTAAAAATAGTTTTGTTTCAATATCAAATATTCGTATGAACCTAAGAAAACATAAAATAAAAAAGAATTAAAAAAAATGCCAAAAGCACAGACTATAAAATATATTACAGATTATAAATACATTAATAATGCGATGTGCAGAGCTAGAAGCTGTGTTATTTTTCAATGATATATCTAAAATATGTGAAACCAAAACACCACTAACTACTGAAGTACAGCGAATTTACTACTGATCTATGAGGCTGGTTTAACTTTTAAATGAAGCGATTAAAAAAATGGGTAATGAAATCTGTGTATCACGTTAGATATACATACTTTTTTAACTTAATTAGTTGTTTTTTAATTATTTTTCGTCGAAAAAGAATTTTATAGGAATTGATTGTTTGATTGAATTGTTTCATGAACGAATGAAATGTGGAGGTTATACTACACGTATAACTTTAGTGTATGTAGTCATAATCGAACCTTAGCCATATAATATAAAATATGTATATATATATATATACTAATATTACACTCTACAGAAGGAATGAACTAAAAATGGAAGCATTCAAAGTAGTTGTGTTTTTAAGTTCTGTAACATGTAATGATTTCTACTGAAATAACGATTCTACCTTAACGTATAATTCTAAAATGAAAACTAGCCTCATAGATTTTTTTTTTACTGTGACGTGGACCAGTCTCTTTAAGCCTTTAATTTGAATTTGTTTTTTCTTTATTTTGGCGCCATTTTGTATATTACTTCCACATCACAGTGATATTGAACGATCAACCCTTTAACTAACCGAGCTCGCTCGCCGAATAGAAGTGAGAAGTTTCGACCCCCTGCCAGTTATTGTTCTGACTATTCTGGCTACTCTGGCGTTCATTGTTCTGCCATCCCCCGGAATTCCTGTTAGGATCCGCCTTCTCATGATAACTCTTCGACATCCTCTGTTGGTAGCTGTTCACTAGCGCCGTTACCGACTTTTCGCTTCGTTCTGACGAACTTCGTTCAGATCGATCATTTCGATCGTTGTTATTAGTACGATCGACTCGTTCAGGGACAGCTGGGCCCCTTTCGGGGATATTCGGGCCCCTTTCTGGTATAGATGACCTTTCTGGTATGTTAGGGCCCCTTTCCGGCAAAACGGGGGCCCGCTCTGGGATATTTGGTGGACGGTCCGGGGGGCCTGACATGGGGAGTGGGGGGACTCCGTCTGCTACTTTAGGGTTTAAGGTTAGGTAAATATTGTGGCCTTGTTTATTATTTTATATATTTAATTAATATCGTATTATACTATAAGTTATATTAAATTAAAAACTGAAAAAAGATATAATTCAAAAACGTCACAATTTATGCTTCAACGACACAATAAAGCGGCACATTCCATTTTTCCACGGCATTTAATAAATAAAATAAATCCTAAATTACAATCGAGAGAAATATATATTTTTAATTACAAATCTACGATCTTCTGAGATTTAAAATATTTATTTTCGTCGATCAAATATGGCGGACTTACCGTCACGTTGCGACTTGATGAACTCCGCGTTGATGTCGCGCCCGTTCGAGAATCTCGACCGGCCCCAAGTGTGGGCGGACTGCTCGGAATTTCTGTTTGGTAAGAGAAGTAATAATAGTTAAAGTTATTTTATTTTTTGATTATAATTAAAAAGTAAACAACAAAACACATATTTTTGACCAGCTGTCGAAATCGAAACGAATAATAATAATAAATATGTTGGTACAATAGCACACAGCACCATCTAGTTCCATGGTAAGCTACGAGGCCTGTGTTATGGATTCCAGATAGTTGATACACTACACATATATAACGTTAAATACATACATATTATAAATATAAACACCCGTTATTGGGGTACAAACATTCGTGTTCATCACACAAGTGAATGCCCTCAACGGGACTCGAACCCACGGCCGCTGGCACAGCAAGTAGGATCACTAAAAATTGAGCCAAACGTGTCATCAATCCAGAGATTGAAAGAGTTCCACAGCCCACATCCTGGCCCTATCATCACATCAGCTCGATGGCATCAAAATATATTATCATTTAGATTTCACAATGTGAAAAGTTTTAAATCGTTAAAACTATTAAGAAGTAGCGTAAAATTAATATATATAATCTTTATAAAATCCTTGGTCTATCTGTACTGTGATAATTAAAAAATTAAATTAAGAAGTAACTAGCACGTACCGGAGCACGACCTCGGCCGCGTCGTCGACGACCGGCGGCGGCTGGCGCGGCGGCAGGGATGGCAACACTGACGACTCTAAAATATTTATTCAAAAAATATTTATGGTCACATTTTGAAAAATATAAACATTAGCTGGAAATATTTGGAGATTACAATTTTAATATTTGATTTGTTTCTTTAAACCTTGAATGTAAAATAAAATTAATGGAAAAAAATATATTTTTTAAATTAAATTTTCAATATTTTTAAGTATTTAAAAAAAATGTGGTAGGACGTTACTAATATTCATAACTTTAGAGATATCAAAAACCTCACTCTCTCCCGTGATTTGAAGCAATTAAAATGTCGGAAATAAAAAAAGTCTCAAAAAAACAAAACTTTTTTTTGTTATATAAGTGTTAAGTTCAAAGCTGAAATTAAAACGTTTCTATATAGTGGTATAGTATGTATGTTATACGCTGGCACCGACCAATGTTCCTCTCGGGCGTGACGGAGGGCGGGCGGGCGCCGCGCGCCTCGCGCAGGATGTCGGCCTGCGAGCGCGGCGCGCGCGCCGGCTCGGGGGACGACGCCGCGGACGACGACGACGACGCGTTCCTGGCGGCGAGCGGCACCATACAGTTGATTAGTTATTGTTACAAAAAAAGTAAAAAAACAAATCTTTATCATTTTAATTATTATCAAAATATTGTTTTAATTTTCAGAAAAAAACTTTTTTTTTGTATTTTTAATACCAAGCTAAGAAAAAAAATCTTTTTTTTTCACTCTACGTAATAAATACATGGCGTATACTGACTGCTGCAGACGCCTGCGCACGTCGGCGGTGGGCGAGTCGGGCGCGCCGGGCGCGTCGGGCGCGCGGTAGGGCGTGAGCTGCAGCGGCGGCGGCAGCTGCGCGTGGAAGGCCAGCTTGGCGACCCACTCGCGCATGGCGTCGCGCGAGGCGCCCGCGAACAGGTACTCGGCGCCGTCCGCGCACGCCAGCCGGAACACGTGCGCGCGCTTGGTGTAGTCGTCGGCCGGCGCGCAGCGCGCGTGCAGGATGGCCACCGGCGGCGCCGCGGCCTTGGAGCTGGCGAAGTCCAGCTCGTCACGGAAGAAGCACAGCAGCTGGCCGCACAGCACGGTGTAGTAGCCGCGCCACGACCGCACCGTGGCGCGCTTGCCGCCGCACCCCGCCTCCTGCTTGCGCTCTAGGTAGCCTGCGCACACACACATACATACATGTACATACAGACAACAATAGTAAGCCAGTGCATTTATAAACTTTTTTCCCAAAAAAGAAACCCCGCACCTCCCCTGCTTGCTCTTCAGGTAACACGCGCACGCACAAACATACATACAAACAGTAAACCGGGAAACCCTTTTTTGAAGTTCCATAGTCAAAAACACCTTTACAGTGTCATGTCCGACTGTTCCTATGTCACAGCCATAATTATCAAAGGCTCTGGTATAACGAATTGTATTTAAAATCTAACGTGGGTATCTTGCGTGACCCGCTTGACAATGTTATAATAAAAAAAAATAGGTAATTAATTAATTAAAAAAAAAATATTTTTTCGGATTATTTTGCGGATTCATTTTGATTTTTGGTTCTCGATGTTTCCTATGCTTTACAGCAATCATGGTCAAGATAGTTTGATTTAAAATGTCAAATATTCACGAAATATAAAAAAACATTCATAAAAAAATATCTAAAAATGATGTAGCTGGTTGCTGAACGGTTTTGTACAATAACATCTTTTCATGTGAGGATTGTTTATGCCCAAAAGTGGTATATTAAAACACAAGTATCGTACCTTCTATCTCGACGGGCGGCAGGTCGTCGGGGCGCGCGTGCCGGCGGAAGCTCTGCGTACGGCGCCGCGTCGTGAACGACGGCGTGCGTTTCGGGGTTTTCACCACCTGTACATACACACACACACACACACACATACATACATACCATAGTATTATTTGATTACAACATAACATACCATAGGATGATTTGATTATTCGAATTTTCGCAAAATACGCAGGGATTTCGTGAAAACACGGATAATTAGACAATGTTTAGAATTTGGTCAAAAATTCAAAAACTTTATTTTTTATTATAAGTGTAATTGTGATGAGTTTTATATCTTTTTACTTGAGAAATGATTGATTCCCCATATAAACTTCCACCAGAACAGGGGAGGAGAGGGGGGGGGGCTGTCACACCCTTATGGGTTGATTTCCGGGATAAGAACTATCCTTTCCAATGCCTCAAGGTACTCGTATCTCCATACTAAAATTCACTTGGTAGTAACTTTAAGTTGGTCTCATAAAAAATTGGTGAATATCTGATGAGGGTCTTCGTCGTGACATCTCCTCGAAATGCAATTAACACTCGCGAAGTCTACTGTAATTAGTATGTTTGACTCACGCTCATGCTCTCAGCACGCTTCACCAGCGGCTCGGGCTTGGCGGCGGGCGGGTGCTCCGGCGCCTCCTCCGACACCGCCGACACCCCCGTGCTGCTGCTGAGCTGACGTTCCACCTGCTTCCCAGGAGTGGGAGGTTAGTATGGTTTGTTTATTAGGATGAAACACTGTCCGTAGAACTTCTATTTTTGTAGTTATAAATCTTTTAGCACTTTTTTGAAAAAAATATGAGAGTAATATTTTTGAGATGCGCGCGCACACCGACTGCCAAAAACTTAGCGGAAAGCGACATGATGAAATTAGCCGCATTCCTTTTACAAACAGAGAGTTGTGACATACGGGATGAAATCTTTTGCTATTTTTGTTCCGCCAAAGAAGTATAACTTCTTACGTGCGTACATAAGTACACACGTTTTTTTTTTTGGTATTTTTATATGTTGTGTTGTTCCTTAATAAATAAATACTTTATTAGATATTTTGAAACAACAAGACTTACCATAGCCGGTCTCTGTTCCTGCATCTCCAGAACCCCAACTCCTCGGTTGTCCTGCAGCTCAGTCTCCCGCCGCCTCTCCTCCGTGATCCTCTCCATCTCCCGTCTCTTCACCTGCTGCAGACGATCAGCTTCCTGTTTCTCTGCCAACTTCTTCCTTGCTTCTTGCTCTTCATTTTGTTGGTCTTTGAAAGCTTTTTCGATCTATATATAGATTGACGATTAATTATACATAATTTTACTTCTTACTGAATTACGCAAAGAAATTTGGATGAATAGAGAACCTCTTATCTTCAAGGTCGATTAAGAATAATTAAACTTTAAAGGTATTCATTTGAAATTTTATTTCAGACATATTATTTTTGCGATAGAAGTTCTTTCTTTAATAATAATAAAATAAAAAATTCACGTAAAATCTTCAGTACTACTAATATAACTAGACTCTGAAGGAAATAGTAACTTCTTATGACACTTCTTCTGTTTCATTTCTCTATAAAGAGTATGAAAGAGTCGTGAGAAGGTTTGAAACTTCAATCGCCTTTTGTCAAAGCAAAGGCTTTCTAAAATACTTTCAATGATGTCCTTAATAGTATTTTAAGGCGCCTCAAAGAATGCTATGAAATATAAAAGCCCATAGTTCATTCGTAAATTGCTCGTTTTCATCAGTTTAGGAGATCGGTTGGGATGTACCAACATAAACTAGGTAGATGGAAGAATAGATATTCCCCATTTTTTGATACATCTAACGTGACAAAATAAATTAGAACGTAAAACTCCTAAGGTTTGAGGAGTTGGAACTCACGAGGGTGATCCTCTTGAGGGTCAGGAACTTGTCGCGTTGCGCGTCGATGGTCTCCTCCAGGTCGCGGTGGCGGTTGATGAGCTCCTCGGTCTGCGCGAGCGTCTCGCCGTACTTGCCATCGCGGACCAGCGGCACTCTGAGGAATTGGGTGTGATGTAATGGAACGGTAGAACTTTTTTAATGATGCGTTTTGTGGTTTATGTTCCTATAATTGCCATTCACTCAGACGCCATATTCTTTTAAATCCTCGTTTCACTTGGGTGCCTCACAATAGCTTGTGTGTGTGTGTGTGTGTAACCCAACGTCTATTTGTATTTTAAATTTTATCCAAATCTTTCCAATCAATCAAATTTTTTATTTATTTATATTTTATCCCACTGTGATAGACGCTTTAAACTCTAAAGCAAACACAAATGGATGGCAATTTAGAAGACTATATAATACAGTACGTCATATGCATATATGTATGATGTATGTATGTGTATGTATGTGTGTGTGTATGTACGTTCGGGCATGTCACCTGGCGGAGATCCAGCGGTCGAGCGCGTCGGCGTCGCGCAGGAAGAGCAGCGCGTCGAGGTGGTGCTCGTAGATGCGCGCGCGCGCCCGCCACGCCGCGTCCAGCGCCGCGCGGCGCGCGCGCAGCGACGCCATGCGCGTCTCCACCTCCTGCGACATGAAGTGCCCCTCGCGCACCAACTTCTCGCCTGCCGCACGACATTATACATAAGTTAAATAGATTATAATTATTATTAGTGAATTTTAAAATAAAATAAATATTTCACAAGTTGTTTTTTGTTGTGCACTGTATGTAGCTTTAAACAAATTATTTTTTCACGATATGAAATATCTTTTGCTTCTAGCGGTTTCATCAAATGGAATATTCTTTTTTTTTCTCCAAATTCGAATGTAAGTTCTCTTTGTGCATTATAGATCAAAAGAATTTGATCAATTGTGCATTATAGATCAAAAGAATTTGATCATATAAACAAAAAACCCATTATTTCTCTTAGGTGTGGAACTTTCTTGTATTTTCTTATAAATGTCCACACTGCACAGAGCGCGTACCGTCAGCATAGAAGGTGTGGAAGCTCTCGTCCTTGGCGTCGACCTCGGCGGCCACGTCGCGGTGGCGCGCCAGCAGCCGCTCCGCGCCCGCCACGTCCGCGCCCAGCTCCGGCGCCGTCACGCGCGCCAGCGTCTCCGCCGTCCACGCCCTGCGGACACGACACACAAGAATATACCTACAACTTGACTACAAGTCAAATATAACTCATAATTATATTTAAAATATAACTTATAACTCAATTATAATGCAACTAAATTTCAAATATAACTCAATGTTACGATTGGTTTGAACAAAAAAGGTAGCTTAGAAATTATCCAAAATTATCTCACGCTGAACGTATTAAATTATTCATTTACCTAGCAATTATATGTATGAATTCCACTAGTAATTTATTCGTAATCGTACAACAAAATTTTGTACCGAATCAAATATTTTTTTAGTATTTAATAAAATGGCTGTTTTTGTCTTTAACACAAAGACATATTTAAACTGAAATTCTCTATCCAACCGTTCCGCTATCCCGGGGCGCCGGGACGCCGGGACGCACTCACATGAGCTCCTGGTAGGTGTCGAAGTAGGCCTGCAGCTGGTCGGCGAGCGCCAGCTGCTGCTCGGCGTGCGCCGCGCGCGCCTCCAGCGCCGCCAGCGCCTCCGACACGTCCTCCAGCTTGGCGCTCACGTGCTCCTGCGCGTCGGGGAACGCCGCGCCCAGCCTGCCGGCCCGGGGGTACGTTAGTTGGGGGTGTTGGGGGTGTTGGGGGTAGTGGAGAAATAGGGAATATGCATGTGATTTAAATAAAGGTAAAAATATATTTTTTTATAATCTTTATTGCTTGTGAATTATACTATGTTAATCCCTCGACGACCGCGGTAACGCCGGCGTGTCAGTTAATAATAGATTTCTTAGAATTTTAATTAATTTCTTAGAAATTTACCTGGAGGTGTTAATATTTTTTAATGTTATTTCTATTTGGTTGAGAAAATAAATATTAAAAAGTACAAATATAGGTGAGAAATACAAAGTAGGCGAAACGCACGCCATTGGTCGGACCGAATGTGACGTCAAAGTACTATCATAACAGCGATTAGCGATTTTGTCGCTACAAATTGAGTCGTCATGTCTCTATGTATATCATACTGTGACGTCACGCCGAGCGCGCGGAAAGGCGTGCAAGTTAAAGTATCCGTATCGGTATGATATTTTATTTTAGATTTTTATCATAATAAAATTAATTTTTTTGGAACTGGATATTTTTTTTACAATTATATAACGATGTTAGCTATTGTATAAAAAAAATTAAAAAATAATTATATTCCCTATTGGAGATTGGAGTCTGTTTAGTGTGAGATTTTATTTCGGGTGGAAAGTACAGGACGATTTGGTTATTTAAAATTCTATGATTTCAGGGATGTAGAATTTTTCAATTAGATGTTTCTTTTGGTGATATATGTAGGGTAGTGAGATATTTTTTATAATTTGAACAAGTATTGTTAAAACAATTTTTAGTTGCTTTTTAAAACAGCTATCACTGCTGGGCCCAAACCGTCTATTAATACGGGGATCGGACCACAGTCCACCACGCTGCAAGTCTTTCGACAACTTGCTAGGTTTTTTCAGACATGCAGGTTTCCTCACGATGTTTTCCTTCACCGTAAGATGGGTGGTAATAAAATATATCAGATGTGCAAGACCCGAGACTCGTCACCTGTCGGCCTCGGCGGCGAGCTGGCGGTGGCGGTCGCGGATGGCGCGCAGGTCGGCGCGCAGCGCGCGCAGCGGGTGGCGGCCGCGCGGCAGCTGCAGCGCCGCCTCCTTCTCCGCCAGCCACGCCAGCGTCTCCTCCGCCGAGCGGTCGAACTCGTGCACCTGCCGCGCGCCCGCCAGCGCCTGCGCACATAGTACGTTGTGGATTACGATTATATAGTAAAAATATTTATATTTACTCAACTTTTCTCCCCGAAAATATGTATGTTTCAGAATGTAATGTAACTTGTCAATATACGTTATCGTCATCCTATGTTAAAATCTGTTTTTATTAATCACTCTAATATATTATGTGAAGTGTATTTATTATGTCAAGTACTAGCGTTACCTTTCGACAAAACTTATTACTAAGAGTAGTCTATTTGTTATTCTAGAACGTACTCTAAATTTGTCCAGCGAAGGTTTTCAGCGTTGAAAAGTAACAAACACACATACATAGAAATTTTAACAAATATTATACCTTTTTCCCGCATAACTAACTTGTGTATAACTAATATCTTTATAAATTGTAGTCTACTAGTTACTCTAATAAATAATCTATATTACTATAAAGTTTAATCAAAATTCGTTCAGTGGTTCAGTAATAAACAAACATAAATTGGTAGGAAATAATTCGATGTGATTAGACTTAAGTTTAAATTAAGTTCCGTCACTCACCTCTTGCCTGGCAATGGCCAACTCCTTCAGGTCGTCCCAGAGGCCGCGGATGTCGTCCATCTTGTGCTTGACGCGGTCCGCTTCCGGCGTGTTGTCCTCCAGCAGCGCGAGGCCGGCCTCGCACGCCGCGTCTATGCGCCCCTCGTTGGCTGCTCACGGAAATACCACAAGATTATCATTGTTATATTTTTTCTTTTTTTTTAATTTTGAGTTTAGTTAATATTTAATTTAAAATGTTACAGATTAAAAAAACTTCTAACAATAACTGTTAATTTTATTTTAAATAACCTTATGAAGTATTGCCATCAAATACTCAAAAAAAAATCTTTAACATTAAAAAAAATTATTAAATCAATAACACAAAAATATCGAACCTTTTAAATAATATTATGTTGTAAGTTGATATTGAAATAATAATGAAATTATATTTTAAATATATAAGAAAATCAGTTGTATTTTAAATAGTCTCTAAAATCTATGATAACAAAGTTCTTTGATATGTTCAGAATGTTCGAAATTTTTATCTTGGGTTTTTGACGTTTAGAATGTTTTACAAAAAACGCGGATATAGAAAAAAATAGATTTCTTTAATAATCAAATATTATCATAAATCTATTAATATGATGGGATGTACATATAGATGGATCCAGAGCTGACATGACTCACCGTGCAGCTGGGTGAGGAAATTGTCGAAGGCCTGTTGCAGCGTTTCCACGTGCTCCACGTCCAGACCGTACTCCTCGCTGGCCGCCGTCGCCATCTGCTCGCTGATCCACTCCTGCACCTCCTCGCACTCCTGGACGAACCTGAGGACACCGGGTTATGTTCAGATGTTTGGAGGGAATGTGTGTTGGTCCTCCTCAGAGATCACTCTCACCGGTCGTGTCGAAGCATTGTTCCATCGGACCATGAGAGTGAAAGAATAAAAGAGTGCACATGTGTCTGTACTACAATATCTCCTGCAGTTGGCTAGATTGGCTGATGTGGCAGGAATCGGTCGGAAGCATATATTTGTATGGAACGAGGCATCTCTATTTGTAAAGAGAAGTGTGTTATCTGTGGCACGAGTGGGCTGTAGGAGTACTCACTTGAAGTACTTGAGGCTCTGCTGCAGGCGCTGCTGGCGCTTGGCGGACATGAGCTTGGTCTCCTCGTACGCGCGCAGGATCTCGTCCAGCTTGGCGCGCACCTGCTCGTCCTCCGCGCTGCGCTCCTGGTGTGCCATACATTATACTATCACTCTGATTTTTTATTATTTTTTTTAATTTTTGTATTTGATAAGTAAAAGTAAATGAATTCAAAAAAAAGGGAGGAGTGTGGAGTTATGGTCATATTTTAGTCGATGATGGAACGATTTTGATACTGCTTTTTTTAATGTTATTTATATTGGACAACCCTTGAGGTTTAATATCAATCTATACATATAATAAAATTGTAACTAAGCCGAATCTGTACATTAAATATTTTTTGGAAAATCTTATTGAAATAAACATTATTATCGATACAGAGGCGGAATCTATAGTTTTTAGAATTTTTGTCGGTCTGTCTGTCTGTCTGTTACCTCATCACAGAAAAACCACTTGAGAGATTGTGATGAAATTTGGTATGGTGATAGATGGTTATCCGGGTCAACATATAGGATACTTTTTACCGCGGAAAAATGTCTCATTTCTGAGAATAAATACAAAAACTGTAATGTAAGAGTATAAGAGTATACTAATATGTAAAACCTAAGAATTTGTTTTTTGGTCATCTGAACGCGGGCGGAGCCGCGGACAATGCTAGTTGAATAATAGAATTTAAGTTAATATCACAGTTAAAAAGTAATTAAAACACGTATTAGAAAAATAAATTCACAAATATTATATTTTGTCACATGGCAATCCCATTCATAAAAAAAGACGGACAAGACAGACCAGACAGGATTATTTTATTTAAATATTATATCCACGATTTAACAAAATAGAAGTCCAACATGACTCCTGGGTCTCATCATGAGGATGGGCCCACCCACCTGCACGCTCTTCTCCAGCTTGGTGATGGTGGGCAGGAAGGCGGAGAGCTCCCGCTGCTGCGCCTCCAGCCGCCGCGTGAGCGCCAGCACCGACTCCTCGTCGCGGCCGGTCTCCGCCACCGCCAGCGCCGCGCGCCGCTCCGACACCCACGCCTCCGCCTCCCGCAGCTCGTTGAGCAGCTGTATTGTGCCGGGTTGTAGGTTATGGTTAGGTGTTGGGATTAAAATGGCGGATGATTGGGTAGAATAATATTATTATTAGATTTCAAAAAAAAAAATGTAGAAAAGGCGATTAATATTTTCTATGACGATGTCAGATTTCAAATTAAAGATGTGATATGAAAAAAATTTGATAGAGATAAAGTATGAGGGAGAATTAAGAGTAATAACTAATAAGGTATATACACAGTCATATCTTATTATTAAAACTCTTTGTAATGTGCAAAGAATGAAAGATATGGGTAACTGGTGGTTTGTCTTGATTTTATAATTATACATTTTATTTAAATTTAATGCTTCTAAAAATAAATATAATCAATAAATTCAAGACAAATAGTCTTAAAAGTAGATTAAATCAATATAAATGTGACTGGTGATGATGATGGTAATGGTGATGATAATGACGGTGGTGATGATGATTGTCACGGTAATGATAATAGTATCGGTGGCGTACCTGCAGCGCGTCGAGGCGCGCGCGCAGCAGCGCCAGGCGGCGCGCGGCGGCGTCGGCGGCGGCGCGGTGCGCGGCGCGCAGCCCCCGCGCGCGCGCCTCCAGCGCCGCGCCCGCGAAGTGCCCGCGCCGCGCCAGCGCCGCCGCGCGCGCGCACACCGCGCCCACCGTCGCCTCCCTGCACACAGGCAACCTCAACGTTTGTATGGACAATGCAAAACGGCCTACTGGCCGACTACAGATGATAACTAACTACACGCACGACTCCGCTAACGGCGCAACACTTGCCGAACATATACAATCTATACCACAGTGAACCGTTCTGACAATATTTATATGCACAAGGCTTTGTCTATTGGTAGATAGGTAAGACATTTTAAACAAAGATACCCAAATAACTATACTTGACCTACCAGGACTCGAACCCAGAAATTTATAAATAGCAGTTGCATACGTTTTTAAACAATATTATACGTCCTCACAAAAGAATCTCTTTTATTGTTGAAAATACTGCAATTGCTTAATTTAAAGGAAAAAAAATCATTTGCAAGTTTAATAATTTTATAGAATACAACTCAACTTGCCAATGATAAAAAAATCACTAATTTATCAGGACTCGAACCCGCAATCTCTGATATAAAAACAAATGCCAAACACAAAATTTATTAATGTTAATAATTTTAAACAGGTACGAATGTGTATACCTGGCGATGATCTCCGCCTCCAAGGCCTGATGCTTCTTGAGCAGCGCCTGCGCCTCCGACAGCGACGCGCCCGTCTCCTCCGACCGCACCGCCGCCTCGCGCTCCGCCAGCCTGCACACACAGACACACATAATAAATAAATACGGACATTAACAAACAGCACCATCTAGTACCATGGTAAGCTACGAGGCTCGTGTTATGGATACCGGATAGTTGATACACTACACATATATAACTTTAAACTACATACATATAATATACATAATATGCTCCCATGACTGGAGTACAAACATTCGCGCTCATCACACAACTGAATGCCTCCAGCGGGACTCGAACCCGCGACCGCTGGCACAGCGAGTAGATTCACTACAAACTGAGCCAAACGTGTCGTCACTTCGTCGTCGACACTTTTAATTGACTTTAAATAGCAAAGATTTAGTCTTAAGTAGCCTAGCGATTAATAGTTTTGAAAATCTAGAAAATTAATATTTGTCAAGGTCTCATCAAAACGAATCAAACGAGCCCAAACTCGAACACTTTACTAGTAGCCATTGAAGAGTTCCACTATCCACCTCCTGGCTCCATCATCAGTGATAGCATCAAATTATCCCATTGCTATTCAGATTTTATTCTCATTTAAATTGTCACGACAATTAGAAGATCATCCAGCACTTGGCCAGCGTGGTGGACTATGACCTGATCCCCCTATGTTAAGGGAAGAAGCGTATCAAGCAATGACGGACTTCCAAGATCAGAAGACATAGTGATAAACTCACCAGCTAAATTCCTCATCAGCATCTCGTTCCCAGCGGTGCAGCTGCTCGGCATCCTCCAGGTTGTCTCTGCGGATCTGCATCGGCTCCTGCAGCTGGCGGTACCTGGATATTTTAATTAAATATAAATGCTTGTTATTTATAAGAAAAGTTTTTATTTTTGGGTGGTTATTTACAGAAATATATTTCTAAATAGTGGCAAATTCTATCTTTACGGACCGAATATATAGCTTTTGTAACAATTAAAAAATATCAAAGGTAAAAAATATTTTTGATGGAACTTTTGAATAATACGCAACAAAATCGTATATAATGGTTTTCCCGTGACTTCGCGCGCACTGTCCAAATATAAAACTATAGCTATAAATAATGATTTCCTTACTGTAATATAAAGTTTAATCAAAACTCGTTCAGTAGTTTTTGCATGAAATAATAACAAACATCCATCTCACAAACTCTCGCGTAAATTTATAAAAGTATATGGAAAAAAATATTATTTAAAAAAAAAAACTAGTGAGACAGTGTACCGTTTGACGGCGTCGTCCGCCTTGGCGAGTATCTCGTCGGCCATGAAGTGCCCGGCGGCGGCGAGCGCGCGCGCCGTGTCCTGCAGCTGCGCCGCGGCCTCGGCCTGCGCCGCCGCGCCCGCCTCCAGCCGCGCGTGCCGCTTCAGCAGCGCCTGCACCGACGACAGCTCCTTGCCTGCCGCGCGCGTTCAACATGGCCATTTAGTACAAGTGTTGTAAGGTAGATGGCGTTGTTTTGGTATGTTGGGGTTGTTGTTCGTCTTTGTGTGTGTGTGTGTGTATACGCACCGTGGTCCTCGCTGAGCAGCTGCGCCTCGACGTCGTCGAGCCAGGCGGTGAAGTCGTCGAGGCCGCGCAGGTACACGCGCGCCTGGTACGCCTCCTGCAGCCGCTCGCGCCGCAGCTTGGCGGCGGCCTGCGGGCGACACATTCCACTGATCAGTGACAGCCTTGTGGCAACAGGCGAAATGAAGCGGGTTCAAATCCTGGGTCTGGCATCTCTGATGTTTTCATGTGTGAATCATTTCCAACATGATCACCACTTCTCTTACGATTAAAGAAAACATTACGAGGCAACCTACACGTCTGAGAGAACCTAGCAAGTTTTCGAAAGACATGTCCACCCGCGCTTGACCAGCGTGGTGGGCTATCCCCCTCATATTGACGCAGTGGGACGCAAAGTTTAGCCCAATTTATTGGCAAATAATCTATTGTAAATAAATTATATAACATATATAGACGAAGTGTTGCCAGTTTTAAAATTAATAACAACCACATAAATAAATAATTATAATAAGAGCTTTTAGCTCACCATGAGTTCTCTCCATAGGTTCTCCAAGTCCTCGACGTGTCGCGCGATCTCCTGTGACGCGTAGTGCTTCGCTTCTGTAAAAAAAAAATAACACTATTATTTTCGTACGTAAAATACTTCGATAGAATGTAGCCTATTTGATAATACAGGATACAATCTATCTCCATTACGAATTTCACTCAAATCGATCGAGCCTTTCGATTATGCTTAGAACAGGTTTTTGGATGATAAAAATTTATATCTACACAATAATGTAATTTATAACTTTGCCAATTATCATCAAAATCTGTTTAGTTGTTTAAGAGTAAAAAAGCAAACATACAGACTTAGTTACTTTTAAATTTAAAATATTAGTATAAATTTCTATATGGTGACAGATGGACATATAGACAGCAAAAGACTTCCCATTTTATCATGATAAAAATAAAAAAAAAATGAAATTTTACAGTATTACCTATGTATTTATGTTTTATGTATGTATTAAGTAGATAATTATTGTATTGCAATATACAAAATATGTAAATAAATATTGTTTTAAAAGAGCAACTGTCTCGTTTCTCTCGAGCTCTTCTCAGTAGAACTGGTTTCCGAGCGGGTGGTAGCTTCCTCACGGACTTACATACTGACATTTATTTAAATTTTGAAAATGTAAAAACTGACGATTCAAAAGTGCTTGTAAGTCTATTTTAATTCATATTTGTAAGTATATTTTGATTTGTATGTATGTATGTATGTATGTGTATATATGTATGTATGTATGTATGTGTATATATGTATGTATGTGTGTATGTTTGTGTATATATATGTGTGTATGTGTATGTTTGTGTATATATGTATGCATATGTGTATGTATGTATCTATGTATGTATGTTTGTGTGTGTGTATGTATGTCACCTATGAGGTCCTCCCCGGTGGCGGCGACGTCATCGATGCGCTTCTTGTTGGCCGCCAGCTCGGACTCGAAGGCGGCGTGCTTTTGAATCTTGCTTTGGAGATTCGACAGCTCTCTATATTGAGAGAAGTTTCAAAATTATTACTTCACATATTTTAAAAACTAGATAAATATATATTGTTGCCAAAATTATTTTTTTTCGACAACATCATTAAATAGGCTTAATTAGATTTTTTTTCTTAAATGAAAATGATCGCGTAGATACATCTTACTCATTTTTAAACATCAATTGTTTTTGGAGATTTTCAAATATTTTTTTTTATAATTTAGTATTTGGAATGCCATCTCTATTTTTTTATTCTATCCAATTTCAATAGTCTTGAAGCAAAATGGTTGTAAAAACACACAGACGGATATGACAAAATTATAAAAGTTGCGTTAACTTTTGGAACTATCCACAGCAAAATCTCCGGAAATACAAGTAAATTGCAGAGTTGTATCCGCTATCCCGCGGGATAGAGTGGGATAGCGGAGGCTAGCGCGGGATGGGTATATAGTAACCTGTAGTTGGTGTCGGTGGCGATCTGCATTTTGAGCTCGATCCACTCGCGCTCGTGCGCGAGGTCGCCCAGGAACTGCTGCAGCTGCTTGGCCTGCTGCAGCGTCACGCCGCGCGCCGCGCACCGCTCCTGCACACACAAACACACACACACGTAACATACATACATACACGTTAAATATTTCCTTCATCGTTAAAGGAAAGCTGTAGGTCCAAGAGTATATAGCTATTTAAAATTCTGTTGAACATTAGCCCATCATCCTAGCGATGAAGTCATTCCCAGCTGTAGGATATTAATAGATTTCATTAATTTCTTACATATTTAGAAAACATACAGTCTTTAAATATAATTTACTAGCGAACTATCCATGCTTCGCTCAGGTGCGTCTCAAAGTTCCTAATGGTAGATAAATTATGATACGAAGTATAACATATATGTACATATATACATACACGTTACTCCTACAATCTACAATTCTATTTTTGTACTGAACTTCATTCAAATTTGTTCAGCCGCTACAATCATTCTTAAAGATCTGGCAAATCATATTTTGTAATGAAATATTTGCTACTACTAAATGCGTTATGAAAGGAGGCTGTTCCTTTCTGTTCTCTTAATGTTTTGATACAATAAAATGTCCATCATCATGAGTTCCCACCTTGAGCAGGTCGGCGCGCGCGCTGGCGGCGTCCACGCGCTGGCGCATGCGGGCGGCGCGCGGGTGCGCGGCCGCCGCGCCGGCGCGCCGCAGCTCCGCCACGCGCGACAGCTGCGACTCCAGCAGCTTGCTGAACTCCTGGTGCTTGCGGATCAGCGTCTCCACCGCTGTCGGGCACGCGACACATTAATATGTTGGTACATTAACACACAGCACCGTCTAGTTCCATGGTAAGCTTCGAGGCCTGTGTTATGGATACCAGGTAGGTGATACACTATATATATATATATATATATATATATATATATATATATATATATATATATATATATATATATATATATATATATATATATATATATATAATGTTATAAATATACACCGATGACTGGAATACAAACATTTGTGTTAGACATTCAAATGAATGCCCCCAGCAGGACTCGAACCCACGACCGCTAAGCACAACAAGTAGGGTCACTACAAACTGAACCAAATGTGACGTTTAATACTTTATACTGTTAGGTTTAGAACTTAAGTATTACTTGTTAGTAAATTGTAATTGTAAAAAAATAATAAATTAATTAATAATTAGCAAAAATATCATATAGCATTACACACAAAAAATCAAATATACACTCAGAAATTTAACACCTTTTTATTGAAGTCGGTCTAAATACGCGTATCGATTATTATCTGAAAACTAGTAAACCCCACTTCACTCTCTTCAGGTTTCTAACTATAGTGCCCTCTGACGCATGAACTAAACAAATTATAACATACAATCTTTTAGTCCCTTAAAATTTTTACTAACAATAGATAATGTCCTTATCCAATAATCAATCTATGTGTATACTAAAATTCATCAAAATTGGTTCAGCGGTTTTAGTACGTAGGTTAAACATAACAAACATACAGACAAGGACTATTTTTGCATTTATAATATCAGTATGGATGGATTACAAAGCGTGAGTTACCATCCAGACTCTCTCCCAGGTCGTCGTTGTTGAGGAAGGCCTCCTTGCCGGCGAGCCAGTCCTCCACCTGCCGCGCCTGCTCCTTCAGCTGTTGCAGCTCGAAGGCCTGGAAATGGATATTTATACTTTTACCAAAATTAAGCAACACTATGGGTTTTTAAAATTAAAATATAAACAATTTTAAAATAATTTTCTATAGCTGTCACGTCGTGTTGTGTTTCACCACCAGATGAAAACTACCTTCTCGAAGAGGTTTTTCTGTACTGGGCCGTTTTAATATCATCATTTGTCATAAAAACTAATAAAATAATTTATTCAAGCGAAGATTGAGGTTTCTTTTTAACCCCCGACTCAAAAAAAGGGGTGTTATAAGTTTGACGTCGATGTCTGTCTGTCTGTGTATGTGTGTGTGTCTGTCTGTGGCATCGTAGCTCTCAAACGGATGGACCGATTTCGATGCGGTTTTTTCATTTGAAAGCCAGTTCCCTTTCGGTGGTTCTTAGCTATGTTTGGTTAATATCGGTCCAGCAGTGTAAGAGTATCAGCTCTTTTCCAAAATGATGTAAGTCATTTTGGCGTATGATTACTCGATTAAATGCTTCACGCGTGCCAGTTAATTTTTAAATGACAATTTATTTCCGTGGAGGGTTAACTTTTAATTTATAGATAAGACATATTATTCTATAAATAATTATATTATAAATAAAGAGTGACATTTGTAATTTTGTGTATATTTTAATTAATTATTGTATTATTGCATGCAGTAAGGATGAATTTGGCTGAACTATAACGATATTATTATAAAAAATCAAACGTACAAAAACCCAAGTTCGCAGTAAAGTATTTGGTTTGGTTTTAGTACAATTTGTTTAAAAAATTAATTTGATCAATAAGATTTCCGATCAATCTACATAGTTATTATTTCTTTAGCCCCTTTCGGATTATAAGTTTTTTTTTTCATAACCCCCAAACATTTTTTTAATATAATAGAACACATTATTTAAACGGTTTTTATTTATTTCAGCCCCCTCCCCTCCCCCCTGGTTGGGAACTCTCGATTTAGACGGTATTAGGATACGTGTCAGTCAGTCAGTCAGTATTGGTTCTATTCTTGAAACCAATATACAAAATACTTTTTGAAAGCAAACCAATGTATATAAACAGACCTGTGTCAAGTACTGCTTCCTCTGCAGCCAGGCCTGGTCCAGGGTGGAGGAGAGCTTCTCCACCCTCTGCACCTTCTCCGGGTCCTGGGAATGCTCCGCCTCCTTCAGGAGCGACGCGATCGCTTTTTGTCTCCCATCGATTTCCGCCTACAGACATACATACATACAAATAATTTATATTTAGTTTATAACTAGATTTTTTTTATGGATTTTATTTGTGATTTGGACGATGAAGCTTTACGGTAAACATGGTCACGGAAGAGACTAAAGATTTTGACGTCTCAAAAGTTATGAATACAGACCATGTCTACTCCGTTGCAAAAAAAGAAAGGAATAGCACCAAAATAATACTTTCTTAGATTTACGCGAACATTTGACATTTTAAATAAAACTATCTTTTCGCTTTTTTTCGCGTATTTATTTGGATTTTTGGTTCCCGACGTTTCGAATGCTTTACAGCAATCATGACTCGGTATCTCGTGATTGCCAAAAATCAAAATAAATTAAAAATATTATGTTTTATTTAAAATATTAAGTTAGTTATTGGTTAAGCCCAGATTTTAAAATAATTGATAAGATATAGTAGGTTAATTGTTGGTGATATTTGATTTTAAACAATTAGCTGCTAGAGGGCCGACCTTCTTCTCCTGGTGCTGCTCGAGCTGCGCTTCCGCCTCCGCCACGCTCTCGGGCTCCGCGCCCTCCATGCGCTTCACCGCCTCCGACACCCACAGCTCCAGCTCCTGGCGGGGGAAAATATGTTCAATATTAATAGTTACTACAATTAATAACTTTCTTAATGTTAGAAATTAACAAAAAAAGTGTGTCAACTTTAAAATTATTTAAATTTCATTATTCCACCGTTAAGGTTGTCTTTTTTTGAAATGGATCTGTTTTTAAAGTATATGTGATTAATAAAAAAAATATGAACAAATATCAAGAATTGTTGAAGATGTCGTTTAACATAAGCAGCACAAAAATAGAATATTTGAACTTAAAGATGTTTGTCTAATTTTTTTCTTTCTTCATTAAATTGTAAATTTATTGTATTTATGCTATGTATTTTTAAATCTGTAAGCGTTTAAGAGAGAGTCACTAACAAAGAAAAAATAAATTGTATTATTTCAAAGATAAAAAGTCCAATTTTTTCGTATGTATGATTGCAGATTGTCTTTGCTTATACGTTTTTTTTTTGAATTGAGCACATTTTCCCCCAAGAAATTTTATCTTTAATATTAGAGTAAAAACTTATTATTATATATTAAATTATAGAAATACAAAGCAAGGCAAGGTAACCTTGAGGTTCTCCTCGAACTTGTGTTCGTTGATGGCGTCGTCGAGCGCGGCGGTGCGGCGCTCCGCCTGCTGCTGCAGCCGCGCCCACGCCGCCGCCAGCGCCGCCAGCCGCTCGCTGATCTGCGCCGCGTGCGCCGGGTGGCTGCGGGGGCACACGTTACCGTGTTACCGTGTTGGCATGTTCCCATCATGACATGTTACCATGTTACCACCAATCATGTTACCAACTTGTCATGTATCGGATATGATACTAAATAGGTATAATAAATTGAACAATTATTTAGAGATGGGGTTTTCTTCTTAATTCTTATATTCATCTTAATTAGTCATTATTTTTAAGTACAATAAAGAATAATTATAAATATTTTTTATGTTTATTATGATGGTAACATGTTATGTAAAATAACTGCACACTCAGATATTAAAAAAAAAACTTGTCAACAGCTTAGAAGGTTCAAAAAATTTTTTTTAACAACACAGTAAGTGCGAGTGAGAGGCGAGTACCTCTCAGCCAGCGCGTGCCCGTCGGCGGTGAGCGCGCGGATGCGGTCGCCGATGGCGGAGGCCTCTGCGGCGCGCGCGCCGTGCCGCCGCCGCAGCTCGTGCGCCGCGCGCAGGTCGCGGCCCAGCTCCGTGCTGGCGAACTGCGCCGCCTTCTGCGCCACGCGCTCCGACGTCTCCTCCACGTCCCTGCACGCACACACACACACACCTTGCATTATATGTGACGACTTGTCCCACCGCTGGGCATGGGCCCACGATGCCACCACGATGATTGGTGGACTTTAGAAATCTTCCCCCAGGCATATAAGTTCATGATGCTTTTCTTCATCATTCATTAGGCAAGTGGTAATTATGGTAAAAATATTTCACAAATATCAGACAGAGAAGACAGCACGCTACCACTGAGTTACCATTGTTTTAACAAAATTTATATCTACATTCATTACTGATGATGAAGTCAAAATAATTTCCAAAAGAGCAAAGAGCGCCGGCGACCTGTCGAAGGCGTGCAGGCGCAGCGCGGCGGAGAGGCGCTCGCGGTACTGCCGCAGCGCGCCGGACAGCGCGCGCCACTTGCTGAGGAAGGCGTCGCGCCGCGCCGCCACCGCCTCCGCCTCCTGCGTGGGGCCCTGCAACCGGCATCACCATCATCATCACCACCACTATCATCATCATCGATATCATTCATGGAATAGAAACACCCCTATATAATAAAAGTTATATTTACCATTGGGACAATATTTTATTCTATAATAGTTTTAGCTTATAATTACTTTCAGAGTTTTCTATAATTATATAAAAGTAATTAATTAAATTAGAGTGCGCGTGGGCGGTACCTGCTGCAGCAGCTTGTCGGCGAGCGCCTGTATGGTGCGCACGTGCTTGTCGTCCACCTTCATGTCGGAGTCCAGGTCGTCCAGCTTGCGCAGCAGCGCCGTGCAGTGCTCGTAGTCGCGCCCCGTGTCGTTGGCTTGCACCTGGGGACGGGGTTTGATAGATTAGACGTATTTTCTTGTGGGAAGGAGATAATATCCCGTGGTAAAAAGTAGCCTATGTCACTCTTCAGCCCTCCAACTATCTCCACACAAAATCACGCCAATCCATCACTATGTTTCGATGTGAAAAAAGAACAAACAAACATACTTTTACGTTTATAATATTAGTATAGATATAATATGTTGATCTCATATATAACTTTATTACTGTAAAGTTTCATCCATATACACACTTTCAATAGTTTCTGTGTGAAAGAGTAATAAACATACATCCATATATTCTCATAAACTTTCACATTAAAAATATTAGTAGGATGATCATTTATTCGGGAATTGAACCCGTATACCGCCATTAAGATATCCTTATTTATTCAAACTAAAATCCACAGCTACATACAGAAATAAAAAGTACATAAAAGAAAAGTCCTTATACGAGTATAAGCCAATTTCGGATTATCATTATTTATGCAATATAGATGGGTACACTAATGCCCGATTTCAACAACGTCAACTAAGTTTAAGGGATCCCCTAAGCATGGTTAGGGGGCTGTTGGGGACAGTTTCTGTTTCACCGACAGTTAGGGGTCACCTAAATATTAAAAGGCCCCCCTAAATATAGTTACTAGAAATACGGGCTCAGACGATAGTAAAACGAAATTTAATTTAGGGGCTAGTTTAGGAGACTTTTAAGCTAGGGATCCCATACATAGGTGGTAGCTTATGGGTTGTTGGTGAAATCGGGCATAAGTTTACATTATTAAAAAAAAAATACATTACAAAAAAAAAACAATAAAACAGACAAACGGAAAAAAACCAGCATATCAGCTTATAACTGCTTTCGATGGTAACTTCCTCACGGACTTATATACTGACTTTTGATATAAATAAAAAAAAAATACGTTTGTAAAGTGTTTGTAAACGTCTGTTTGACTATATTAATTTGATACACAAACAGAAAAAAGAAACAAGTTGGAATAATTAAAGTTAATATCTCACCATCATCTCCTTGTCTCTGATCCAGGCTTCAATCTTGTCCAAGTGCTGGTTGAACTCCAGGATGTCCTGGGCTTCCTCTAGGCCACGACCTGAAATTAAAAATATTACATTCATAATATAATAATCACAAAACTAAAATTGATTTCCAAAGTTTTAAAAAATGTTACAAGTACTCCAGCTGTAAACTCTTTGTTTCTTAAAGAAAAGTATGTTGTGTTGCTAATATTACAGAATATTTTTTTTAACTGACTTTAAAAAGTGTTTTTTTTTGTGTATTTTACGCGATATTTTCGCTAATTATATATTATATATATTTCGAAATTAATAGATCTCGAATCAAGAAAATCAAAAAATAATTTAATAATCATAAAGCTAAAAAAATATTTTTTCTTTATAATAGAATTTAACAGAACTAACCTCTCTGTTCAGTCGCGGTCTCCAACCTCTCCCAGTCCTTGTACAGTTCCTGCAGCTGTCTCTCCACCTCCGGGTCGGGGGTGAGCTGGTCTGCCAGGTTATGGATTTCCTGGAGGCGTGCCTTGTTGGCGGCCAGCTCGGCGGTGAAGGCTTGGTGCTTTTGGAGTTTTTTGATTTTGTCTTCAAGGTTTGTAACTTCACCGGCTACAAAACAATTGTATATATTTAAAAATGAACAACATGCGATTTACTTTAGATTTCATAGCTATTAGAAATTGGCTAATCCTACAGACCTTGCTGTGTCATTAATTTTTTTTTTTGAGATGTTTGAGTCGATCCGAAAATATTTTAGGAAAACTGCTTTGATTTTTTCCAGGTTACCGCCATTTTTATTCAAATGTTGTCCATTTTCAAATTTATCCCCCAAATTTATGACAGCAATTTATTTTTATTTATTAGACAAGCGACTCACCCTCGCTTCGCTCGGGTTCATCCCTGGGTATATTTTAATTTTTTTGAGCGGAACCCTAATTCTGTAACTGAAATAAAAGTAGCCTAAGTTACTTCTTATAACACCAACTACTAGCCAGTGGAAGTCCCGTCAAAATCGGGCCAGCCGTTTCGGAGATTAGACGGAACAAACCGACAGAGAAACAAAAAAATTTAAAATTGTGTTTTTCTTAAACACCGTTATAATGCCATATGCATTCATTAAAAAGCTGTTATTTTGACATTACTAAGAGACACTTCAATTTATCTGTATAGATGTATAGGTAAAAAATGTGTAAGTATTATGTAGTACAATATTTTGTAGTATCAATCTCATGCAAGTAAGTGCTTCCACTTCTCCTAAAAGGTTTGCAATCAGTCTTTAGTGCATTTATATGAATGGAAACCTCCTAGCGAGAGGTAGTAAGAGATAACAAGAGGTAGTAAGAAATAACGAATGCTAGTGAGGGTTAATAAGAGATAGTAAGAGATAACGAGAGATGGTGAAAGTTATTGAGAGGTTACTTAAAGTAACAAGAGATAGATATAGTTAACGAAGTAATAGTTAGAGTTATTAAGAGATAGCCAGAATTAGTGAAAGTTAGTCAGAGTTAGTCTAGAGGCAGTGAGAGTAAGTGCGAGTGAGAGGCCCAACCGTGGTGCGCGGGCAGCTGCGCCAGCTTGTCGGCCGCCCAGCCGCGCGCCTCCGCCGCGTCGCGCGCGAACCGCGCCCGCGCCAGCGCGCGCCGCAGCGCCGCGCGCCGCGCCGCCGCGCACTCGTACAGCTGCCGGCCCGCACGGTACACTTATGTTACTCGCTTTTATTTTATAATATGTTTATTTATGTTTTAATAATAAACAAATATTTTAAATATAAGTAGGTACATTTTATTTTTTTTGAGCGGAACCCAATTATTTTTCTAAAATAAAAGTAACTTATGTTACTCCCTATAACATCAGCCACCTTCCAGTGAAAGTCCCGTCAAAATCAGTCCAGCCGTTTCAGAGATTATCCGGAACAAACTGACAGACAGATAGACAGACAAAAATTAAAAAAAAATGTTTTCTTATAAGCACAGTAACGGTATATAATTCCATATGCATTTAGTAAAACGCTGTTGTGTTGACATTACACTTCAATGTTATTTATCTGTATAGATATTTATCAACTGAGAGAAGCAATTTTTTTTAATGGCTTTGAACATTGAAGTAGTGGCTGCCACCCGCCGCCATTTTGATGAATTCATGAATAGAGAACATTTAGAGAAAGAAAAATTAAGAGCAACAAGAGAAAAAAAAATATTTATTAGAAAAAGGAGAACCAGGAACAATTTCTGACACTTTGTTTCTTACGAGAATATTGTTAATTTTACATTTATTATAAATTAACTAAAATAAACTAGCGAGAACACAAAACGCTCATTGCTTTGAACCTGCGACCTTTGAAACAAGGTAAGTCAGACCAACCTTCTTCCTCCTCTCGTTAATATTGAGGAGCTCGTCAGCAATGCGCTGACTCTCCACGTGGTTCTGCTGCAGCAGCTTGTCTCCGTGGCTGTTCAGAGTTGTCAGTTTCTCATCCTAAAAAGAAAATAATATAGGTAAATTTTGTTGAATTTTTTTGTTTATATGTACTGTACGGTCCCTAATAAAACTTCGAGATATTCCTTGCTTATATTCTTATATTCAGTACTTTTATAATCGTCAGTGAGTTACATAATTTATAATCATAATTTTCAGTATTACAAACAATCGTGACTAGTCACTACAAATAAATATTATTTTCTATTAAAACGCTCAATATATAAAAATTGCAACCTTACAGAACATACATTCGATTCTCGCTTAAATCATAACTCTGTATAGTTCCCAGATACATAATTTAGAAAATTTCTAAACTGTAGATTATAACAATACCTGTGTAGCGAGCAACTTCTCAAACGCCTCGTGTTTTTTCAGCTGATTGTCAACTTCCTCCACGCTGCTGGTTGGTGAGATTTCACTGCCTAGAAAGAGACACAGCAATATTACAATTTCATTTTGATCATATTTATTTAAAAAAGGAAAACAAAAAAAACAATACTGTCATATTTTGAATTAAATAGACAAATCGAAAATGCTTATATAATTTGATCAATTCCCTTAAAAGAACATCACATTTGACAGCAGTTTGATATTGTTCAATAGCTGCATCGATCAAAAAGGTGCTAGATACACAATCCCATGCAAAAGTTCTCTTAAAACTGTCACCGATTGTGTTTAGGTAATTGTTGTAGTTGATATAAATATACGACAATGTAAATTGAACCTTAAATGCAATGCTTACTAAAATTAATTTAAAGTTTATTACGCTTTATTTTATATTATTATTATACGCTTATATTTTATAGTTGTTTTCACAAAAAAAAAACAATTTTTGTCGCTAATTGTGTATAGTGCACCGACCGAGCTGCGCCTCCTGCGCGGCGCAGAGGTCGTGCAGCAGCTTGGCGTCGCGCTCGAAGCAGTGCCAGTCGATGAGCTGGTCCAGCGCCACCTGGCGCGCCGCCCACGCCGCCTGCAGGCGCGCGCGCTCGTCCAGCAGCGCGGCGCAGCGCGCGCGCACGTCGGGCGCGGCGGGGTGCTGCGCGCGCAGCAGCGCCTCGCCCGCGTCCAGCGCGGCGCGGAAGCTGCCGTCGCGCGCGTCCAGCTCGGCGCGCAGCGCGTCGTGGTGCGCGCGCTGCGCCTGCGCCGCCGCCGCCGAGCGCGCGCGCGCCGCGCCCGCCATCTCGCCGCGCAGCGCCGCCGACCACGACGTCACGTCGCGCGCCTGAGGGTGTGGTGTTTGTTTCATTAGTAACACACCGGTACCCATTTGATATGGTACACGAGAACATGTTAAAATTAAGAAATGTGTATGCCAAGAATGTAATTACAATCAAATATACATATTCATAATTTAAAAGTTATATAAAAACATTTGCACGTCGTCACCAACGTGTTATGTGAGAATCAGTGTAAGCTTTTGCATAACACAATTCGAGTATTTAACAAAAAGCGTTCTAGACATGACAGCTTGACGGACCTCAGTGTAGAACTGGTGCAGTTTGAGGTGCTGGTGCAGCAGCTGGCGGCGCTCGTCGGCGGCGGCGCGCAGCGCGGCCCAGGCCTCCGCCAGCGCGCGCTGCCGCAGCGCGATCTGCTGCGAGTTGTCACCCGGGCACAGGCGCTGCAGGCGCGTGCCTTCCTCTTGCAGCACCTGAAGTGCAAAAACAGTTAAATATTGAATTGAATTTTTAATAAATAAAAAAAAACACAAAACAGCAAAGCTAAACAGTGCAAAAAATACAAAATTGGTCCCTCGAGTCAGATAAAAAACCGTTAATCAATTTTTGAGTTATAACCAGACACATTAATAAAATGCTCAATCCTTCGATTTGGATAAAAAACGCAATTTGTTGCAGTGTCTGATTTGAAAAGGACATTAATAAAAGAAGTGGTCCTTCGAGCCGGATAAGAGTCTCTGCGAGGTGGTGCGGTGGTGAGGTGGTGACCTGCATCTGCGCGTCGATGGCGACGAGGTCGTTCTCCGCGGCGTCGTGTCCGCGCAGCAGCGTGGCGGCGGCGCGCAGGTCGCGCGGCGGCGCCGGCGCCTGCAGCAGCGCGCGGCGGTCGGCGGCGCGCGCCAGCAGCTCGCCCGCGTCGCGGTGGAAGCGGTGGATCTCGCCCGCCGCGTGCAGGCGCGCGTTGCGCGACTGGATCTGCTCCACCAGCCGCTGCCACGACTCCCTGCGCAGACGACGTTTGTGTGTAGACGAGATAATGATTATAGTAAATGTGTTGTTAGCATATTACTACGATTTTTTAAGTTGTCATGAATTTAATCACGCATTTAAATATGTACTTCAATTGTAATAGTATTCAAAAAAAAATCTATTCAAATCACATGCCATAATTTTTATTCATTTTTTTTCAAAGTAGTGAAATGCATTGTAATTGATATATATATGAAAAAATAACACTTCGCCTAATAAAAAAAATCAACATTATTTTTTCTAAGCGTGCACCGTTTAGAAAAAATAAAAATGGCGGGAGTGTGATCAGACCACAAGAGTTCTATCCCTTTATTTATTAATTTGGTTTCACACACAAACATAGTGTATTAATTCGGGTTATAACAGAAGGATCCCTCACCCGAGCGCCTCCTGCCTCTTCTCGATGTCGGCGATGTAGGGGCTCTCGGAGGCCAGCAGCTTCTTGGCGAGCTCCTCGCACTGGTTGAACCTCTCCGCGCCGCTCTCCACGCGGTGGCGGAGCTCGTCGAATTTGGATCTTAAAATCTGATGGATAGGTTATAATTTTAATTATATTTTTTGTGACATTTTTTGTTCGAAAAAAAAATCGATATGAAAGAATAATACATTTATGTAGTGTGTAAGGTTTATTTAAATTATGATTGTGATTAGATAAAAAAATTAAAAAAAAAAGTTTTGTTCTAATTTTCTGGTTACATGCGAATGTAATAATATATTAAATAAGTTAAGGAAAATATTGGAAATAGTAAAACTAAACGGTAGCTTTGCACACTGACCAGTAAATGTTCGTAGTCCTGCCCGTAGTCCTCGCTGGAGGCGGCCGCGTACTGCTCCTGTATCCAGCTCTCCAGCTCCGCGCTCTCGGCGAGGTATTCGTGTCTGGGAATACATTGTATTTAATATCTACATATGTATATAGGGACAACATACTAAAACACGACTTTTGCTTTGAAATATTTTTTTTTGTCATATAATCAGTTCAGTCGGATCAGGTAGTCGTTACCAAAAAATACTAACGCCTTACCGTCACTTTGCTCCGGTGCATCCTAACACGCACACACACACACACACACACAAACACGTCTGTAAGCAAGTAGAGAGCGCGGTACCTGCACACGCTCTCGACGAGCGCGGCCTGGCGCAGCGCGGCGCGGCGCTGCAGCCGCGCCAGCGCGCCGGCCAGCTGCGCGTGGCGCGCCAGCAGCGCCTCGCCGCCCTCCGCGCCGCCCGCCCCCGCCCCCGCCGCCGCCAGCCCCGCCGCCGCGTGCCCCATCTCGTTGATGATGGCCGCGTACGTGTCCAGCTCCAGCTCCACTGCCTGCGTTCAGTGACAACGTTAGATACTCGACACCCCACCAGCACAAAATTCATTAGCGCCCTAAGTGGTCCGCCTCGGTGGGCGGTCTACCGTGTGGATTATATAATATAGGTGGTAGGCGTAGAGGCATTTCCCCAAATTCAAAAAAGGTAGCCGACCCCGCCATTCACTTGACATGCTTTTTATAAGCTGTCAAAATACGATTCCCTCATACAGTGTTGTGAGTAGCGAGCTGTGACGTTGCTTATTAATTTATTTTAAAACAACTAAAATTATAATTATATAGCAATGTGAAAAAAACGTGAAAAAAACAAGGCTAACATAAAGTGTCAAAAATCTTACTTTTGTATACTAAAGCTTAAAAATGAAAAATATATGAGAACAGAAATTTAGATGAATTGGTAAAGTGTAAATAAATATCACTTTATACCGCAAACTATCTGCTTGAAAAAGTTAAAATTATAATAAAATTCTCTCCATTTATATCAAAGTTAAAACCAATCCACATGTAAACCACCTGGAAAACTCCCAACACCTGGAGCAGCTGGAGCTCACCTTGTGCCTGGTAAGCAGCTGCGTGGCGCGGTGGCGGTCGTTGCCCACGTCGGCCGACGCCAGCGCCGCGTCCTTGTCCGCCAGCCAGGACTCCACCTCCAGCGCCTCGTGCAGGAACTGCTGCGCCTTCAGGGCGGCCTCCAGCCGGGCGGCCCTCTCCTCCGCCGCTTGCGACACGGACGAGTATTCTTCTTCTAGCTGTTTGCACAGTTGTTTAATCTGTGGGAAAGGATTGAAATGAGTTTTGGACTTTTTCAAGTTATATGTGTTTATTTTGTTACAAATGAAAGTAACGCTAAAAATATAACCAATTTATTTATTTTTTTTAATTTATTTCTTTAGAGATGAAAATCATTTGTTGTAAATTTTTTGGGTAGAAAAATTTAAAAAAAAAATCTAGACTAACCAGCGCAAGGGACAGTTTAAGGCGCAGGCATAAAATAACCCTACCAGATTTCCTACTCTAACCTGCTACTAAGTAGTAGTAACAAAAATATGTAATTTTGACTCGACTCGGTCTGGAACCTAGGATCTCTCGATCTGGTGTGCAGCACGTAATTATATACTAAAGCAGCGGTTCCCAATTTTTTTTAGTTACGTAACCCTAATTGATCATAATTTCTTTAACGGATCCCCATTTCGATAATAACTGTGTAGTTAGAAAGAACACTTTCTCGTTTGATTTGAAAGAACAAATCATAAATAAAAAATATTAATACTTATAATACCAACAATATAAACTATTTAATGTGATAAATGTTTTTTTTAATTAGGCTTCATGTCTCATAACGTTTTATCTAACTCTCGTACGGAGCTCGGAACCGCTGCACCAGAGTGTGGGCTGACCTTGTCCGCCTGCGGGTGGTGCGCGGGCAGGTCGCGGGCGCGGCGCAGCACGCGCTGCACGAGCGGCGCGCGCGCGGACAGCTCGGCGCGCAGCTTGGCGTGCCGCTTGTGCGCCGCCTGCGCCGCCAGCAGGTCCGCCGGCGCCGCCGCCGCGCCCGCGCCGCGCTCGCGCACCCACTCCAGCTCGTTGCTCACCTCCGCCGCGAACTTGTGCAGTCTGTGCACAGACACACATAGTATTGCAAAAAAATTCATTTTTTTCTACCATGAAAAAAAAAACTTAAAAAAATATATGAAAAAAATGATTCTTTTTCTGAAGCGTGTTTTCTTTTTCAAGAATACGGAATTCAAAATCATTGAAATAGTTTCCTTAAAACATTAATACTTAAAAATTCATATTAAAGTATTCTGTTTATTTTTAAACCTACCATCGTTTTTTGTTTGAATAAATTTTATTAAATTTTTAAATTTTAAGAAGTAAGGAATATATTTTTATTTCATTGATTCATGATACTTTATTTGATTTGTAAATAAAATTGGAAAACATACCTCAAAAAAGATATTCTACAATTTTTTTTTAAACAGAAAAAATTTACACAACATACTAAGTTTTTTTTCATGTTTTTTTCAATATAGTGAAAAAAAAGTAGTTTTTTTCATGTTACATCATTAGACATACACAGGACAATGATTATTATATAGACAAACTAAGTCGGGTGCGTCCCAAGGTATGTTTTATAAAAATAATTATTGTGAGCGTACTCTAAAAGACAGATATATGCTATCGCGGACTTTTCTGTAGGCCTTTTTATAACCTATAATTTTCTTGTAGATTATTTTGATGTATCTCTAAAGGTTTAGAAGCGTCAGCCATGCGATCGTACGATAGCTTTTTTTTTGACAAAACACCACCTAGGGTCAGTCATTTTGTACAAAATATTTACAAATTATATACGTAAATGTTCCTCGTTTATCGCACTTTCTTTTAGTCAAAACCGTATAAAAATTCGTTGTGTAGTTTAGGAAAAGTAAGCGGAGAAACAGACAGACAGAGTGCTTTATACTATGTATAGATATACTTTCCTTACATTCATAGTAGATAATGGGTCTTTCACGACGGTGAAACCAAAATCAATATTTAAATTACAAGAAATAAACCAAACGCATGAATTTAAACACATAAGTTTGTTTGTTCGCATTATCTGCAAAACTGTAAGTCCGACTTAGAAATTCTTTTTGAACTCAAAATGTTATTCGTCAAGAATGATAGACAATAGAAAATATTAAAAATTTAAGAGATTGTTTCTTTGTTTGTTGGAAAGCGTTTTTCTCCGAAACTATCAATCCGATTCGAAGAATTCTTTTTGCATCTAACAGCCGGTACATCTGGGAAGGACACTGACTGCAAGCTGTCCTCGAGCGCCTGGCGGCGGCGCTGGGCGCGGGGGCGCAGCGCGTGCGCCTGCTGCAGCAGCAGCGCGCAGTCGCGCTCGATGGCGGCGGCGTCGAAGTGTCCGCCCGACACCAGGTCGCCGCCCTGCGCCGCCAGCGCCTCCGCGCGCGCCGTGCACTGCGCCAGCTCCTGCTCCAGGGCCTGCACAGTTGTTCCGCATTATAATTATCTTATTTACACAATTATTGGACATTTTAAATATTATATTTTAAAATTATTAGCTATATTTTATTAGTTTTGACGAAGATGATTACTATGAAAATGTTTACTGTATAATGTCAGGAATAAAAATTCAAAATAACTTTGTTTTTCATAAAAAATAACATAATGATGTTTTTTGAACTACAAATCTTTTGTCAATGCCACTCTTTCTCCTTCGTTCTGGATGATAGCAGATAATAACAAAATTATTTTGCTAACACGCTCAGAAGTAAAATTAGAAAATAATTATTTTTATTTATTGCTTTACGCAAATAGATACAATTTCAACTACTTCAGTCCTTAAGTGCCTTGACGATGCTATCGTAAACTGTACCCCCCCCCTCCCTCGCCCTTCTCTATATTTCTTACAACCACCATCAGACTGGTTGCTGCTGGTTGCTGATGAGGTTACCTGATGCTGCACGAGCAGCCGCTTGACGGAGCGCAAGTCGGCGCCTAGCTCCTCGCTGGCCAGCGCGCGCTCCAGCTCCGACAGCCGCGCCTTCGCGTCCTCGATAGACCTGCCAGAGAAAGCATTTATTAAGAATCTAAAAACCATTTAAATTTAATATTCAAAAACCTTATGTAATTAAAACAGTTTTAAAGGAATTTATTATGCGTTCATTTTTTTTTATATTTGCAATGTATAATGTCATATTTAAAATAACAAATTTGAGTATCGAATAAAACACATCTTTTAATTTGCTTTCCTATACAAATTTTCATCACCATTATCGGATTCCGGGATAAAAACTATCCTATGTCTTTCCTAGGGTTAAAACTATCTTCTTACCAAATTTCATTTAAATCGGTTCAGTAGTTTCGTAGTCTATTCAGTATAAACAAACATAAAAACAAGCACATTCAAATTCTTTCATTATTATTAATATTAGGTATAGATTAAATCGATTACATATTGAGTGTTCAGAATGTGTTTGTTCATAACGTTCAAATCAATATTATTAATAAGCGTATACGCTTCCACTCGATAGATGGCGTTGTACATATTTTTATTATTCTGAATCGCTCTATGGTTTCGTTATACGAAGGAGTATATAAGGCTGCTTTTTTATGAAATTTTGTCTCGGTCTGAGGTACTGTAGTTTCATGTGAGTATGGTGTTACCTGCGCAGCGAGCGCTGGCGGTCGGCCTGGCGCAGCTTGCCGCCCTTGTCGCGCGAGGCCGCCAGCAGCGCGCCCCACGCGCCGCCCAGCGCGCGCAGCCGCGCCGACACCTCCGGCGCGCGCCCCGGGTCCGACTTCTGCAGCGACTGCCCGATCTGAGGATTCATTATGTTGGGACATTAACACACAGCACCATCTAGTTCCATGGTAAGCTACGAGGCCTGTGTTATGGATACCAGATAGTTGATACACTACACATATATGACTTTAAATACATACATATTATAAATATAAACACCCATGACTGGAGTACAAACATTCGTGCTCATCACACAAATGAATGCTCACAGCGGGACTCGAACTCGCCACCGCACAGCGAGTAGAATCACTACTGAGCCAAACGTATCGTCATATTAGTATGTATAATGCTAGTTAATATTTTAGACATCCAAAGTTTCGAAAATCGTTACCACTTTTGGGGTGGTATTGGTTGATTTTAAATTTGGTTTATTTATTTTTATTGTGTATCTTATATGGGCGTCATATTGATATACATGTAATAATAAGAAAGAAGTGTGATTTTTATTTTTTGTCTCTAAATAAAACTATTATTAAAATTTTCTTTCAAATATAGTTTTAGATATATGGTAAAAAAAGTCTTCCCAACTTCCCAAAAAAGGGACAAACACACAGACAACCTTTAATTTATAATATTTAAAAATAACTAAAAACCTCTACATATACATACACTTTCGACATTTCTGAGTTGTTTCTCATTCGCCTGCAACTCTCGCTCGAACGCTTCGTGCTTTTGCAGTTTGCGCTCCAAATTTGTCAAATCCCTAGAAAAAAGTAGGAAAATATGAATATATTTATTAATTTGCAAAATTAGACAATAGGTTCGATTCTCGGATAGGACACAGAAGGCAATATATACGTAGTAACAAAATCACAATCTAATTTAACTAATTGTAAGATTAAGCAATTTATATTAAAAAAATGTGTGTGTGTACTTGTGTACGCACGTAAGAAGTTATACTTCTTTGGCGTAACAGAACAAAAACAGCTAAAGATTTCATCCCGTATGTCACAGCTCTCTGTTTGTAAAAGGAATGCAGCTAACTTCATCATGTCGCTTTTCGGCTGTCGGTGTGCGCGCGCATTGTAAAAATTTTACTCTTATATTTTTTCCAAACGTGCCAAAAGAAGTATAACTTCAAAAAACGTATAGTGATTAAAAAATATTTTTTTAGTAACCTGTAGCTCTTATCTTGAGCAGTTTTCGTCTTGTCTTCTATCCACGCCTGCAGCTCCTCAGACGACGCTACGAACTGAAAAAAAAACATAAAAATTGACATTATTATTATTGAAATTACAATTTTTAATACTAATATTATTCAAATTGCAATATTTCTTAGAAAATAAAATAAATATAACATCTACCCTTCTCTATGTAATTTTTATTCTGCCTGATTCCAGAAGACGATTGTTTTTCAGAAGGCATGACATTAAAATGTGGCATAATACACTTTATGTTCATACTCGTAAGTTCGAATTTGTTTTAACACTGGAACTTACGTTTTTTGGGTTTTATTTTTTGGTTTGACTTATCGTCACATGTCGACGCCGCTTTTTAAAGAGATATACGTATACGTAGTACGTATGTTAGGAAATGTGTATCTATTTTTTTACTTTTTATATAAAGTCTTTCATATAAAAACTATTGAACAGATTTTGATGAACCTTAACAAAAACATAAATTATATATTAGAATAACATATACTTAGTAATTAATAAGGCGGGCCGAGCCGCGGGAAAACGCTAGTCTTTTTGAATAATTTTTATGAAATTGATTTGAAGATCAGTTTATTTTTATATATAATACGTAATTCTCGTATACGTGTGTATGTCACTGAACTCCTAAATAGCTGGACCGATTTTGATGATACTTTTTGTATGTTTGGATGGTTTAGATTCACAACTAGAGCCGATAGGTGGCGCTGCAGTCGGCTTCTAGGATTTTATATGAAGACTATGATGAACACCATATTCGGGTATCACAACGTCTGTCGGTCCGCTAGTATTTTTAATAATAATGAATTATAAAGTGGAGTAGTGTCATACCTGCTGATGTGCCAGGCTGGCGAGCAGCGCACGGCGCCGCTCGGCCGCCAGCCGCCGCACGCCGTCGCGCCGCGCCAGCACCGCCGCGCGCCGCGACGCGATGCTGCGGCACACGGACACACATACAGTATGTATAGATAATAAATAGAATATATATAATATTAGCTAAATTGCAGTCATGACAAACTGTATCATAATTTCTCTTTATCTCTTTTTCGCTCGTGTTCTTCCTTAGTTACATTTTAACGGTTAGTATGAAATAGATACTTTCTATTATATAACATATAGCCTTCTTCAATAAACGGGATATATAATGCAAAAAGAATTTTTCAAATCGATTTAGTAGTTCCCGAGATTAGCACGTCCAAACAAACAAACTCTGCTTCTTTATAGTATTAGTATAGATCTGTTTCATACTCGTATTGTATCTGTACTACGAATGCTATGTTGGTTTTATTTTGATTTTTGATTCTCAACGATTTGAATGTATCACAGCAAGAATTGTCGTAGGAGAGAATAGGGACGTTTAAAAAAAACATATATATTGAAAAAGTTTGTATGTATGTATGTATGCATGCATGTGTGTGCGTGCGTGCGCGTGTACGTACTGTTCCTTGGCGTAGTGCGGCGGGTCGAGGGCGGCGAGCGCGTCGGCGCGCTGCGCGAAGGCGGCGAGGCGCTCGTCTTGCGCCTGCAGCCGCGCCTCCAGCTCCTCGTGCCGCTTCAGCAGCGCCTCCGCCTCGTCCACAGACGACTGCTCGGACAATACATATAAATAATTATGTGTTATGTTATACTAATCGTCAGTCATACATTATTCACAAAAAAAAAACAACCAGTACGGTATATGCATGTTTACATAATAATTAATCTTGCGAATATTTTACTGATTTAAAAAAAAATAAACAAAATAAATTTAAGCGATGCAAAAAACAATTTATCCAAATATCCTCATCAAGCAATTAATTAAATCAAATGATGTTAACTTAAAAAAAACCGGCGGAATATATAAATATTTTGTCTAACTGTCATCAGCTAGCAGCTATATAACAATATTTTTGTAAATCATATACATTGTACAATGTACACCCCGTTGTGTGTTCGTAACATCCATTTTTTATATTTCTTCTCTACCCTTAAATTGCATGGAAAGGATCGCTAACTTAGTGATTAGACCAATTTACTCTTGATGTGAAACATCTAAAATGCCATGTCATCCCCTCACACACAGCCAACCACACGCTCATAATTTAACTAAAGATTTTTTAATCTGGATATTTTGATTTGCTTAAATAAATCATCCTGTCATGCATATTTTTTATATAAAATAGTTACGATGTTTCACATCTGTTAGACATCTCACGATGGTTCTAACTGATTTTTTTTAATATTTAATGTTTCCATAGCTAATCTCACCCCGCAGTGATTATAATCGAGGAAGGCCTCGTGCGCGCCGCTGGACGCGTCGATGTGGTCCGCCTCGCGGTTGAAGCTCTGCAGCTGCAGCACCTGGCGCAGGTACTGCTCCTTGTCGCGCCATTCTGCAAAATGTTATTTTAGAGTTATTTCTAAGTATAATAATTGGCTAAGGAAATGACTTAATCCCGAAGAAGTGATCATGAACTAGTATAATATTAAGCAATCTGACAATATTATATTAGCCCATGAAATAGTGGAACATGTCATGAAGTCATCAATTCTACGATATGCCCACAGCATATACACAATTACCACAGTATAAAAATACATACAGTAGAATCACCTACGATTTTAAAGCAAATTCTTAAGATCTTTAATAAAACGCACAGATTATAAAAAAAATATATCAATTTTCATGTTGAATAATGTTAAGTCACAGTTACACTGGCAACCCTAAAACCGTCTCCCGACTTTCATACAAAAGTAAGTATGATAGTCGGGAGTAGCTAGCGTCGTCCAGCACGATTGATCTATCTATAATTTATGAGAAGACTGTATGGATACGTAGACTGTGATAGTGCTGACCTTGGAGCAGCGCCGCCTGCTCAGCCGCCAGCGCGTCGGTGGTGGTGGCCACGTCGGTGAGCGCGGGGTTGCTGCCCACCAGCTGCTTGCCCAGACCTATCACTTCCTTAAACCTGAGGAGTAGGTTGTGTTATTAGTAAAGATCTATATACTAGATGTATAAGTAAAACTGAAATTCTGTTTGTTGGTAAACGTAATTTTTGAGAACGGCTAAGCCGATTTGTTTTTATTTTAATATTCATAACATGTTATATTTTTTTACGTATTTATTTTCTGTTGGATTTTTCTACGAACTCAAAGTTCTCAAACAAAACTGGTTCAGGACAGAAATAAAGTTCTTTAAATCGAAGTAAAAACAATCAAAATCCCTTTAAAAGTAATTGCATGGTGAAATTTTCTTTTATATTAATCTTCTTCTCCTTCTCCTTTGACTATTAATCTTTTGATGTCTGAAAAATATTTTTTCGTTTAAAAAGAATATCAAGATTTTATTACCCGTAACTTGTATTGTACTTTAATTTAAATCCCCTAAAAACGTATTTTTGAATTTGTACGATAAATTTGAGCCAGGCACTCACTCGTCGTCATGCGCCTTGATGTCGTCCTCCAGCTCCTGGTGCTGCTTGAGCAGCGCCTCGGCGGTGGCCACGTCCTTCGCGCACACCTCCTGCGACACCTGCTCGCGGACTTTCTGTTGACAGACAGACACTCGTTGGTATATAATATGGTATCTTTTATTTTTAAGAAAGTGGAAATTTCTTTGAAAAATATATTTTTAATGCTTCTCAAAACTCCTAAACTTATTTCATTAAATATTTTTCATTGGAAAGTAAGCAAATTTTCATTATAAAACACATGAAATTATAGAAGATAAATAAAATAATAACTTTTAAGTAAAACTATCTTTTCGGATTATTTCGCGGATTTATTTTGATTTTATTTTGGTTCCCGACGTCTCGAATGCTTTATAGCAATCATAGGTTACGGGAGAGATTCGTTTCTCAAAACCCGGAAATATTCAAATAAATCTAAGAATCACCTGTATCCAGTCATGCAGCTGCTTGGCGCCGTTGGCGAACACCTGGTGGCCGACGGCGCTCTCCAGGCGCGCGCGGCGCTCCGCCGCCTGCGCCTCGCAGCGCTCCCACGCACTCTCCAGCTGCTTCTGGCGCTTCTCCACGTTGGCCCGCTCCGTTGGGTATTGGGACTTGACACTAGATGGGAAAACTCACATTCAATTCTATTATCTTGTTAATGGCTTTAAAGCGTTCTCATAGAGCACAGATTACATCGCCAACGTCACGTAGAGTGGAGAAGACGATGAGATTGTTCGGTAAAATTCGCATTTTAAATCTATTCATAAGTTATTGAGAGACTTTCGGGAAAAGAAGTTTTTAAACTCTAATTTTAAACCAATATGTTAAATATGGATATTTTCGGCAAATTATTCCAATTTTGATACAAAATATCAACATACCCGTTCAAATCTAACCATTTTATGATGCTGCATGTAAAGGATAATGTGGTGTGAATATTTTTTTGTTAGTTACAGATTATAAAGGAAAAAGATATGAAAAATATTTGTAAATATAGGCAAAATTAATTTGGATACCAAATTGTCACAGGCAACATCTAAGCATATAATTTTGCAAAAAAAAAACACATGTCTAATTTCAAAAATAAGCATGTAATAAATAGTTGAAATGATATATCCTGGTACCAAAGACGCAGCTCATGAGTTAGTCAGAAATATGTATGTTCAGCTAAAGCCTACTACAGCCAATCATCTGGACTGCTTTATACCAGAGCGCTTTCAAGCGCCAATATAGTAGAACAACCAGCAACATAGCAGCAACTCAAAAGTTAGCCAGCAGCTCTTTCGGCTGTGCATCTGGCTAGATCCAGAGCCAGGCCACGGTCCCGCCGGCGCCGGGGGAGGGGAGGGGGTGTCTGTCTGTGACTCACGAGTCGGCCAGCAGCGTGACGGTGTCGACCTTGTCGCGCAGCGGCTGCAGCTCGCGCTCCAGCTGCGCGTGGCGGCGCTGCAGCGCGCGCACGGTGCGCAGGTCGCCGCCGCCGCCGCCGCCCGCCGCCAGCTGCTGCTCCTTCTCCGCCATCCACGCCAGCGCCTCGTCGCACGTGCGCTGGAACAGCTCCACGCTGCGCACCCGACACGCACGGATTACGATACACAGTAGCCAACATATATTTGTCTTAATATAATATATTTAAAAACTGAACCCATAATCCTAACATTTTTTTTAGATATATGAAAATAATTAGGTGCTTAGCACCACTAATCAATTGGTATTATTTATAAAAACGTTGCCTAAACGCGATTTCCACCTACATTTTGTCTGGCAAAAGCCATCTTGTGACGTTACTCAGTCGCCAAACGAATTGACTAAATATTTAATAAAATCAAATCTAATTTTACAATTATAAAAATTAAAGATTTTTTAAAGAAGTTGTGCCTTGGTTTCAGCAGATATCAACTACTCAATTAAACCTTTCACAAAACACCTTTATCTAGTTAGATGTGTCGGTACCTGGAGGCGCCCTCGAGACTCTTCTCCTTCTGCTGCTTGAGGCGCAGCAGGCGCTCCCACTGCTGGCGCAGCTGCTGGCGGCGCGCGGCGGCGCGCGCGGCCTGGCCGTGCCCCGCCGCCGCCAGCTCCTCCGCCGCCGCCTCGATGCTCTCCAGCCGCTTGGACGCCGCCGACAGGTCCGTCACGAATTTCTGTCCAAGTTAAATGGTCATCAAATTGTTTATCCTTTCTTGAGAGGATTTTGAGTAGTTTCCGAAAGACATAAGAAGCGTATTAATCCGCCCAAAATTGGACTGATAATTATTGGCCCGTCCAGTAGTGAGACGTTAAAAACAGGTGAATGCAGAATGAAAGGGTGAATATTTAGTTAACTAAAGTAGTCTAAAAAATATAAAGTGATTGAAATTCAGGCACAAAATAATTAAAAAAAAAACTTTCTATTTGGGGGAAAAAATCATGTAATTTAAGACATTTTCACAGCATTTAAATACAAAATAAGTCTCTTTAAGTTTTAGAACAATATAAACATTCCCCACACACACCTCATACTTCCTCTTGGCGTTGTCGACGCTGTCGTCGGCGTCGTCGGAGCGCAGCATCTTCTCCTTGTCGCGGATCCACTTGTCGAAGTCGTCGCACTCCGCGAAGAAGCTGAACAGTTTGATGGCGTCCTCCAGCTGAAGGCGGCGCTGCTCCGACAACTTGAGGAGAGCGGCTGAGGACGGTTAATATATAACTGTCATTACAAGATTAATGATAATATTAGTATAAAAAAAATTAACGATTTTTTTTAAATAAATTTAAATAGATAAAAAACGACAACGACATTCTTAATAAGACTGTATTTACCAAAAAAAACCACACTAAAAGGTAGACTAATGAATATTAATATACAAAAAAATGTCAACAGACTAAAAAAGTTAAATTCCCAATATAATCAAAGAAAAAAAAGAGAAAAATCCACCCACAAAGTGGAAAGCTACTAAGCGGTACGTAGCGTAACCCACCGTACTCCGCCTGTATCTGTTCGAGGCGGTCGCGCACGGGCGGGTGGCGCGCGGGCGCGGGCGCGCGCGGGCGGCGCGGCGCGGGCGCGCGCCGCGTCTGCACCACCTGCTTCACCAGCACCGTCTTGCGCACGCGCTGCACCGTCTTCACCTTCTCCGGCCGCCGCACTTGCACCTGCACACACACACACACATACATACACACACTACTGCTAGTTTTGACGCCTTGTAACGAAAATTGAACTATTTCATATATTCATAAATGTACATCATTTGACACATTATATTTAGAAATACTTTATTATACATAAACAAGAGTATACAGTATAGGTAAATAAAAAAAAATATCAAAAACAACAACATGTATGTGTTCTTATTGCTATGAACAATTTCTGACAGATAGAATTTGTAGAAATAGAAATGGGACAATATAAATTCATATTATTAAGAAACATATACAAGTTTTCAACATTATAGTTAAAACTTAAAATATTAAAAAATAATAATAATATATATTTCTTTAAACAGATACAGATAACAGACAGATGTACTGACCGGCACGACGCGCGGCTCCACCTCGCGCACGTAGTTGGCGGGCACGAAGCCGTCCGTGCGGTCCGCCTTGCGCACCGACCACCAGTCCGGGTTGGTCTTGCTGATGAGGAACATCACCTCGCCCTTCGCCATGGAGATGCCCTGCCCGCTGAACGCGTACAGCGCCTTCACCTGCGGCACGCTGCGCTGCTCGGTGACGGTGCGGTGCTCCAGGCGCTCCACGGGCTCCTCCTCCCACACCTCGGTGGGCACCAGCCGCGTCTCGCTCACCACCTCCTCGTCCGCGTCCAGGCCGGCGCCGGCCTCCACTTCGGTAGGCAGCTGTACACGTGGGACAAGTTACATATATGTAATATTTTTCTAATTAAATATTCACATCAGTTAATAATCAATTGCTTGATAATAAAAAAAAAAACAAATATAATATATATATATTTTATCATAAGACTTCATAGTTATTAACAATTCTTATAATTTAAAGAACGCTTGCATCAGTATTAAAAAAATTGAGAAATTTATACAAAATAAATGAAAAAAAAAATACCGTTTTACAACATAAGCATAAAATAAAACGTGTATTGGTCCTTTGCACCGGATTGCCGGAGGAGACATATATATGCAGATTATATTATTAGTACTCTTGTGATCGCGAGTTGGTCCTTCGAGCCGGACAGTGAGGCGGTACCTGCAGGTTGTCGATGCCGGCGTCGCGCAGGCGGCGCGCGGCGGCCGCCAGCGCGTGCAGCTCGGCGCCGTGCGCGCGCAGGTCGTCGTGCAGCGTGCGGTGGCGCGCCAGCAGCGCCGCCGCCGCCGCCGCGTCGTGCCCGCAGTCCGCGCTCGCCGCCACCGCGCGCTTCTCGCGCATCCACGACTCCGCCTCGTTCGCGTCGCCGTAGAACTGGGGGAGAGCCACCGGTTAGTCATATATTAACATAAAAAGTTATGAAATACCTAAAAATCTGTTCTAGAAGCTTTTACAAAAGGAGTTTGAACATTTTAATACTCTTTCAAAGTAGTTGCACGTAATGAATCTAGAATGTATAATTTTAATGATATAATAAAAAAATATATGGTTTTTTATTGGCGTAAAAGATATTAACTACCACATTTAAAAAAAATTATGACGTTATAATTGAATTTATAAACGTTACAACTTTGGATTTAGGTAAAACAGGGCGCTATGTTTTAATATATTTTATCAAAGAATTTACCAGTTACAATTTTTTTCAATACTTTTAACTTTATTTAATGCAAAAATACAAAAAAAAAACATAAAATAAATGATAATTTCACAGGACTCGTCAAGGAAGTATTCAAACTAGTGATATGTGGGTGGTGAGGGTGAAAAGTTTGTAAAGAGCGAATGAGGTGTGGGAGAACGTTGGATATTGTGGTGGTATAGGTGAGGAGTGTGCGGTGTGAGGGGTCGCACCTGGTGAGCCTCGGCGGCGTCGGCCAGCTGCTTGTCGCGCGCGGCCGCCAGCTGGCGCAGCAGCTCCCAGTGCGCCGCCAGCGCCTCCAGCCGCCGCTCGATCTCCGCGCTCTTCGGGTGCTGCGCGTCGATCAGCCTGCGCGAGGACGTTCCATATTATGCACACGTTATATATAACCGAAGGTGGAATTTTGAGACATTTTTTTTTTAAATAATACTTTCTTAGATTTACGCGAATATTTGACATTTTAAATAAAACTATCTTTTCGGATATTTTCGGAAGATAGTTTTATTTTACATTTTTTAAAATTAATCCATGAATATGAAGAATTTAGTGCGACCATATTAAAATATAAGAAGTTAAAGATTATCAACGAATGTAAAAACAGACCACATGAGCTCAAATTTGAAGGTTTTCCTAACATCCATTGAAAAGTTCCGCTATTCACCTCTTGGCTCCATCCAGATCAGTGAGATGGTGTTATCACAAATAATCACATTATAAAATTATCATTAGATTAGATTTTTATAAAAGTTATATACAATTTTAATATTTTTACAAATTTAATCTTTAACAAAACAGACAATAAAGAACAGACTACAACCAAAATAAATCTAATAATTTTAATTTCAAATGTCAAATATTTGCGTCCATCTATGAAATTATCGACAGAGTATAAATATGGCTGAATGGAGCGCACCTTTGCCATTTTTATTATACAATTAATGATTATATAGAAGATGGCACGCCTTGGGAATGAAATGATCGCCTCCAGGCTACTTCAATTTTATAGAAATATTATAATTTATAATTTAACTTTATAAAAAAAGAAATAATATTAGTCCCGCTAAGTTTCTTTCGCCAGTTTTTCTCAGGTCTGAGGCTTTTACTTTCCGAACTGGTAGCAGACTCAAAAAAATTGTAAATATGTTAAGACATCAACACACATCACCATCCAGTTCCATGGTAAGCTACGAGGCCTGAGTTATGGATAGTTAGATACACCATACATATATAACTTTAAATACATACATATTATAAATATAAACAACCACGACTGGAGTACAAACATTCGTGCTCATCACACAAATGAATGCCCCCCCAGCGGGACTTGAACCCGCGACCGCTGGCGTGGTAAGTAGGGTCACTACAAACTGAGCCAAACGTGTCGTCAAAATAATTGAATGACGAATAAAATATTTGGGATTAGAATTCGCCGTACGCCTGTCCCTTGGCGCGGTGGCGCGCGTGGCCCAGCTCGCGCGCGCGCAGCTCGTGCAGCAGCGCCGTGTGCTTGTGGCGCAGCGCCAGCACGCCGCGCACGTCCTTGGCCGCCACGTCCGCGCGGCAGATGCGCTGCCGCTCCGTCACCCACCCTGCACGCACACACACATATGTGATACACAGCGCCATCTAGTTCCATGGTAAGCTACGAGGCCTGTGTTATGGATACCAGATAGTTGATGATACACTACACATGTATAACTTTAAATTCATACATATTATAAATATAAACCTATGACTGGATTACAAACATTTGTGCTCATCACACAAGTGAATACCCCCATCGGGACTCGAACCCGCAACCGCTAGCATAGCAAATAGGGTCACTACAAACTGAACCAACTGTGTCGTCAAAATTTTTATATATATAACATTACGCGAAAAAACCTACTTGTCTGTCAATTGCCATATTATTTTCTTAAAAGGTACTTCGATTAGGCATAAGACTTCTATATATGTACATCTCGTCTCCTAACACACTCATGATTATTATTTAAATAGCTGAAGAAAAAACCATTATTTCCTCACCTTCTTCTTCATCGTGATCCTCGAGGAACTGGTACAAGTTCCTGGCGTCTTCTAAACGCGCCTTACGGTCTTTAGCCGCTGCGACCAGTCTGTATAAAATTAAATTAATTTTAAATTATTTTGTTTAAGTATTCATCATATAAGTTATTTTCCGCTTGACATCTCCAGTCTCCCTCACCCAGTGTAGTCATCCTCCAGCTGCTTGAGCTGGTGCTGCAGCTGCTGCGCGCTGGCGGCGGGCGCGTCCACGCCGGCGCCCTGGCGCACCAGCCGCCGGATGCTCTCGTCCAGCGCGCCCAGCTGCAGCTCCTGCAGCGCGTGCGCCTGCAGCAGGCGCTCCACGTCCACCAGGTGGCGACCCACTTCTTCTGATTGGAATTGGGCCTGGGGAAAAGATTTTTGGCGTTTATTTGTTTATGTAAAAGAGAATAATGCTGTGGTAGTAGAAGATTTTGCACATTTAATATTATTGCCACTCCCCTTATGGTGAAACACAATATTGTTAAGAAAGAAGAAAATATCTTGCAGAATCTTGCAATATATCGAAATATGTATTAAATAATATTTATTTATTTATGGATTAAAATTTTACCAACCCTATTAATTCTTATTGTCTATTTCTAAGAGAATGTAACTAGTTTTCAAACGACATGTAAAATTCCACCCTGCTGTTTCTAACAAATTGCTTGATTTTCCTCAAATTGAGGGCGGGATTGTGCTAAACATATTAAAGGGACGGATGAAGGATGAGGAATCCACGGTCACCTTCATATCATCGAGGGTGTGCTTGAGGGCGTCGGCCTCGCGCAGCAGCAGCATGAGGCGCGCCAGGTGCTGCAGCGCGGCGCGGTGGCGCTCCAGCAGCTGCAGCAGCTCGCGCCAGCGCGCCAGCACGGCGGCCTCCACGCGCGCCACGCCCTCCGCGTCGTGGTAGCGCTCGCGCACCAGCTCGCCCGCCATCGCCGACAGGTCCTCGAACCGCTCCGTCCTGCGCACGCGGACACACGGACACGTGGTGAACTCGACAAACTTATCCGATGCGAGTATCAGCTAGAAATGGTTCTAACCAGGGCTCGGAACCGGTTTAAAAAAACGATTAATTTCGGTAATGTTATGGTTAGCTCATCGCTCGTTCGTTAACCGGTTAATGAAAACGAACGGTTTAGTAAATTGAAATGATAATGATTAACGGTTATTCTTACGGTTAGACTTAGGTTTTGATACCGAAATAAACCGGTTAATTCATCCATAACTAAGAAACATACATGTAACCTTCTACTTAGTAATTCACTATAAGCAAAGATTTGTCAAATGTAAACACACAAAATGTCATTTTAACCGGTTAATTTCGATCAGGGAACCAAAATTCGTAAAAACCGTTTTCGGTGTTTAAACCAGTTAGAGAACGTAACCGAAACATTAAACCCAAATGCCTTTCAATTTAAAAAACAAACCGGTTTAAAAATTGAACGGGTTACCGAGCTCTGGAGCTCTCCAAAAAAGTTTTCCCTAAATAATACATTTTGCTTAGTATATAATATGGGCTTCAAGACCAAATCATAAAAATCTATCAAGTCTGATGCGATAAAAAAAATATTTTAATACATTTTATGTCTATACTGGAAACTCCTAAAACGAGAAAATTAATATCTGTAAAAAGATAATCCCATTGATTGATGGGGTTACCTGGCGAGGATGTCAGCGGAGATGGCCTCGTGCTTTTTGACGGTGGCGTCCACCTGCGCCAGGTTGGAGCCGTAGCGAGGGTCCGACAGCACCTGGATCATCTCCTTCAAGTAGCCCTTGCGGAGCACCGACTGTGGAAAAACATTGCACATGACGATATTACAATTACTTATAATTATTTTAAGTCACAATTTAAATAAAAACAACGTGTGTGTGTACTTATGTACGCACGTAAGAAGATATACTTCTTTGGCGAAACAGAGCAAAAATAGCTAAAGATTTCATCCCGTATGTCACAACTCTCTGTTTGTAGAAGGAATGCGGCTAACTTCATCATGTCGCCTTTTGGCAAGAAGTATAATTTCAAAAATTTATCTTGTTTAGTTTCAATTTAAAATATTACCTTAGTATGGAATTTGTAGGCGAGCTGTTCCAGCCGCTGTTGTCTCAACAGTTCGGTCCTGAGGGCCAGCTCCCGGGCGTGTTCCGCCTAAGACAGAATATACAAATATTTATTTATTACAACACAATATTTATTGAAATATAAATGGTGAAACACGTGGAGTCCGCCAACCCCCACTTGGCCAGCGTGTTGAATATGGCCTGATCCCTCTCGCAATGAGGGAAGGACTATGGTCCTCCCCTCAAATAAAATATTAAATAATACAATATAAATACATCAATATGACTTAAAACGGTTTTAAGGTAGTTAATTCTAAATCAATTTTGTAAACACGGAATTACCTGTCTGTTTATTTGTTACGTTACGCTTAAACTAGTGAACCAATTTTGATAAAATTTTGTATAGAAATAATTTGTCTTCTTCTTTGTTTAGAGAAAGACATAGGCTGTTTGTCGTGAAAATAAAAACTTATAGAGGGTAAAAAATGGGGGTGTAGATAGTGGACGGAAAAATCTCAAAAGGATCTTCTTTGGTTCTAAATGAATACATATCTAAATTTTGTACATATTTAACAGTATTCGAAAATGATAAGTACTCAATTCGGAAGCATTATTTGTGTAAGTTGTAAAAAGGCAAGCTTTGGACCTATTCAAAAGGGATAGCCCCAGTTAATCATAGAAAAAAACATCCAGAATAATACAATGGTAATGGGTAGTGGTGTATGAGATGGAGTTGGGGTATATGAGGAGTGGTGAAGTGGCAGATGTGTCAGGACCTGTTCCAGCTGCTGCCAGGCGCGCTCCAGATCCTGCGGCAGCTGCCCCTCTAGCGGCGCCCAGGGCTCGCCCACCAGCGCCTTCTGCATCGTGTTGATGTCGAAGTACAGCGCCTCGATCTCTGACCGCTCCTTGTATCTGTGGGGTTTTTATGGGTGTTAATGGTATCTTTTTTTATTTTTGGGTACCTGATGTATTGGATGCTTTATAAGAAGCATGGTCACGAGAAAGATCAAAATTTTTTAGTCACAATTATCGTCTAAAGTCACAATTATCTATCAAAAGCTGTCTACCCACTACAATCATACATGTTTTTTGTAAAGCATTAGATATGTTGGGATTCAAAAAATCAAACTAAAACTCAAAATTTCCGATGACTTAAACAAAATTCCATGAATCTGAGAATTAATTATTTAATGTGTTTTTAAATGATGAATGAACGAAATTATAAAGATTTGTCCCAAATCAAAGACTATGGACCGAGAGCTCTCAGGTTCAAGTCCCGGCTCAGACAAGTACTGACTTGGGCGGCTTCTCGACGGTGCGGTACTGCTTGAAGGCGAGCAGCAGGCGCTGGATGGCGTCGAGCGCGTTGGGCAGCTCGCGGTCGTTGAGCTCCACGATCTTGCTGCGGATCCACTCCAGCAGCGCGCTCACCAGCCGCCCGTACTCCGCCTTGCGCCCGTCGCAGTCCATCAGCTGCCCGATGATCTGGGGGAGAACACGTCCACAGACGTACAGGATGAGTACCGTGGAGTGACTTTCACATCACACTTCTGCTATAGGAATAATATGGCAAAGCCATTTGCAGCTAGCTTTAGTAATTCGAGATAGAAAACTCAAATCTCTCATGGACTCGTTAAAACAAATCGAAATAGCCCAAAAATAGCCCAAACCAAGAAGGTTTTACTAGTAGCCACTGAAGAGTTCCACCATCCACCTTCTATGACCATCATCAGACCAGCTCGACGGTACCAAATTATTATATTATTCTTTCAAGATTTTAATATATATTCAGAAGTTAAACTAAATAAAACGTTTTATAAATCCCTCACAACGTATAGATTCATAGGTACAAGCACATTTCTTGTAGAAAATAGCAGTTATAGTTACATTGGCAATCCTCCTGCCGCTCTTCTGCTCGTTCTTCATCCTGGCGAAGGTGTGGTAGTAGCTGGCCACGTACGTCATCACGGACTTCTCGTCCGGCCGCGTGGTGTCCACGTCTGAGGTACACGATAACATATAGGTACAATATTATAATAAATATCTAAGTAAGGGATAGATAAAGTATATTTTTGAACCAAAAATATATATTTCTTAGATTTTTTTCTTGATTGATATTTGAGTATAAGCTGTAGTAGCTCAATGGAAATGCGCTCGCTTGGGAAACCAAGAATCTGATATTTTCATGTGCGAATATTTTTCAACATGACCATCACTTGTCTTACGGTGAAGGAAAACATCGTGACGAAACCTGCATCTCTAAAAGAACTAATAAGTTTTGGAAAGACATGTACAATCCGCTCGCACTTGACCAGCGTGGTGGATTATGGCCTGATTCCTCTCGTACTGAAGGGAGGCCCGTGCCCAGCAGTGGGAAGTTAAAAAAGTCTGAATACATATATATTTGAGTTTCATGAATTATGAGAACTTAGTCACATTTAGCAAAGATTTCGTGTTATATACACCCAAAACACAACAATATTAAGTATCTTCTTTTTTGCAGTCGGTCAAGAATAAGAGTGAAACAGATGTACTATTTATGTGTTTTCATGAACAATTAAGCATTCTTTTTTCCTTCTCCTTCTTTCTACATAAAACATCTTGAACCTAGAGGATAACACCAAAGCAACCATGAAAAGTAAGATCCTGATACCTTCAGCGTCCAGGAGTTTAGGGATGCCGAGGTGCGTATGCGCGACTTCGAAGGCGTGGTTGAGGGTCTCCACGTGGTCACCGGTGGGCAACTCCGCCCAGCGGAACAGGTCCGGTCTGTGGATAACAGTGGCTTACTTTATTTGTTGCAAATAATAATAAATATATTGGAACATCAACACACAGCGCAATCTAGTTCCATGGTAAGCTACGAGGCCTGTATTATGAATACCAGATAGTTGATACACTACACATATATAATTTTAAATATATACATATTATAAATTTAAACACCCATGACTGGGTACAAACATTCGTGCTCGTCACACAAATGAATGACCTAATTTAGCTATTAAATTTTAGCTTTAAATAGTTAAAAAAGAAAATCTAACACGTTAATCTTTCTTTTGCTGCATTACTCTCTTTCTCACTGACCTGTGAGCATGTATAAGGGCATTGAAGCCAAGTCCAGATCTCCAAGAGTCGGTGAAATTGTGTATGTGCACTCCATGGTAGCCGCTGGTCTTGCGCTGGCACCAGAGTAGGAGGGCATCCTTAGCCGACTTCTTCTCTGAGGATTCGTTTTCTTCGTCCTGAAGGAATAGAGAAAAATAAAAAATATGTCCAATAAATAAGTAAAAATTATGTGCTTATTATCTTGCACTCTTCTATTTCCAAGGAGAGTTGATGTCAGGCAGGCGGCCGGTCGGAAATTTTTTGCCAAATCCTATCAGCAGTACGGAAGATGTACTGCGCCGACCACAAGTGATTGGGAAATGAGCAGGGAGAAGAATGAAGATCTTGCACTCTTCTGTTCTGCTAAATGACAAATCTTTCTCACCCTCATGGGTTGATCGGTAGAGGTCTCTGTTGGAGATAAGGCCTTTGCCCTCGATTTTTCCTAATGTACTCTATTTTGTATGTGCAATAAAGAATATATAATATGTTTCAAATTACATATTAAATACAACTTCAGTACCAAGAATTTTTACATGAATATTTAGTGTTGCAAAATATAAGATAATTTATCTTGCAATATAATTTTCAACTCCCTATATCTCATATGCTATTGACTCATATGCTCTTCAAGAACATCTATCTATACTAATATTATAAAGAGAAAAGATTTTTTGCTATGAAATTTGGTAAGAAGATAGTTTGAGACCCTGGGAAGGACAAAGGATAGTTTTTATCTCGGAAATCATCCCTTAAGGGGGTTAAACTGAAATGAAGCGAAGGTGAGTCGCTCGTACTTTTATAAATTTGCGAAAAATTCTAGATCAACAACTTACCACGTCGATCTCAATCTCCTGAATCTGGAACCTGAGGATGATGGTCCAGATGAGACCGAGGATGAGGCGTGGATTGCCGTCCACTATGTCTTCCGCGCCGATTGACTCGAGGCGCACCTGGGGGTAAGCATAGTATTGTATTAGTAAGGAATATAGTAAGGAAAATTTATTGAAGATATATTTCTGCTGCAAAATTGCCAAACCCAAGTGACTGGGAAATGGGCAGGGAGTTGATGATATTTCTGCTACAACGATCAGCAGAAGATTTATCTTATAGCAGCACGTAATATTATTAATTTTGTCTATACATATAATAAAATTCTAACCGAGTCGAATCTTTGAGCGAAAAACAAACAAGCTCTTCACCAGTACACGCGAAAAGACGAGGTGTTACGTCTTTTAAGAAGTGGTTAGCACTTTGACACCATGGGCCAAGGGTTTCTACAGCAAATGTTATAAAGACCTAATTTTGACTAAGAATAATTTAGTTTTGTTATAATATACTTGTTTTAATGAACGATGCTGTATTTATGTTCTCAATAAATACTTATTGAATTCTATTAGTACAAGGTATCTGGGACATTCTTCACCCATTATGGAAGCCTTAGAAGATCTATAATATGCTTCAGTTTCAAATGTAAGTATTAAATTAGCATTTAGTTAGTCATTATTAGAATGAAAAAATTTGGCAAGCACCATTTGAAAATATCTTTTCGGATTTTTCGCACGATTTTATTTCGCTTTTTTGGTTCCCGACGTTTCAAATGCTTTTGAATATGCGCACATGGTCACGGGAGAGACTAAGGTTTTAGATGTCTCCAAGGTCATTGTATAGCTGTAACAGGCAGTACTGTCTGAAAAGATAATTTTATTTAAAATGTCAAATATTCGCGTTTTAAGAAAGTAAGTGCAATTTCTTGATGATCGTGAATGTTTTCCAGAAGATATGGTCGAGTCCCGCATAGGAAAAACTTTGATTATATAAAAATTATAACAAATAGAAAACAAAATATTTTAACGAACTAAAACTCAAATATAAAATAGTAGATATTTTAGGTTATGTAACCAATTACATGATAAACGTAATCGCAAAGAGATATAAAGTATAAGCTGATACCATATCAGTTAGGTCCATCTTTGGTTCGGTGAAAAATATTGCTTCTTACATTTTAATTTCTATCATCCATCCATACACGTAGGCAGTAGTAGCTCAGTGGTAACACGTTCGCTTGGGAAACCGAGTAAAGCGGGTTCAAATCCCGGGTCTCGCACCTCTGATATTTTCATGTGCGAATCATTTCCAACATGATTACCACTTGTCTTGTCAGTCCGCCATGCTGCCTAAGTACGGATTAGTGGAGTTCACATGTCTTTTGAAAACTTGCTCGGTTCTCTCACTCTCACAGTTTTCTTGCGATGTTTTCCTTCACCGTAAGACAAACGGTATGGAAATATCATTGTATATATACGTATACATACTGTGTGAAAAATAGTTTCTATTGAAAAATGTTCTCTTCAAAAGTAGGAAGATTTTCAGCCTCTCGAGAACATAAAACATAAATTTCTCTAAAACGGCTAAATATTTCAATTTAAAAGAAGTTTTGGTTATTATAAGTATATCGATGATCAAATTCTCCTAGTTTCATAAAAATTAAAATATTATTGCGGAAATTAAAAATAAAAAACCAAGAAAAATTAAAAAAAGTTTTTTTACAAATATCTCGAAAACTTTCAGGTTATTGTAAAAATTGTCATATATAAAAGTTGTAGATTTATACTACAGCTACAACTTTTTCGATAGGACGTCACAGTAAGCCGAAAATTGGAAAAAACTATTTTTCAATTCTTTTCATCCCCCCATTTTCCGGGGGTAGCTGGACCTCGGGGGCATTTTACAGATTTTTTTTCTTATAATATACCTGCTAACGTTTTAATTTTTTCTTTCCAAATCGGATTCCGATCGGACTATAGTTAGAGATATATACATATTCGATCAAACAATTTGTTTAAAAAAAATATTTGTTATTGATTTTTTTAAAAACGGCTCGACCGATTTGATAAAATTTATATGGGACCACCTGGGAAGTATACCCTTGCAAACAAAACAAAAATTTTCCAAATCGGTTCAGGCGTCTTCGAGTAATCAGTGAACATACATAAAAAAAAAAGATTCCGACGAATTGAGAACCTCCTCGTTTTTGGAAGTCGGTTAAAAAGACTTTATTTTATTTTTATGACATACATGCTTTCATCAAAATAATGCGAGTAGGTATTTTTTTTTCTATTGCCGAATTTCAGCATTCGGCCGAAATTCGGTTAAACCGAATATAAAACGAATTTCGGCCCATCCCTAATATATATACCTACAAGAATTGCTCGTTTAAATATATTAGATTTACTGTGGTAATATTATCTTATTATCTATATCGTATAGACTTTTTCCTTGATTGCATATTGCTGTTGCATATTCTGAGCGATATGACTATGTTAAAAAGACAACAGAAAATTAGAGAGAATTACGTTATCTTTACGAGGAATGTACATAATCCTGATATACAAATGCGAATGTGAGATTGTTTGACGAACCTTCTACTCTACTAAATCTCTATTTTTTTTTAAATTCTCAAACTTTTGATCGATCTCAAAAAAAAGGAAATATTACACGTAAATATATGTTAAATGTTAATGAAGTCCCGTCAAAATTGTTCCAGCCGTTTCGGAGATTAGCCGGAACAAACAGACAGAGAAAAAAATTAAAAGAGACAATAAGAAGAGACAATATTGTTAATGTCTTCAAAGCGTGCCAGCTAAGCACAGATTAATTTGCCAATGTCACGTAGAATGGAGAAGGCACGGAGGAGATTGGTCGATATTAAGTGAGATTATTAATCTATGTGTATTAATTAAAAAGTGTACAAAAAGTGAGCAACTCCTGTATGGACCTTTTACCTACAACAAAAAACAGCACTAGTACTACTATATACATAAAAACCTAAATTAAAAATATGTGATTAGTAAGTAAACTCTAATTGTTTTAGAAAAATGTTTGTCAATAAACTAATTCCATTACACTTAACATATCTATATAGAGGACTAAACTCAAACATTAATAAACAATTAACATCAATGGGAACGGGGGTCTTTGAGGGGAAGAACATCATTTTTTTTTCATCATTAGCACCATCTAGTTCCATGGTAAGCTACGAGGCCTGTGTTATGGCTACCAGATAGTTAATACACTACACATAATATATAACTTTAAATACATATTATAAATATAAACACCCATGACTGGAGTACAAAATCACACAAGTGAATGCCCCCAGCGGGACTCGAACCCGCGACCGCTGGCGCACCAAGTAGCGCACTACAAACTGAGCCAAACGTGTCATTAATAGGATGGAGGAGTCTAGGACAGCTATTATTATTGAAATTCGAGTTAAACGCGTTATCTGATAAAACCGATAGCCCCCGGCCTTGGCTTAATAGCTACCAGAGATAATGACGTTGTTCGCATTTGAGACTTAGTTACTGATTGTTTTAACCTGTAATTACGCAATGTTAAAAAATTTGGTCATGCCAAAAAATTTATCTGCAATGTAAATATTCCACCCTTATTAGATTTAAATTCGTCATACAAAAAAAAACGCTCGAATGGAGTATCTTAACTTTTTTATAATCTATCAAAAAAGAAAAGACTGTGAATGATGAACAAATATACACTACTTTGAAAATGCGAAAGTTTGTATGTAAATTTGTATTTCTTCTACACGCTGAAGCGAATCGACCGATTTGGAAATATGCATACAAAAATGAATGAACTCTGAACGCGTGAAAAAAAAAGAAAACGGAGCTTGCCCGTGTGAAGTGAGGGTTTAAAAATTAAATTACAAATATTCTACAAAAAAATCACCTTTGTATGTAAAAAGCTGAGTGACTTGTTGACATTTTCGATCTTGTGAACCCTCATCCTACCGGAATTGGGTCGTGGAAGCCGTTCACCGCTGATGATCTCCAACAGTTTGAGGAGGCGTCTCCCGTCCGCCAGGTCGACGAACAGGTCCTCCACCTCCATGCGGGCCTGGAACCAGAAGGAAATAATTTAGTTATAGGCAAAGATTTAAAATATAGACATAAGTGCATGTGTTGGCTCGACCTTATTCAACACTCAGATTGCTTTTTGGAATGAAATTCGGAAACTCCTTATCCTGGTAAAACCATATAATTATGGTTTTTTTGGAATGTTAAATTTTGGCAAACAGTAAAACGATGGCGTTTCTACATGCTATAATAATATTATAATTCTGACAGAGGTTCTGGGTTTGAGTCTCGGATCGGGCCTAGTATAGTTATTGGGTGTTTCTGTTAATAAATAATAATTAATATCGGCCTGGATGTGGGAATTTGGTGCTGTTACAAGCACGTGTCAACGTATACGTAAAGTCGTCAGTCCTACGCCTGATCTCTCGCCAGTTATGTCGAATTGTTGTCCCATCGGAGTATGAGAGTGACAGGAATAGAGAATGTAAGTTGTGTTTGTAAGCATACTTGCACTTTTATATCTCCTTCGCATATATGGCTCAGTGAGATTGCTCTTCGTGGCCGTAATTGTTCAGAGGAGGATATTAGTATTATCCCACAAATATTATAAATGCGAAAGTTTGGATGGATGCTTGTTACTCAATCGCGCCAGAACGGCTGAACGGATCTGGATGAAATTTGGCACAGAGATAGATTATAGTCTGGATTAGCACATAGGTTACTTTTATTCCGGAAAAATGTACAGTTCCCGTGGGATAGATTTGTTTTTGTTTTTCACGAAGACGATGGGACGAACCCGAGCAAAGTGAGGGTGGGTCGCTAGTTGTTGTTATATAATAAACTGTTTGTTTTCTAAAATATACCTAAGTCTCTATAAATGTGAAAGGATATATAGACCGAAGAAGTGAAGTTAATTTTTGCCGTGAGAAATTATTTTATTGCCAATGTTTCCTAATGGGTTTTAATATTAACATTATAAGAGTGTTTCCGATTACTATTTATAACTGTACACTTTTAAGTTCCTGCACCAAACGTCTATGGCTAGATAAAACGATGACTCATGAGGAGGAAGCACGTTTGATTTGCAGCCGTTGAGCAGTGTCTACGTGTTTAATTGAAGTGTTTTAAATCATTACTTCTAAATTCTAATGGTAGCTATATATATAATAACTAAATGCTGTTTGTGGATAAGCTCATCGTTTGAAAACGGGTGAGCCAATAAAAAAACGGAAGGGGAAAAGATTAGAAAAGTTGGTCGAAAAATGAGGAAATTTGGGAAAAATTAGTGCTTTTTTCTATAGATTTTTCGAAGAACTCTTTGAATATATTTTTTGGAAGCCCGTTAAATACGAAATGCGATTCTTTCGTATGCGCATCAACCTGAACAAGGCTGAACCGGTCTGATTGTCCTTTAATAAAGTAAGCAACACTTCTAGTAAAGTTTTTAGAAAAATCCTAAAAAAAAAGAAACTCGAAAAATACCGATTTGGGGGAAACCCCTTTTTTTAGTAGAAACAACGTCATAAAATTTTCAGGTTTATGGGTCAGCTAGTATGGTCTTACAGATTTCATGGTCGCTGACTGACATTAAGTGTCATTAAGAAAATAAAAAAGCGCCATCTATCGTCTTTTTCGCCTCCTAATTTTTAATTCTTTGATATGGAATAGAGTATCTGAACTGCACTGATGGCGATTTGCGAATGAAAATTTTAAAAATTGTTTTAAATTAAATCCAATATAATATCATCATCAAGAGAATCACAATAATATGTTATCCTACTAATATTATAAACGCGAAAGTTTGTAAGAATGTATGTATGTATGTTTGTTTGTTACTCTTTCACGCCAGAACGGCTGAACGAATTTGGATGAAATTTGGCACAGAGATAGATTATAGTCTGGAATAACACATAGGCTACTTTTTATCCCGGAAAAATATAAGGTTCCTGAGGGATAGCTTTGTTTATGTTCTTTTATAAGCCGCTAGTACTCATATATTTTTTTTAGGTTTCTATTCATACTACTACTAACTAGACTAGACTGAGCTACCTGTTTAGAAATAGCTAAAATTCTCTTTGCTTTTATAATTTAGCTAACGATTCCTAACATGCTTCATACTCGCAAAATAACTCCGTCGTATATGGAGACAGTTATTGTTGACACTTCCGTCGGCCCCAGCGCTAATGCATTGTTTACACGCAAATTTACATGTCTGTCTGTATACACCGGTACATTCTGTTGTTACATCTATAGATAATAACATTGCCATATTAAAATTTAAAATGAAATAGAAATTATCGTTTTAAAAATTAAAAAAACCCTCTAAGCTGACTAAATGTATGGAATTGTATATCTTTTACAGTAAAAATGATCTTCCGGGTGATGATAACGGGTCTCCTATGACCATATTATCTTTAAAGCAATCGAAACGTTGGGAACAAGAATCTTAAATAAAACCACGTCAAAATCCAAAAAGATAAAACTTCATTTAAAATGTCAAATATTCGCGAAAATCTGAGAAAGTATTATTGAGGATTTTATATTATGTAGCCTTTAGAGTGGACTATTAAGTTAAATTATCGGCTTCAAGTTGGTACTACCAAATTATCATGCACGTATTCAGCCCTTTTTTAACGGCCCACTGCTGGGCACGGGCCTCCCTTTAGCACGAGGGGAATCAGGCCATAGTCCACCACGCTGGCCAAGTGCGGGTTGGCGGACTTCACATGTCTTTTGAAAACTTGTTAGGTTCTCTCAGACATGCAGGTTTGCTCGCGATGTTTTCCTTCACCGTTAAGACAAGTGGTAATGTGTAGGAAATGATTCGCACATGAAAATATCAGAGGTGCGAGACCCGGGATTTGAACTTGCTTCACTCGGTTTCGCAAGCGAGCGCGTTACCACTGGGCTACCGCTGCCTTATCTCCCTTATTATCATTCACATAAATACAAAAGTTAGTTAATCTCCAAGATTTCCTAACTATATCTAGTGATGTTAGTGTGTTAATTAATGCATTAACTAAATATGGCTGAACAGATGACAATTCAACTTTATGTACTACACTTTTTTGCTCCGCAAGAAGACGGTCTTTATTATCTCCATTGTTTGATTGGAAGAGTTTCGTTCAGAGATAAGTCCATATTTACTCCTGTAGGATCCCTAATAAAACTTCGAGATATTCCTTGCTTATATTCCTATATTCAGTACTTTTATAATCGTCAGTGAGTTACATAATTTGTAATCGTCATTTTCATAAATTTCATGACATCTCTGTGCAAAAGCGCGGGAAAACAACTGAATATCCGCGCCATTTTTTTTTTTTTACACATTCCTATCGGCCAAGGTCACATAACTAAATGCCTTATACATAAATCATTACAAATTAATTAAATATATTATTTTCTATCAAAACACTCAATATATAAAAATGCAACCTTACACTCCGAACATCTCGTAATTTGATTACCAAAATTTTTTAAGCAAAAATAAAGAATATATTTAGGCTCGATAGCAGATCTTGTTCATCTTGATCTTCGGATTCTACGCGTGAACATATTTCAATTAAAAAAAATAAGTTTAACATTTTCATAATAATAACTTTAAAAATATCGTAACGTAAAGGTTAAGTCATCGCCGGTTTAAAACACAAGATTGTTATCTGTATAAGTTATGCTAAATAAGTTTTAATTTTCTTGAGTTGATGTTAATTTGTCTATACATATAATAAAATTGTAACTAAGCCGAATCTGTACATTAAATATTTTTTGGAAAGTCTTATTGAAATAGACATTATTATCGATACAGAGTCCGATTCTATAGTTTTTAGAACTTTTGTCTGTCTGTCTGTCTGTTACCGCATCACGAGGAAACTACTTGACAAATTTTGATGAAAATTGGTATGATGATAGCTGGTTATCCGGGTCAACATATAGGATACTTTTTACCGCGCGAAAATATCTCATTTCTGAGAAAAAATACAAAAAACTGCAATGTAAGTCTATGTTAATATGTAAAACCTAAGAATTTGGTTTTTGGTCACCTTAACGCGGGCGGAGCCGCGAGCAATGCTAGTTTTAAAAAAAAACTATCTTTTATCTCCCGTGACCAATGTTGCTGTAAAGCATCCGAAATGTCGGGAACCAAAAATCAAAATAAATCCGCGGTAAAATCCGAGAAGATAGTTTTATTCATATTCAGTCTGATGTCTACCACCCGGGATCAAATCTGCGACCATCAGGAGTCGACAAAATGGGCAGCTATGAACGTGATAAACTTCGCGACATGGCGTTATCAGCAAAGGACGCCGCTCCCATAAATTTACATAATAACAAACAAAACACATCATCTCAGTTATAAGCTATTTATAACTGCCACTCGACGGCGCTATCTCCCTGACACGACCTTTTGTATGAATAAATTGTCAAGTGGCAAGTCTTGGAATCTCTATGCGTATCCATACTAATATTATAAATGTAAAAGTGTGTTTGTTTGTTTGTACTTGGTTTGACCATGGATTCGGTCTCTGTATCGATAATACTGTTTATTTCAATAAGATTTTGGTTTTATGTATAGATAATTTATTGTGCCTACAACCCAACTAACATTTTCCTGTCCTTCATCCAATTTTTATTCAACACAAAATTTTAACGTCATCAGTTACAATATTTGACATGTATACATATAATAAAATTGTAACTAAGCCGAATCTGTACATTAAATATTTTTTTGAATTTTTTATTGAAATAGACATTATTATCGATAGAGAGGCCGAATCTATAGTTTTTACAATTTTTGTCTGTCTGTCTGTCTGTCTGTCTGTCACCGCATCACGAGAAAACCACTGGACAGATTTTGATGAAATTTGGTATGATGATAGCTGGTTATCCGGGTCAACATATATGATTTTTGATTTACCCTTTTTACCGCGGGAAAAAATCTCATTTTTGAGAAAAAACACAAAAACTGCATTGTAAGAGTATACTAATATTTAAAACCTAAGAATTTGGTTTTTGGTCATCTGAACGCGGGCGGAGCCGCGG